GGATCCTGATGAAGGTAATGGTGAATTAACAATATTTATTCCGACATCTTTACAACAGCCAGAAGAAAATTCGTCAACAACAAAAGATGATACTAATACAAATGATATTGTTTATAAAGTAACAATTGATTTTTCACTTGAACAACCGGAAAATGGTATCCATTTTTTTATTCCGGATGATGATGCAAAATTATCACGTGTAAGTCTTCATAAGAAGAAAATGAATATTATTAATAAAACAGACGAAATTTTTGTTTAGCTTAGTCGTCATTTATTCACAACTGGTCATGATGCTCGTCTTTGGTTTCCATGTGTTGATAGTTATTGTGAACCATCAACATGGACAATCGAAGTTACTGTTGAAGAATCGTTAACTGTTATTGCTTCTGGAGAACTTATAGAATGTACAACAAATAATGAATTAAAAACTTATCGATTTTATCTTTCAACTCCTGCACCTGCACCATTTATTGGACTTGCTATAGGGTATTAATTATTTTGAATTCTATCAACAATAACAGAAATATCAATTTCTTTCATATCTAAGATCATTTGAATCAGTTGTTGATTCAAATACAGCCGAAATATCAAATTATTGTCTTCCAGGTTTACTAACACTTTTAACAAATACGACAAGTTTTGTTCATGAAGTAATCATCAAAAAAAACGAAAATTATATTAGGAAAAATATCGACTTTTGTTTAGCCACTTGAATATTTTGAAGAACTATTAAATGCTAGTTGTCAATATCCAAATTATAAACAAGTATTTGTTACAGAACCACATGCAGAATGTACACCATTTGCATCCATGGCTATATTCAAGTAAATAAAATAAAAGTTTATTTAATAATAAATTTATTTTCAATCCTATTTCAGTGTTAATTTATTATATCCATCGACTGTAATCGAAGCAACATGGCATGCAAGATCACAAATGGCATTTGCATTAGCAAATCAATTTTTTGGTTGTTTTATAACTATGCGTTCTTGGTTCGTTCTTTGTTTTGCTATAGTTTATTGTAATACAAAAAATTCATTTTATTTTCATAGGCGTGATTGGTGGTTATTGAAAGGTTTAGCTTTATATTTAACTAGTTTATATACTCGACGAGCATTTGGAAATAATGAATATCGTTATAATCTTAATCAAGTAAGTTATAATTGAATTGATAATGATGTTTATATAAATGAAATAGGATATGCTTGATGTTATTCGATATGAACGTGAAGAAAATCCAATTCGTCTTGATTTTGCTCCGATAAAATCTGAATTAGATGTAACACATGTCAACAATCGTCGAGGAACAATGATGTCATCACATTATCTTGAAGTAAGTTCATGTATTATTATTTTTAGTTTTTGCTGCAATTTCTTTCTAGGTAGCAGCTAAAAAAGCACATTTAGTTGTACGGATGATTGATGATTTTATCGGTCGAGAAATAATGATGCAGGTAAATATATTTCAATAGAAAATATCATCTAAATTTTATTATTTTTCTTTAGATTCTTAATAAACTAATGTGTTTAGCAACAACAGCTTGTTTGAAAGATGCTTCATTAAGTTCTCGGTCACGTTTACATATATCAAGTAAATCATTTTCACGTGTTGTTAGTACATTAACAACAAAAGATATTCAAGCACTACTAACACAATGGGTGTATGTTCTACGAATGAAAGAAAGAAATTTATTTTCTCGTTTTGTTTGTTTAAAGATATGAATCAGGTATTCCAAAATTAATTGGAAGTTTTACATTTAGTCGTAAACGAAATGTTGTTGAATTAGAAATTAAACAAGATACAACAGTTAAAGGTTCAAAGAAATTTTTAGTAAGAAATTTTAAAGTATACTAGAAATGAAGAGGAATGTTTTTGTTATTTTTTAGGGTTCATTAGTTATTCGTGTACAAGAATTAGAAGGTTCATTTAGTCAAACAATTTTATTAGAAGATAGTGTTACAAAATATGAATTAACATGTCATTCAAAAATACGCAGGTAAGAAAATTAATTAAACAAAAATGGAAAAGTAAAATAAGAATTTTTGTTTTTCCTTAGAAATAAAAAAAAGAAAATTCCATTAATATCAGGTGATGAAGTTGATATGGATCTGAATCAAATGGAGTAAGGAATTATTTTTTTATTTCCCAGAAACAATTGTTTTTCTAGTGTTGAATGTCCGATATTATGGATACGAATTGATCCAGATTTAAAAATAATTCGAGAATTACAATTTGAACAAGCCGATTTCAATTGGCAATATGAATTACGTTATGAACGTGATATTCTTTCACAATTCGAAGCACTTGAAGCATTAAAACGTTATGCAAGTCAACATACACGAGAAATACTTGGTACTGTTTTAGATTTATCAACTTGTTATTATCGAGTTCGAATAGAATGTGCACACGTTCTTACAGATGTACGAATTTTCAATATATTCTACAAATTTCGATCGAGATTTGTATTCTGATATACATAAATAAATATTTGTATGCTACTTTAGATTGCTAATTCAATGGCAAATACTTGGACAGGTACTTTAGCTACATTAAGTTTTTTTCGTCGTGTATTTATGTCAACAAATTCAACATCATTATCAACGAGTGCTGCAACATCTTCAACAACGACTTCATCATCGGCTGCATCTGCAACAAATATTGTTCGTATAAATGATTTTTCCAATTCTCAAATGTATATGATACAAAAAACAATTCCTCAAGCAATAGCATTACAACGAAATAAAGATCGTGTATGTCCACCTGAAGTCATTAATTTTCTATTTGAATTAATACATTATAATGAAAATTCTAAAAATCGTTTCTCTGATGCATTTTATCGTTCATCATTAATTGACTCACTTGGAAATACTTTAACAAATATTGGTTTAACAAGTACAACTACAAATGTTGATCTTCTATTAAATCATACATTAGATAATAATACAAAAAGAATATTTGATGAAATCTTATTACAACTTAATTTCGATAAAATTATTCCATCCTATGGATTTTGTGTTACATGTAGTTGTTTAACAGTTTTACATAAATTATATATTATTAGTGGAATACCTATTGATATAAATGTTTTTTATGAATATGCAACATATGGAATGTTTGATCGTGTACGATTAACTGCTTGTAAAATTCTTGTCGAACAACTTGAAAGTATGAAAAAACGAAATCTACTGTTTTTAATTGAGTGATTTAGTTTTGAGAAGGAATGATTTCATTGATCTATCAATCAAATCATACTGAAAAGTTTACTCAATGCCATTTATTTAAGTGACAAAATACAATTATTTGAAACTTAAAGAGTTAGAGACAGAATTAATAGCGCTAGGGTAGAACGTCGCAGCTCATTTTAGGGTTCAAAATAGGGACTCCGATTAGGGGGGCTGGGAGGTCTAGTCCCCCGCAAAATTCGCAAAGCTGTCTGTCTTTCTGCCAAATTTTTTGAAGTTTTACTGAAAACTTGGTCAGAAACCTAGTTTAAACTCCGATAAAAACGCTTTTTTTGGGCAAAATTCCGCAGAAAGTGTACAGCGTAAGTATTTTCTACGTGAGAAAGCTATATGACGGGACTTTCTGGCAGAATTTCTGGACTTTCTGTCAAATTTTATCCCCCCGCACTTTTGAAAACAATCGGGAACCCTGGTTCAAAACGAATTCCTAGTAAATCTTTAATGTTGAGCAGTGTGTATACGTAGGATGTGGATATTCGATACGCTTGCGACGTTTTGTTCGGTCACCATAATCAAGATATATCTATTTAGAATATTTCTAAATAGTTAATAATAAAAAATCATTTTATTTCAGCTCGAATGAATCAAAGTGTACTTGATTATATATTTAAACTTATTGAGAATGATCCTGATTATAATCTAAGGTTTGTTATACATTTTTTTTGTCTATCGATCTTTCTAAAAACAAGTTCAATATTTAGACGTAAAATTGTTCAACATTTGTGTCGTCATCCACCATTTCGACAAAATCAAACATGTACACTTAATAATCCAACAACAGTTCATAAATTATGGTCATTGATGACGTATGTATAATAATAATAAAAAAATCAATCTAATAAATATCTATTTAGAAATTGTGCATATGATAATCAAACACGAAATGATCTTGGTGAACTTTATCAGATAATGTATGGTCTAAACCGACCTAATTGTTTACCAACGTCAAATGACGTAAGAGAAAATATAATTAGTACTAATATCCTCGCATTTATTTACATAGATAAATGATATGTCGATTAAAGACGAACTTGATGATGTATCTGATACGATCGTTGATATTGATCCAGTAAATAAGAAAAATTATTTCAAAGAAAATCTTTTAATTTCTTTCTTTTAGGAACGTTTAAGTTATTTTCGTCTAGCTCGTTATACAGATGATGCCAAAGCAGCTGCAAATAAATTAGCAGCAAATAGTAAATGAACATTCTCTTTAAAACAATGTATTCATTCTTTTTTTCTTATGTTTAATAATAAAGTTAACCTTGATATCAATGTCTAACTAAAATGTAAGATTATAGGATTCAATTGTTCGATTATGTGTTGTTCAAGGTTTATGTTTTCACTCTTTTTTTCATTATATAAAAAGAAAATCGAACGTTTTAAACATAACACACACGCACACACACATAAATAAATATTTTCATAGCAGCAGTAACATCAGAAATATTTCTTTTTGTTTTATACAACCTGAATGAGAAAGAAAGAAAAAAAACCTGGGCACACACACACACACACACACGCACACACATATGAAAAATGATTGAAGAAATAAACAAAAAAAAAAGAAAGAAGAAGAAGGAAGAGATCAATTATAAAGGTAGATGTACAGCAAAGAAAAAAAATGAATGTCTACCACTGTTATTGTCTTGTATTAGTAAAAAGGTCACACAGTATCACAGTTGAAACTGGGACAAAATAAAATTAGGAAAAAAAAAGTGAAAGAAAGAGAAAATAAAGAAGAATCGTGATTATGATTATTCATGCACCTTTAATGAAATGAAATTATTATTATCATCTATGTAACGATTTTTTCGTAGATTATTTGTTGATGAAGGTAGATCATATGAAGTTAATAATGATCGACGATTATTATAATTAGTAGTATTAGCAGTGTTAATACTATCTTCTATATTAGAAGATAGATTAGATAGTGTATTATTTACTAGCCGTGCTGTGTTCATATTAGTATCTTGATCTCTCAATGGACTCATTCGTCGAGTTGTTGATGGAACAAATTTTATCCCTGATGTTGTAAATACAGATGGTGCAACAGGTGTTGTTGAACTTAAAAGACTTGGCACAACATTTAATTCAGTTGATGATGGCACAGCTGGTGCTGTATACTTATAAATAGGTTTACGTTTATGATCGCGTAATGTTGCATCAAAATCATATGAAACGAGATAACGTGAAGGATTTATTGGTGATATTGTTCGTCTTGTTGTTGTTTCAGGTGATGTTGCTAATGTATATCGATGAGTTGCTGGAGGAGAATTAAGACGATCATTATTACCATATGTTGAAGTTGTTTTTGTTGTTGTTGCTGTTGGAGATACTGTTCGTCGTGAACGACGAGTATATGTAGGTGGTACTGGTTGTGGTGATGGAGATGTAACTTGTGCTGGTTTCTCACTTGTTGATGCATAATGATAATCTATTGGACTACTTGAATGATGATCATCAAGTGATAAACTTAATGGTCGTCGATAAGGTGGCCGAGATGATGTTGATGGTGATGAATTTGTTTTTGAATTATTCGATATATAATAACGTGTTGAATCTGGCATAGCTGAAGCTCGATTACGTCGTTGTTGTTCTCGATTGGTTGATGATGAATTATAATTATTATTATTAGTAGTAGTATTATTATTATTACTGTTATTACGTAATTTAGTTGTATCAAAAAATGAACTTGTATGAAGTTCAAGTTCAAGAAGTGAATTTGTTGGTGATAGTGATTTATCATGTATTTTTGTTGGTGTTGGTGCTCGTAACTGAACTTTTTCATAATCACTATGTGTTGATTTACGACGATCAGTAGGAGGAGAAGTAGCTGTTGTTGTTGTTGGTATTGTTGTTGTTGTTCCAATTGAATTGAGTTTTACTGAAAGAGTAGGTCCATGTGCCAACCAATCATGACGAAGAATATCCTTTGAAGTCGCACGGTTACTAGCATTTGGTGTTAAGCAATATCGTATGAGTGAATGAGCACCTATGATTTTAAGGAAATAAAGTTAGAAAATAAATAAAATAAGCATATGAAATCTTTTAGTCCTTCACCAAGTATCTACTTATGCGCATGCTCTAGCATAAGGGTGCGATTAGTCTTAGATCTCAGAAAAAAGAAAGCTTGTAAAATAAGAAAAGATAGAATGAAAAAGAAAAACAGAAGAAAAAAAAATAAAAATTTTTGTTAAATTTTCTTTTTCGATTGTTAATAAACCATCACACGTGATGGAGAATATTTAGATGATGATGATATACTTGATTTATGTTTATCATGTGGTGTTCGTTTACTTGATTGATGAAATTTAAATATTGGTTCAGTTTTATTATTATTTGATATTTTATTGCTATTTCGATGAGTTTGTATCACATGAGAATATCCACTTATGCTTGCCTTAGATTCTGTGTCTATATCTGTAAAATGTCCATTTCGTACTGATGTTGAAGGTACAGATACTGGAAAATGAGGTGAGGGATCAAAATAATTAGGTATAGCTGATGGATAAGGTTTGGACTTTAGTTCAGATGCTAGAGATGATGGTTTTATTGCTCCACTATATGGCCATGTTGATGAATGTGGTGATGCTATATTACCACTGTGTTGTGTGGTTGTATTAAGATAATAATACACCGGTGGATTTTTATAACCAAGATTAACCCACCAATGAACAGCAATATCGTCCACAGTTAAACGTTTTGATGGTAATACCGTAAGACAGCTACGTATGAGTCCAAGGGCGCCTATAGATTTGTTTCGATTTTTTTAAAAAAGAGTTGTATAATAAAGAGAAAAAAAAAGTCTTTGAAACTTAATTATATGTTTCATTATTCTTTCAACAATTTCTATTCTCTCCTATTTCTTAGACTAATTTCTATTACCTGATTGTTCACGAGGTTGAATGAAATCTCCTGCAGTTATATTTCGTACTAAACGATTGTAATCACCACCTTGAAATGGCATTGAACCATAGACAAGTGTATATAATAAAACACCCAACGACCAACAATCAACCTAAATAAAACAAAATATATATATTTATTTAATTTGTAAGCAAAGACTTACTTCAGGACCATAGTATGGTATACCGGAGACGATTTCTGGTGAAGCATACAATGGAGAACCACAGAAGGTATGTCTGATTAAAAGCTAGAAGGTTATATTTCTCTACACAATTAAATAAATTACAACATACAATAATCGTCGAGGTGACCAACTGTTACTCAAACCAAAATCTGCCAACTATAAAAAAAAATATATATGAAATTAATAATTAAAACGACTCGCTATTATATAATTACTTTAATATCACCATTATGATCAATTAAAATATTTTCTAATTTAAGATCACGATGAACAATTTGATTCTAAAGTATTTATTAATTTAAAGAATGTTTATGTTGAAATTTATCATCACATACTTTATGAAGAAAATGAACAGCTGAAACAATCTGTCGAAAAATTGCTCGAGCTTGAGATTCTGGTATACGTTTCATACGATTAAGATAATCATATAATTCACCACCACTTGCATATTCCATTACAAGAATAATTTTTTCACGACTTTCATAAACTAAACAAAAAATTTAAATCTAATATTATTTAACAAAATATTTTTAATTTTTACCTTCTTTGACTTTAATAATATATGGATGATTGAGACTAGTCATAAAATCTATTTCACGTCGAATTCTTGCTAAATCATGTGGATTTTCAATACGTGATTTTTTTATTGTTTTTATTGCTACTTGTTCATTTTTACGTTTATCTAATGCTAATTTGACTTTACCATAGGTACCTTTACCTAACGTTTGTTTAAATTCAAATCGACTATGTAATGTTTCACGTTGTGGACCACTAGCACCACTACCACCTGTATGACTTCCACCACTACCTGTATGTTCTTGAGATGATGGTGGAGTTGTTGCTGAATCACCAAAACTATTGAGACTACCAAGACTAGACCAATTGTAAGGACGTGTTCGTTGACGTGTAGTGCCATTTGTTCCTCCATTTTCTAACCTTTAAAATAACATTTAAATATTTCAAACTAATCATTAATAATGCAACACAAAAAACGAAAAAAGAGAGGAGACGAATAGAAAATTATTCAACTATCTTTTGATATAATTGATGAAACCTTCGACTGTCAAAATTATTAATAAACTCATTTTTGAAAAGTTGTAGTATAATAAAATCAAATTTGTTTAATGATGAATATCTAGGAATTCATTTCCATAATGGAAATGATTTATAGCAATATATATATATTTCTTTTTACCTGCTATTACCCGTTTTGTATGAATAATATTCAGAATTACCAATTGAATCAATATCAGAACTTTGTATCGCAATCATGATTGATATTTAGTCTAGTTTTACGCGTTGTTATAAATTAGTGTAGTCGAAAATGTAAAATGAACTATAGATATGTATTAGACATGTATTCTTTTGCATAAAATGAATAGATAAAGAAGAGGAAGGTGAAAGGAGAAGTAGTAAGAGGAAATAATGAGATTAACAAGATATGAGAATTTATTCACTATGAGTTTATGTTTGAACGAGCTTTGTTACTATCATCGTTGTTAATATCCATAGAGTCGGTGTATATAGCATCTTTGAAATAATGATAAGCACAAGTAAAGTGTACTGTATATGGGAATAACGACAACGATGAAGAAGAAAAGAAGAAATGAACTGTCCAGCTGATGATTTTTGTATGTTAACTACAGAAAATCGTGTTTTATCGTCTTCTCCTTTCTCTTTCTCTTGTTCTCTCATTTTTTTTCTATATTTCTTCTTTCCACATATGTATACTCTCCTCCACAAAAAGACGAAAGCGAACGAACATATAAAGTAATACTTGACGAAGCAACACATTGACGACGTGACGACGCCTGCTCTTTTTTTTTTGCTTTAAAACGAAACCGCAAGCGAAAATGTGAAGGAGAAAGAGAAATAAAGCGAAGAATTTCTCTTATTTCATGTCCACATATAAACAATAACCTCTCAAGTGTAACTAATGTAGATGAATATCATTGTTGTTATCTTAAAATTATTTTTTCAATTATTTAACTATACGCTAATCCTTCGATCGAGTGAATCGCTTTGATCAAATGATAATAGAAATTTTTATATATAATTGAAACGAAATAACAATAAATTGAAAGTTTTAATAACAGTATTTGTCATTTCGGTTCTACATTACAGTTTTACGCTTATCATCTCGAGGTTTTTTTTCTAGGACAGAATCATAGCGAGAAGAACGGACTAAATCAAGGTAAGATTTCAAAATAAAAAAACCTATAGATGAAACTAAACAAAAGAGATGCAATAACATTTTCATATTTTTATTTCTTGAAGAGGTATAAAGAGAAACGTTTTTCTTTTTTGGTTAAGTATGATCAACAAAAATAAAAATATTTATATTGATCACAAAAAATACTTTTCATATCTTACTTGGGTAATAAATCATCATTAGAACGTGAACGTTGTTGTTCATAATGATTTCGTTTATGACGTTCTACTGCAGCTCGATATTTAGTTTGAAATGATATTCGTCCAGATGCCATCAATTTCAATTCCAATACAACTCAAACGTATTGAATAGTAAACTAACGTATCATATTTATATAAAAAAGTATACTCGTAAAGATCGTTATCTATTTGTCTATCTATCTATTTATCTATCTATTAGCATAAAAAAAAATATAAATCAGATGACAAATGGTCATCATTGTAAAATATATCTTGTCACTTTAATTTTTTTTTTATTATTCTATACAATAAAGAAAAAATGAAAAGAAAAATCTTGTCAAAAGAAAAAAGAAGAAATGTTAATATAGAAGAAACATTGGCAAGTGATAGGGAATGAAAAGGTGAACGATAATGGAAGACGTCATTTTTCTTCAATTGTAGTATCAACGAAATATCGGTGAAATGAATAAATGTGTATATAAGAGAAAAATATGACAGGACTCTGTATTTGACATATTCATTATAAAGAAAGATAGTTTTCATAATTGACTCGAAAAAAGAAAAAAAACGGGGCAATGTGTAAACGTAAAGAAAAAAAACCGAAAAGAAAAGAAGAATGACTATGAGAATCGATCATTATAGGTGAAAAGCTCATAGCATTGAGGCTTGTTTATAACACTTGCGTAAGATGAATGCAATCGAGATGACAACGAAAAGATTTCATTATTGCTTCGGTGGACTCTTCGGTAAACGAAAAAAGAAAGAACAGTTTGTTAGGGTTTACTTTCTTTATGTACATATATGTGTGTATTCGTTCAAAAAGATCAAATGTAGGCGGAATCGATTATATTTCACTTTCTTTCACAATTATTGTATAGTATCTAGTTACCTATTGTCTTAGATCATATATAGACATATATATATCATATTTATACCTCATTGAAGACATGAATAATAAAGGTTCAATTATTGCTTCACCATAAGTCGTTTATTTGATGTGAAAAGAAAGAAGAAGAAGAAGAAGAGGAAAACAATTGACTGCTGTTGTACTGTAATGTTACCGTAACGAGCTAGATATGTTATGGTTTGGCTTGTTACTGACAATGACCTTATCAGCCTTATGGCGAAATAAGAATAAGAGACAAGAGACACAGATAGACAGAATAAGAAAGAAGGACTAGACCTATATATTAGTAGGCGTAATTCCGCAAAAAGAGATCGAAGAAATGAGAGAGAGAAAAAAAAGAAAGATATGTACAAAGGCAATTAATTGTAGAAAAGACGATAACTATTACCATACATACATTGACAAGAGTATGTCCAACGCAACATTAAGAAAAGAAATAGCGAGGCGGACAATGCTCTCTGCTAGATATTTTGCTATTCAACTGTAGCACAGTCTTTTTCACTGTACATTCGTCCTTGTTATCATATGAAGATAACTGTAAGAACAAGGTCCAAAATTATTTGATTTATTTAAACTAAAAATTTATGTTATTCATGGAAGATTTTCTCTTATTTTATATATGTTATCAATGAAAATAGCATTGATTTTTTGAAATAGTTATCTTTCAAATCTTTCCTTTTTTTTATCAGCACTAAAAACAGTTGTTCGATTAGTTGGTCGATAAGTTTCTAACGTCAATATTCCCATTGGGATGTGTCAGTAGATGCATCAATGATTTTTTTCCTATTCTCTCTCTCACACACACACACATACATACATATATATATATATATATATGTATGTACGTATATGTATACACAAAACGAGACAATGTTTTTTTCTGGTTGTATGCCCTTACAGCTCCATATTAAAGTAAATATGGCCAAATAGAAGCATCTGATTTACATACAGTCCATTTGTCGATACTCTTGAGAAACAATGTATCTTTCGAGAAAAAAAAAACTTAACTTACGGTAGAAGATAGTTTACTGTCGGCCGTTGTGATGTATTAATTGTAGAATAAATCGGCTGATGTTGTTCGGATTGAGAATATTCATAATTTAAAACATCTGATAGGGGTTCATTTGAGTAATTACTACGTCGCCGAGTTGATGGATATTGACGAGAGGATGGATTACCATTTGGTGCAACATTACGCACAGCATAGAGATCCGATTTAATTGAAGAACGCGGCCGCTTGGTATAAGATGACGATGAATAACCTGTTGTTTCATACTGAGAATCAGCAGTCGATGATGGTATACGATATGGTCGCGACGATGGAAACAACATTGTTCATAAGCCGATCGTCTGCGAATATATATTCTGATTGCGGCTAGAAAAAAGAAGGAGAAGCTATGAATAATCATGCACTAGTTTGGTGAATTTTCTTTTCTTTCAAGCATTATTTTTCTCTTTTGTCAGCGTTCTCTTCACAAACATACACACATCTCTGACGGCACAAGTACTGCATTATAGAGGAAAAAAGAAGAAAGAAAAGAACACAAAAAAAAAAAAAAAAAAGAAAAAAATAGTTACTCCTATATATCCATTTTATATTAAATATACATATTATTCATACGAAAGAAAGATGATTGCTGTCAAATGGATAAAACCTACAAGGTATATCATTAATCGATAAAAAAAAGCAACAAAAAAAACCGATACTTTAGTATTCCTTTATATGTATAAAAAAGACGAATATGTCTGTTTATAGCTATCTCCTCCTTCTCATTTTTGATATGTAATAAACATTTATATGCATGTGGCAAGGAAGAACGAAGACACAATCAAAGAAGAAAAGGAGAAAAAAAAAGCCTAAAATATAGTAATAGATACTTATCATCCTCTTTTTTTAATTATAATACACTTCTCATAATAAGTACAATTTGTCTAAAATAAATAAGAAAATCATATATCGATAAACATTCACGAGACGGAAAAAAACATATCCATATATCATTCATTATTGCTCTCGTAACCTAAACGTTTTTTACAATGTAATTACGTATTTTGTTTCTATCATAATGACACAAATAAAAACGTTTTCAAGTGTCAAAAATATCCATATTGTTATTTTATATGAGAATATCTCGAGCTATTTTCAAATGATTTATATGCAATCATTATTTTTTCTTATCAGATAACAAAATGACAGTTGGTTTTCAACAGAAGAATGAATAATAAAATATTTATTTAAGTTTTTTTTTGAATTATCTTTGATAGGATACAAATGATTTCCTTTTATTGTTCTGTAAGGAGAAAAAAAAGTGTTCGAGACCAGAGTAATGCAAAACTAGATTTGATTATTTTTAATGCTTATAACAACAAAGTTAAATAAACAAAATATGGTCTTGAAATAACAAATTAATTGAGGATACTTGACAAAAATAACACATCAAATTTCAAAAAATAATAATAATGATTCATTTATGTTGTGCACTTGAATTATTAATCATAAAAACTTGGAGAAATAAATTTAATCTTTAAGAATTTTACTCATTTTCTTTTATTATATTAATTCATAAATCGATTCCAATCTTTCGTATGCATTTAATAACAAAAACGTAGTAAATAGTAAAAAAAAAATGGTTATTCATCAATTAGCTTAAAAATAATCAAAATGCGGAATGTGATAAATCAATAAAAAAAGAAAAATTATTCATCCGGATTATCAGCAGTTTTGAGTAAACGACGTGGTCCACGTGTTGACGGAGCTTTAGGTCTTGCAAATGAAGTTTTAGCAACGTTAACTGATGCTTCTGGATGAAGTTGTTGAAAAAGATAATCATTTGTTAAATCAGTTATATCACAGACTTCCAACTAAATTTATAAATATTTTATAATTAGAAATAAAATAATATTAGAATACAGACTTTACGATCGAAATTGATACCAAATTTCTTTTCAATAGTATCAATAACACTTTCTTTACAACTAGCATAGACCATACGTTGTTTAATTTTTGAACCATGACCAGGTACGGAGTAAAGAAAAACTTAAAAAATTTGATTTGATGATGGGATTTTTGTTTTTTTTTAAATACTTACATGTGGAATTTATTGTTTCATTATTAAAATCATGTTTAAATCGATATATATGATATCGTCCTGCATTATCTGGTAGAAGTTTTTGAATTTGTTCAGGAGTTACATGAGACTCCGAATGTGATAGAAGTGTACGTTCTTTTTCATGATCAATTTCCTACAATTATATTTAAGGAGAGTATTGAAAAAGTCAGTCTTTACACTCGAATGAATATGTGCATGTTTTTTAAATGGGTAATCATTTGGAGAATAAGCAAAACAAAAATATTATTCACTACAATTATTTTTCTTGGTCTAAATTCGATTTTCAATTATTGGACTTCGGAGTCTATATCAATCATTGAAGACTTAGAAACTTTTTTATTATGTCGAAGGTCATTATTGTCAAATAATTAACATTTATGAATCAAATCTCATTTATTTTTTAAGACATTACGATTCTACATGGCTTCCGAAAACTTATTATTTTCTTGACAAATAATACGTATATATAAATTTAAAATTGTCTAGAAAATATGCAAATTTAATTTGCATCTTATTATCAAATGTAATCCTAGATTGAATAGAACAATACAAAAACTATTTAATATTTACCAATTGCACGTAATCAACATCTTGTTTTTTAAATAAATGTAATGCTTCAATAACATTTTCATCAAATTGAAACATTAAACCTTGTAATGTTTGATGTCGTGAATCCACACTAATATCAGCATTAGCCTAAATAAAAACAAATTATTTCTAAATATAATCATTTAACTGTCTTAAACTAACTTCTGCTGCTTGATTTTCTAGCTTATCTAATTCATTGTTTGTTCTAGGTGGTGGTGCTGCTTGTGTACGAACATGTTGATGAAATGATTTAATTGTCATTTCATCCTAATCAAGAAAATTTTAGTTTTGCTTTTATCGGGATAAATATTTACCATTGATGTTGCACGAATTTCTTCGGTGATATAAGCTGAACCAAATTCTCGTTTCAATGTAGCAACTGTTGAAGCATAAAGCATACGTTCGCGAACCTAAATTTTCAAAATTCAAAACTAAGACAAGTTGTTAAATAATTTCTATACTTTAGTTTCATCAGGAATGTAAACAATTAATAACCAATTATGTCCACTTATTTCACTAATTGAATCAAGACGAACAAAATAATATCCAGGACGATTTTGTTTAACTAATGGTGGAATGAATTTATCAAAATCTAAAACGGAATAATTAAAGATAGAAATAAAAAACTAATGAAAATTATTTTACCTTCATCAAATGTACGTTCAACATTATGCTCTTCTTTTGCTAAGAGAGTTTCTATATAAAAGAAAAATAATTGTTTTTTTCTTATTCATTTAAACTAGAAAAGTACTTCAATACCATTTTCGATAACAACAACAACAACTCGAATATGTCCATCTTTCATTTCAGCGAATTTCCCTCGTAGTAATTCATTTGCTAAATAAAAAGAAAGATTTCATAGAAGTTCTTTTTTTTTCTTTTAAATTTACCAGTAATTCCTGATTGATGAGACATTATTTTGGTTTTCACTGATGAATAAAGGTAAAAACAAGATAACTCAAAATAAATATCGCGACTCACACGTCCTCCGTGTATTTCGTAAGGAATATTAAACTGGTCATGTTAGCTCTCATAACATTGGTAGTTTATAATTCCAGCAACGAGCACCATCTACCAGAATGTTTATCTTGGCAAAGGCTATTGTCTTTCTTTGTGTAGGATTATTCTTATTCGCCAATAAGTTATTTTTTCATTCTGCGTACTTTTGTGCTTATTTGTTATGGTCGTCGGATTTTTTTCAGTCCGATAAATTAGTTTTGAAGATACGATTATTTATCATTTTCTGATTTTAAATAATATATTTATTTTTGTTTATAGATATTAGAATTTAGTGAGTTATGCATTTCTAAAGAATGAATAAATTAGCATACTTTATTAAGTTTGCCTATTTATATCGATCATGTTTTTTTCACAGTATTTTATTGCGTACATAAGTCAACGAGGTTGTTTTAAACTATATTCTATATGTATCATCCTTTAATACATGACTTTGATCTTTCCTCTACTTACTAAATATTTGTTTAAATTTCTAGCACACCCATTATCTTTTCTTTTCTTTCGCCCTAGTTTATTCTATAAATAATCTTTTATTGCGCATTATTTTACATTTACAAAATCTTGTTTTGATAATATCATGTTGATAGTTTATGACATTTTTTAAGAATATGAAACATATCAGTATGATATTTTCTTGACGAGATTGACAATCTTCACTGTTGATTATGTCTGTAAAAGAACGTCATTCTTATTTCCGTTTTAAGGTTTTTCTTTTTTTTTTCATAAAAAATCCATTATTTATGTAAATGTAAGCAGAGCACATCTGTTGTCACTTTTTTTGCTTCTATTCAGATTTTATACGCATATATACACAAAAATGCACTTGGCATAAAAAATTTCTATAAAGGTAGTTTTCCACCTAGAAAAAACAAATGCGATTACTAACTTCATTACAGTCATAGAAGCAAAAAGCACACATTTTTGTTTGCATATGAATCATTCGGTTAATCGCTTCTTATCCTGTAAATATTATTTTGTTTTTATCTATTCGCAATAATTTACAATACACCTTCGCTGAAAATTCTCATCTTTTTAAGTTATACTCGATCACCTTATAATGTATTTTTAATATACAAACATGATATTTTACCTCTAACTAAAACATTTTTCGTCATCATTATCAAAAGAAAAAAAGAGGGAGAACCCATTTTGTACTTTACAGTACGAATCGAAAATATTCTTCTATTAAAAATATCTAATTCATGATAAAGAACATTCCAATCTAAAATATATTCTTATATAAAATACGTATACATTTTATTATATTTTATAGATTAACATTTGCGTATACGCATATTCACAAGCTTTTTTCATTTAAAGTCATATTAAGAAATGGCACTTCCTGCTCTTAAATGTCCATTTTTATCACAATTAACTTTACAACAAGTTCGAGCTTCAGCTCCACATATTCTCAATGCTGGTGTTGAATCATGCCCAATATTTAGTCAATTTGCTCGAAAAATCTCAACAACAAATGTTCATGAATCAGGCAATTTATCATCATCATCAATGTCTCGTCCACTGAGTATGAATGAAATCAAGGCTGTTCATGAAAAGATGCTTGAAAAACGAAATCAACAATGTTCATCATCGAAAATTAAACCAACTGTTAAAACATTATTTCATAAGAAAACACCTAGTCCATATGGTGAAAGTAAGAGAGAGCTTCTTTTTTTTCCATTCGATTAATTTTCTTATGTAAAAAGTTATAATCTCAAATGAATGTGAAGATCTTTCATGTCCATTTTTAAAATCAGCATCCATTACACTTCGACGTGTTACTATGGATCAAGATACGATTGAAGTTAATCGTAAATTAGGTAAAGAATTATTTTTCAATCATTGTATAATTCACTTTCTTTTTCTCTAGATAAAATTACACGTCCAATAACACCGTTAAACAATGACAATGTAAAATCATTTGAATATAATAGTTTCTTTGATGAAAAAATTGAAGCAAAAAAACGCGATAATTCTTATCGAGTTTTTAAACGTGTACAACGTAAAAGTGGTATTTTTCCTCAAGCTGAAGAAATGAAAAATCTTGATGACGATACTGACTCACGTACGATTACTGTTTGGTGTAGTAATGACTATCTTGGTTTAGGTCAACATCCAAAAATGAAAAAAGCAGTCATGTAAGTAAAACAACAACTAATTCTATTTCTTGTAAGTAAATATATTAGAAAATTTGTAATCCTATTTATTTCAACGGAAATTGTTTTTTTTTTCAACTAAAATTTAATTATTTTCTAGTGACGCAGTAACTGCACATGGTTCTGGTTCAGGTGGTACACGTAATATATCTGGTACAAGTCCTTTACATGAAAAACTTGAAGACCAATTAGCACGTCTTCATCAAAAAGAATCAGCACTTATATTTACATCATGTTATGTTGCTAATGATACAACATTATATACATTAGCTAAAGGTTTACCAGGTTGTCATATATTATCCGATAGTGGAAATCATGCATCAATGATTCAAGGTATTCGAAACAGTCAAGTACCAAAACATATATTTCGTCATAATGATATTGGTCATTTGGAAGAATTATTAAAAAAAATTCCACGTCATATACCGAAAATTGTTGCTTTTGAAACAGTACATTCAATGGATGGTATATAAAATATGATTTTGTAATTGATAAGAATTATTTTTGAAATTAATAGGTTCAATTTGTGACTTAGAAACAATGCTTGATGTTGCTCATGCATATGGTTCATTGACATTTATTGATGAAGTACATGCTGTAGGTTTATATGGGCATAATGGAGCAGGTATTGGTGAACGTGATCATGTTCTCCATAAAATGGACATTATCTCGGGAACACTTGGTTCGTATTTAAGAAAAAAAGAATGATGCATCGATGTTTTTTTGTTTGTATATTATAGGTAAAGCATTTGGTAGTATTGGTGGTTATATTGCTGGAAGTTCTGAAATGACGGATTTTATTCGAAGTTATGGTTCAGGTTTTATTTTTACAACATCAATGCCACCAACTGTTTTAGCTAGTGCTATAACAGCTATTGAAGTATGAAATTATATTTTCAACAGAAGAAACAATATTTTCTAAATAATTCTTCTATATACATAGATTTCGAAGAGCGATGAAGGTCGTTCATTACGTCGTAAACAACAAGAAAATGTTCGTGAATTACGTTCAAAATTAATTGATGCTGGTTTACCAGTAATGATGTCACCAAGTCATATAATTCCAATTCATGTATAAACAAAAAATTTAAAAATAGCCTTTTTTTCTATTTCGATTATTTTTGATTATAGGTAGGTAATGCAGCATTGGCAACACTTTTATGTAATCATTTACTTAATCGTTATTCAATCTATATACAATCAATCAATTATCCAACTGTTGAACGTGGTACAGAACGTTTACGAATTGCCGCAACACCTTATCATACAAGTGAAATGATTGATCAATTAGTTGATGCATTAAAACACGTTTGGCAAGATGTTGGTCTTAGCTTAAAAGGTGTTGAATATCAACAACAACTTCAACAGCAACAACAACATGTAATCTTAAGACAACGTGCTTAAAAAGAAGATTAAAGATGACTTATTTATGCTCATTCTTTTTATCCTATTTAATCATCTTTCTATTTTAGTGCATAATCATTTATTGTTTCATTTTTAACCGATTTAAAAAAGGAAAAAAAAAAACCATACACATTTATATAGATGTTAGAGTGACGGTCTATTTAGTTTGCTTTTTATGTTTTTAGTTTTATTTGTTTTTCTAACACGGAATCGTTTATCATAGTTTTAATCTTTCGTTTTTTTTGTTGATTTTACCCATTTTTTTTTTTATGTCTGGATTTAAGAAAAACAAGTCGTAAAAACATTACTTTTGTTATTTTACCACTAAGAATAGATTCATACGAAATTTAATCTCGCAAAAAGAAATATAATTTTTGTATTTTACAAACTTAGATATTCTATTAAAAAATAGTTTTTTGTTTCTTAATTATCTATAATTTTATATAGAGTTGAAATACGATAGTAATTACTTAGCATAAATGCGAAAGAAAAATATGATTCTAATTCCTATCAACGACAACTAATCTATTTTTCTTTTTATTATTATTCGAAGTATATATAAATAGAAAAGAAAAAAACATTGAGATATGAAAGAGAGAGAGAAAGTAAAAGATGAACACATCAGTAATCATATAGTAGCATAAAGAAAAAAGATCGTTAGAGAACGTGTGACTTGAAGCATCGTTTCCTTTTTCTTCTCTCTCTCAGCATACTACTGCTTATGTCTTATAAAACTCATATATCAATGCCTTGGAAACTATTATTCGAGAATCATCTTTTATTATCATAATAACGTTTTTTTTGTCTCTATCCTCGTGTCTCATATTACTTACGTCTTTTTCTTTCTTTCGTTTATTTTTATGACACGCTCTTAACTCTATATATACTTGTTTTGTTTTATTGCTTGCTCTTATTACGCATAATACTTTCCAGATTGTACAAATAACTAACAAATCTATCATTATTTTTGTGATATATAACAAATAATATGAATACAACGCCGAATGATCCAAATGATGAAATAACAGCTGGCCATCGACCAACACCAACTACAAATGATGAATGGAATCGACAGACACTTGTTGATGCACGAAATATTCTTCAAACACAACAATCGAATGAACCTTCACAACAAATTAATGATCAACGATCAGGAAAAAGTAAGATATATAGTTATTTTTTTTTGCTATATAAACAATTGTTTATACTATTCGGAAAAACTTTTAGTTGGTAGACCAGTTATTTATCCAAATCATGTTCTTCATCCCGAAGTGATTCCATCATTAAATGAAGTTCCAGCTGAACTTATTAAACGTCGTAATATTCGTTTTACTGATCCATCAACAATGGATTCATTTGAAGTAGAAATGCCATTAGCAATTGCTAGTTCATTACAAGATGAACTTGATCGTTCTATACAACATCGGTTAGTTATTTCGTTATTTATTAGATTTTTACAATTTTGATCAAAAATTTTAGAGCAGCACAAGATCGAAATACGGATCAACATGCTACTACAGTACCATCAGCTACTGAAAATATTTTATTTCAAGCACTTAGTCCTGAAAAATCTTATCCAATAACTGGACTAAATGAATCACTTGATAGTAATCAACCACAATCAGCAACAAGATCATCAGTCTATGATAAATCAAGTTTAGATGAAGCATTTCAACGAATAAAAATTGCTGGTGATTTTACCGATATGTCACATATCGAAGATTTAGAAGATGCTGTCGGTCCTTTACTACGTGCAATGGTTATTCGTGAAAAGTATTATTATGAAAAGAAAAATATCTAACTTTTACTTGATTTTATTTTTTTCTAGATATATGATTTTTAGTCTTCAATCATTTCCGCCAACAGTTGCAAAATTTTTAACAAAAACATTAGAACAAGAAGATCAATCACGTCGTGCATCATCAACAATTCGAGCAAATACCGGTCGGGATCAGGCTCAAGCACCTCTTTCATCATGTTCTTCCTCATCATCTTTAATATCGAGTGTGATACCGTTACTAAAATTTCCCCTTGCTTTGCTTTCATCTGCGGTGTCACCCTTGCTTGTGGCTTGATAGTTGCTCATAAATGTTTTTTTCTCTTTTGAATTTATTTATGTATGTATGAATGTTTGCAGTGAAACCTTTTTGTATGTTTAGAATCCAAACTAAGAACTAGTTCTGCTAGTGTTGTTAGTGGACAAACACCACCCAAACAGGTTATTCCAACCGCATGTCCACGCACGACATCACAACAGCTAGTACCAAATAAAATCTCACCATCTGTAGACAATAATGTACCAAAAAATTCTACTGAACCATATTCTGGTACTTAAGTTTTAACTTTTCTTTGAAAATTTCCAAAGGAAAAAATTCAACCAGAAAAACTAAATAGGTGATAGTGTTGAACTACTAATTTATTTCACTAACTGACATGTTTGCCGTGTGCGTGTGTGCATTTAAAAACAAAGCTTGATACATACATCTTATAGATACATTTTATTAGAGAACGAAAAAATTTAATATTTTTCTATATTTAATCTTTCATAGATGATTCGCATCCATTTCACCCACCAGTCATCAAACGTGAAGATGCATTTAATATTCCATTATTAGAAGCTCTTGATGTTCGTGTTAAAGCAGAAAAAGGTGTCTTTCGTGTTCTTATACCAGATAGTACAAAAGAATGGATACCAGTGGATAATATACTTGTTGATCGTAATCAATTTATTGATGATTATACACTTCTATCAGCTATGATAACCGATGGTCCATTAAAATCTTTTTGTTATCGACGTTTGCAATATCTTAAATCGAAATATGAATTACATTGTTTACTTAATGAAGTTAAAGAATGGGCTGCAATTAAATCAACACCACATAGAGATTTTTATAATGTAAGAAAAGTTGATACACATATTCATGCAGCATCATCAATGAATCAAAAACATTTATTACGTTTTATGAAAAAGAAAATGAAAACATCAGGTGATATGCATGTTTATAAAACTAAAGATGGGAAATTAATGACATTAAAAGAAGTATTTGATGAATTAAGAATTACAGCTTATGATTTAAGTGTTGATATGCTTGGTGTTCATGCAGTAAGAAAAATATAAAAATTCTATATTTCGACTTTTTTTTGTATTCATTAGGATCGAAATACTTTTCAACGTTTTGATCGTTTTAATGCAAAATATAATCCACTTGGTCAAAGTGCTCTACGGTATAAATAAGATATATAATTATATTTTTTATCTAAATATTATTTTTTAGTGAAATTTTCATTAAAACTGACAATTATATTGATGGCGTATTTTTTGCTGATTTATTAAAAGTATAAAAACAAAAGAAATTTTTGTTATACTAAATTTCTACATTGTTATCTTTCTTTTTTAAAGGAAGTTATGGGTGATTTAGAAGAAAGTAAATATCAACATGCTGAACTTCGTTTATCAGTTTACGGTAAAAGTATTGATGAATGGGATAAATTAGCAAAATGGGCTGTTAAAAATACAATGTATTCAGGAAATATTTGTTGGATGGTACAAATACCTCGTCTTTAGTATGTTTATCTTTTTAGAATAGAAAATAATGTTATATAATTTGAATTTCTAGTGATGTTTATCATGCAAATGGTATAACAAAAAATTTTCAAGAATTTTTAACAAATTTATTTCAACCATTATTTGATGCAACAATTAATCCATCATCCCATCCAGATTTATATCGTTTTATGCATCATTTAAGTGGTTTTGATTCAGTTGATGATGAAACAAAACCTGAACGACCCATTATTACAGCTGAAATGCCGTATCCAGAAGACTGGAATACGAAAGATAATCCGCCATATGTCTATTATTTAGTAAAAAATACAAATTTTCTTTTTCGTTTGTTTTTTAAAATTTCGTTTTAGTTCTATATGTATGCGAATATTCTAACACTTAATCAACTCCGAAGGTTTGTTATTAAATTAAAATCGTTTTTGGTTGAAGTCGTATTTTGTTTTTAGAGCTCGTGGTTTAAATACATTTCAATTTCGTCCACATTGTGGTGAAGCTGGTGCAGTTACACATCTAGTTACAGCATATATGGTTGCAGAAAATATCTCACATGGTTTACTTCTACGAAAAGTAAATGATTTTCTTAATTAAATATCAATTAAATTTATTCTGTTTTTAGTCGCCTGTATTGCAATATTTATTTTATTTATGTCAGATTGGTATTGCTATGTCACCATTAAGTAATAATTCATTATTTATTAATTATAATCGAAATCCAATGTTGGAATATTTTGAACGTGGCCTTTGTGTTTCATTATCAACAGATGATCCAATGCAATTTCATTTTACTAAGGTTCGAAATTTATCTTTTTATATTGTCATTCAGCAGTCATATTTTCTTATCTCTAAGCTTTCAGTTTACAGTAATTTTTATAATCTGCATTCTATACAGAGAATACTTTTACAATCCCTATTATTATCGTATGCCCTCGAACGTGAAAATATGTTTGATGTTTTTTTAACCTTCATATGATTTTATTTAGGAACCTTTAATGGAAGAATATTCAATTGCTGCTCAAGTCTGGAAATTATCATCTGTCGATATGTGTGAATTAGCACGAAATTCTGTTTTAATGAGTGGTTTTTCTCATGAGGTTAAAATGTATTGGCTTGGTCTTGATTATCAAGAATCCGGTGTTGCTGGTAATGATATTCGTCGAACAAATGTTCCTGCTATTCGTATTGCATATCGATATGAAGCATTATGTGAAGAACTTCGTTTACTTGGCAATGCTTATAAAAGTCGACAAGAAGTAAGAAAGAAAAAATAAATATGTATGTTTAACTAGAATTTATCTTATTTTTAGCATAAAGAAAAAGAGCGACGTTTACAACAAATACAAACAAAATCATCATCATTAACAAATCTTGAGCGTGTTGGTAAGATAATAATAAATTTCTTTGTTTTGTTTTTCTTTCAAATTAAATATCGATTATGAAAATAATATGAACTATCAATAGGAATACTTTCTCCATCCTTCCAGGTTTGTTTTATTGTTGTCGGATATATACATATAAATAAGTCTATATATCTATATATATATACATACAACTCTGTATTTCCCTACCCTTTGTTGTTGTTAATAATGAATTCTATATTTGAAATGGTTTTTTTTATTTTTTAGTTTTGAATAATGGCAAGCATAATTCAACATCTACTATTTCCCCGAATCATTTAATAGTAGATCATAATTGCAATCGAATGAATGAAACAGACGATTCAAATAATGATGTCTCACTCTTCTAAATGAGCGTCATATTAAATTTTTCTTAATTTCTAGTTTATTTTTTTTTTCTGTGCAACAGTATTTGTGTGCCCAATATAGATCTATATTTTTGCTGGATTCATCTATATTTTCATGCTTTTGTTTTATTATTTTTTTTTTTGCCGTTTCGGACAAAGCTTATTAAAAAATAAATAAATATATTAAAAAAAAATTACATATATATAGACAGAGAGATTCTTTTTTATTCAAGATGGATATTAATCGTAATCGAACAACAAATGTGAAAGGTGCTGCTTTTCATAAACAAGCCAAAGATAATCTTCAATCGATATTAGATAATTTTTTGGCTATTATTAGTTTAATTAAAGTCGATGAAGTACCATACAATCAGGTTAAAGATCAATTACCAAGATTATTGACAAATACAACAGATGATTTCGAAATGCGTATACGAGCTTATAATATGGTATGAATTCTTTCTTTTTTTTTTGAAATAATTAATTAAAGTTTATTTAGGTTCGTGCTTTTGAATCATTACTTAAACTTGTCTCGGATTTAAAAGATCAAGCTGTACTTTATGATTTTCGAGCAATTAATGATGCAGTTAAAGCACAACGACAACGATTTAAAAATCAACAATCAGATTTAGATACAAAATTAATTAGTTTACGTGATCGATTAGCATTAGAAATGATTAAATTCGAAGATGAATATTCCAATAAATCAGTTTTTAAAACTTTGAAAAATTAAATTTTTTTTTCTTGTTACACTAATTCTTTTGTAAAAATATATATATCCATGATAAAAAAAAATATTTGAAACAGATTGCTATCTTCTTCAAAACAAGAAAGTAAGAATGCAGAGAAACCTTGTAGCAAAATAATCTTCTAAATATAAACGTTTTTTATTGAAATAAAGTCATAGAATGTTCAATGAAGTGAAATGAATTGTAGTTTTCTGACATTACGCCATTTATGAAGGAAATGGGCGACCTCTCTCTTTTCATATTTAATTTTTCGTCAAACAGTTCAATAACGTTATGTTCTTTGTTTGTGGTTCTATTTGATAGTTGAATGGCTATTGTCGCAACATTTTGTTATTGTACCATTCATAAATGAAACAATGTCAAAAAAGAAGGATCATTCATTTATTCATTCATTCATTCGTATCCATCTCAATTCTCTTTTAGATGACAACTCCATCAAAATCGAATGGAACTCCTTCGAAACAACGTCGTACACCGGGTAAACAAACTCCGGGTTCGACACAACGTACACGTATGACATTTCGTATGATTTGATTAATTTTATTATATAAATCATTTTATTTAGCGGCTAAACGTCGTAATCCATTGACAACATTACAAGAAGATGAAGCAGTAACTAGTCCAGCACCAAGTTCTCTTCTTCAAATGCCTTTTACACCTGGTCGAACACCAAATAAAAATCGAGGTCGGTTTAAATTATATTTCATGTTCGTTTTTTTCTGTATAATAAAATTTCTTCTTTTTATTCAGGTATGGCATTTTCACCAATGACATTTACAACATCTCCTGCTCAAAGTAATATTGGTGCAAGCAGTCGAACACCAATGTCGACACCATCACGTGCTCGATCCGATCTTGGTAGTGCACGAAAATTACGTTTAGTTAATGAACTAGATGAATTAGTAAGTATTTCTTTTATGTAAAGATTTCAAAAGAAAACTTTCAAATATTAGGAAGGTGATATTGATGTAAATACAGCTGATAATCAAGTTGTTATTTGGGGTACAGATGTTCATGTCAATGAATGTAAACGTCGATTTATTGGTTTCTTAAAAAAATTCCATTTAAATGTTGAAGAAGCAAATCTTGAAGGTGTTGATCCAGCTAAAGCATTTTATATGCAAAAATTAGAAGAAATTCATTTACTTGAACGTCCATTTTTAAATGTTGATTGTGCACATATGAAACAAATTGATAAAACAATGTTAAATCAATTACTTGCATATCCACAAGAAGTTATACCAATATTTGATATAGCTGTTAATGAATTATTTTTTACAATATATGAAGATGATACACTTCCACATCAAATTCAAGTACGACCATATAATGTTGATATGTTTAGAAATATGCGTTGTCTTGATCCTGAAGGTTTGAATAAATATAAAAATAATTTTCCTTTTCATACAATTTTTGTTTATTTAGATATTGATAAATTAGTTAGTCTTTCAGGCATGGTTATCCGATCATCATTAATTATGCCAGAAATGCGTGCAGCTTATTTTTCATGTAATACATGTAGTTTTCATGTTCAAGTTGAAATTGATCGTGGTCGAATTGCTGAACCTACTGTATGTACATCATGTAATACAGCACATTCATTTGAACTTATTCATAATCGATCATTATTTGCTGATAAACAATTTATTAAATTACAAGAAACACCAGGTAAATTTTTAGCTTAATAAAATAAAATTAAAATTTTTTTGCCATTTTGTTTTTGTAAAGAGGAAATGCCTGCTGGACAAACACCTGTTACTGTTACTGTTGTAGCTCATAATGATCTTGTTGATGCAGTCCAACCAGGTGATCGGTATGTATATATAGAGAGAGAGAATTATCTGATACACGAGGTCAGTCGTTTTTATAAGAGCATCGAGTACATAAGATTTAATCTATACGATATAAAGATACATCCGATTAAGCCTTGAGCAATTGATTAATCAAAGCATAAAATCATTACTAAATTATACGCACGCCAGTATACTGTAGTATAAACGATTTATAAGTAGCCTTGAAGCGATATACAGATGATTGGCGATTATTAACTCGACTAGAGATCTTGTTATACATACATGTATACGATATTTAGTGTTCAAGTTACTGGTATATTTCGTGCAGTACCAGTTCGTATGAATCCAAAAACACGAAATGTTCGATCCGTTTATCGTACATTTATCGATGTTATTCATTTTCGTCGTCAGAAAACTTTTACATCTGAAGGTGGAATTGACGATCATGGAACAAATGATGATGAAGAATCAAGGTAAAATCTACTTTTTTCTAGTTTTAATTTCACATTCAAAATTCTCGTAAAAATTTAGTTCATCAAAATTTTCAAAAGAACGTTTAGCACAATTTCGAAATTTATCTGAACGTCCAGATATTTATGATTTATTATCAAATGCAATTGGTAAAAATTCATAATAAAAAAAATTATCGAAAAATTTCTTTTTCTTTTTTAAGCTCCAAGTATTTTCGGACATGAAGATATCAAAAAAGGTATTCTGTTACAATTATTTGGTGGAGCAAAAAAACATTTTGCTGCTGCTGGACGAAAAAGTTGTCGATCACAAATTAATATATTACTCTGTGGTGATCCTGGTACAGCTAAATCACAATTACAACAATATGTCTTTCGATTAGTACCACGTGCTCAATATACGAATGGTAAAGGTACAAGTGCTGTTGGCTTAACAGCTTATGTAACAAAAGATCCTGAAACTGGTCAACTTGTTCTTCAAACGTAAATTTAAAAATTTCCTTTTTTATTAATTTAAAAAAAATTGTTTTTGTTTTATAGTGGTGCATTAGTTCTTGCTGATAATGGTATTTGTTGTATTGATGAATTTGATAAAATGAGTGAAAGTGCTCGATCAATTCTTCATGAAGTTATGGAACAACAAACATTATCAATAGCTAAAGCTGGTATTATATGTACATTAAATGCTCGTACATCAGTATTAGCTGCAGCTAATCCGATTGAATCGCAATGGAATAAATCAAAAACAATTATTGAAAATATACAATTACCACCAACATTATTATCACGTTTTGATTTAATTTTTCTATTACTTGATCCACAAGATGAAGCATATGATCGACGATTAGCACAACATTTAGCTTCATGGTATCAGTATGGAAAAGAAGGCGAAAATGCACATGATGCAATGGTAAATTTATATTGATTTATTTTGTTTTTCGATAAAATCGTTTATTGATTATAGGATGCTGATTTACTTCGAGATTATATATCTTATGCACGTACATTTGTTAGTCCACAATTAACTGAATTAGCAGGCAAACTTCTTGTTAGTTCGTAAGTAATCAAAAAAAATAAATGAAATTTCATGGTTTGTTCTTTTTCTATATATTAGATATGTTGAAATGCGTAAAGTTGGTAGTGGTAAAGGACAAGTGTCAGCATATCCTAGACAACTTGAATCATTGATTCGTTTAGCTGAAGCTCATGCTAAAGTTCGACTTTCCGATAAAGTTGAAGAACTGGATGTTGAAGAAGCTAAACGGTAAGTTGTACACCATTTCTTTTTTCATTATACATTATTGATTCTTTATTAGACTTTATCGTGAAGCATTAAAACAAGCGGTAAGTGTTTTTGTCTATTCAAAGAATAATTTAATCAATCGTTGTGTTTGTATTTCATAGGCAGTTGATCCTAAAACAGGTCGTGTTGATGTTGCAATCTTGACAACAGGTATTAGTGCAGGTGAACGTCGTCTTCGTGCTGACCTTGCTCAAACACTTAAACGTCATCTTAAAGAACGTAAATCATCACAAAATACAGGTGCAATTCGAAAAGATACATTATTCAATGAAATGCGTGAACGAAATGATGAACGTATAACACGTGATATGTTTGACGATGCTATCCGAGCATTAGAAGAAGAAAATTTTCTTGTTGCAACTAATCATACTATTCGTATTGTTACATTAGGTGAATCAAATTTTGATTAAACAAATTCAATTTATTTTTGTTGTATATACATTAATAGATATATATATATTTTTGTTATTGTTGTTGTTGTTGTTGTTATATCATTAGATATTATGAATAAATATCCATAGTTTTCTACGAAAATATTCTAGATAATTAACTACATAATTGTTTAGACATATTGTCAAGATTTATATATAATAGACAGCAGAACTAATGATGGAATGCTAGTCTATATGATGATTAATATTGAAAAATAGATTTATCACTTGATTTCGATCGGAAGAAAAATATCTTTTTAATAGAAATCACATTTGTAATTTAAGGATTGAAAGTGATATTTAAATGCAAAAATTTTCAAGGTAATTTATAAAAACAAAACAATGATTTACAAATGTCAAAGTATATATAATGATAAGACTATGATTTGTCTTTATGTTAGAGATAAGATATGAATAAATTTTATTCGTATTGACTCGGTAGAAATTATAGTAATATCTATTTAATTTATTCAATGATCAAAAATGAATCATTTATTCTCGTTGTCATATCTATCGTGTCAGATAAGATTTCCTGACGTTTTCTATTTTTATAAGAAATGTTAAAAATATTTCGAGATGTCATCAATTTAATGGTAAATTAATTCAGGAAAGAGAGAGAGAATTTCTTGTTCTACTAAGTCAACTTTCAAGACAGAACCATGTAATAGAGATGATTAAGATAAAATAAACGAATCAGCTGTTATGTTTTTAACCATTAGTGTAGACGCGATGAAGCATATGTATATAGATTGGAAGGTTAGTGTTGCTCTTTTTCTAATGAGATGTGTTAGAGAGAGAGAGAGAATAAGAAGAAAAAAAAAAGCGACGAGAACAAACGAAAAGAGAACGAGAACGATCGTCGTCGTTACCCCTTTCAGTCTGTTGTGATTCTATCACTACTAGCAATGTATACGAAAGAAATGAGAAGAGAAGAAGAAAAAAAAAATATAGATTCTTCTTTTTTTTTTGCCTTTACCCCGTCCGCCTTGTCGACGTATGTAAGAGCGCTCGCGCACTTCTTCTCTCTATCATAAACGCAAATAACTATTTTACGACAACACACGCATTCATGCAGCAGCTGCAGATGTGAAGGCGCAGTGCACAGCAGCAAAGAGTAGAGTATCGCTCGACACCCTATATATACATATACACATATATATATATATATATATATATATATTTCGTCTCCTACATACATACATACATACATTCAAAGAGAAAAACAGCAACGATCCCAGCATCAGCAGCATTTGGCATGGACAAAATGATGACATCTTCTGAAAGGTTTTTAAAAACGACAAATTGTGTGTCTCTATTGAAATTTTGCTGGCTACGCACACACATATATACATATATACACACAATGCGCGAAATGAGAATATTATTTAAGAAAAAGAAAATACCATTTAGTAGAGAGTTTAATTCGATCAGTGAAATATTCCCGGTATAGTGATTGGGGGGTTACATTAGGAAATAGTTGTTTTGCGTACTCTTTTTAAAGCAATAGAAAGAGTGAAGCAAAAAAAAGAAAAGGGAAATAATACGTCGTCAAAACTAAACGAATATTCGTGTGAGTATATGGAAATATGATTGAAAAAAAAACACACATACACATAAATATACACAGATTTCTTTTCTTATTCTATTGATGTCCTTGAACTTTTCCGATTTTTTCTTATTTCGAAATTATTATTTCATCAAAGGAGTTTATATCTTCTTTTGCTTCTTTTCTTTTTTTTCCTTTTAGCAAAGAATATTTATCTATATGTCCCATGAATCAACAACAATGGTTGTCTTTATGCGCATTTTTTTTGCTTTCCTCTTCTCATTACCCCATGAATAGTTTAACCCCGTTTAGGTTTTCTTTTTTCTTCTTCTTCTTCTCTCTCTCGATCCTTCTCAAACAGAAAAAGAAAATTTTGCCCCGTTAAACAACGATGGGAAGAATACATCATGTATTACTAAGAACAAAATACATTGGATGAATCAAACAATGCTACGTGTTGTTATTGATCACAAAATGTAAAAAAAAAAAAGAAAGTTAAATCTCTTATTATTATATTTACAAATAATATTTTATAATTGAGAAGAATTTAAAACAAAAAAAAACTTATCAATGACAAAAAATCTTTCTTTAAAAAGTTAAAAAAGTATTTTTTATTTAAATTGATAGGTTTTTTTCAAACAATTTATTTCTCTTTCTCTCTCTCTCTCTATCTCTCTACCCTTCTAATGACAAAAAGAATATAGATGAGAATAATGAATTGGTTATTTTGACACATACAATATCTCTCTTTTCTATTCATCAATTGACATTTTCAATTAATAAAAATAATTATAGATAATTAACAAAAAAAAAGAAAATAATTATAATAAAAAAGTATTTCATAATTATAAAAATACGATGAAGAAGAAGAAGAAGAAGGAAAGAAAAACACAGAAGTATCTCATTTAGTTATCTCTTCGCGCCAATTTTAAATTATTTTCTTCTAATTCTTTCTTTATCACACGTGTTTAGATACATATATATACATATACATATATCTATTTTTCTATATATTTGTGTGTATGTGTGCGTGTGTCGTACATTTAATGGATGAAGAAGGAAAAAAATTTCATACAAAAAATTTAATTTAAACAAAAAAATTCACGTCGAAAATCACATTGAAAATCTCTATAATCATTTCTCAAAATACAAAATTTATATTCATATTGACATATACATAACAACAACAAATAGATTTATCAAATAATATGTTGACCCTTAGGATACCCTGGTAGGTTTATGAAGAAAGAGAAAAGAATGAAAACGTACCTTTCGTGTATATATGTATATATGTGTGTGCGTTAACAGATTTTTCAGGAGGGAAAAAAATTCCAAAAAAATTCTTTTTTTGATTTTGTATAAATATTTTCTCGTATGTGCACAGGACGAATCAGACATTGGACAAACATGTCGGTGATTCTACGGACAGTGATAATGAAGAAAAAGAAGGTAGGATTTAAAATTGAAATTGAAAAAAAGAATAAAAATAAAATCTATTAGATGGTGAACTTGAAGAGGGTGAAGTTGAAGAAGAATTTGATGAAATTCCTCCTCAACAAAAAGATGGTATGTATTAGTTAAATAAAAGTTCCATAGAATTATAAATTTCTTTTGTTTCAAAAAAACAGATGCCAAAGAAAATAATCGTGATAATAATAATACAAATGATGCAACTATTGAACAAGATAATACAATTGATATAAATAATCATTTAAATATGGGTGCACAAAAATTTCGACGTCGTGATTATCATCATCATCAGCATCTAGGTCCACCACGTTTAAATAGTTTAGGAGGAGGAGGAGGACAACAAGATAAACGTAATAAACATGAACAACGAAGAAAACGACGTCATAGTGGTGAAGAACGTGATGATAGAAATCGAAAACCACCATATAAAGTATGAATAAATACTTAATTTTGAAAAAAAACATATTTTTATTTTTTAGCGTGGAAAATTTCGTGGTGGACCAATGCCAGATTTACCTGACGATGGTGAAGATGAAGAAATGCAAATGTGGCCACCGAGAGGACAAAATCGTGGTCCACGAAAGCAACAGTCTGATATTTTATCGAATGAAAATTCTGAATCAGCAGAATCTGGAGATCAACAATCATCTTTAAATCCTATTATAGAATCTAAAAGTGAACAATCAATAAATAGTGATGAAACATCATCACCTAATAATGATATCAATGATGATGAGAATATGAATTCAGATGAAAAACAAGATCGTCCAAATCGTTCAAGAATAAATCGACCTAATCAACAACAACAAAATTCTATGCCTATTGAAAATCGTAATCGAAGATATTATGATGGAAATACAAATAATAATAATAACAACAACAACAATAATAATAATAATCCAAATAATCGTCGATTAAATGATCGTGATCGTTCATCATGGCAAGATCGAACGAATAATAATAATAATAATAGTGGAAATAATTCAAATTCAAATCAAAATAATAATCCAAGATTTCGATCTGATACAGGATCATCAACGAATCATGGTCCACCATTATGCAAATTTTTTGTTGATAATCGTTGTATGAAAGTATGTATTCTTATATATAAAATCATATAATTTTAATTCATCTTTTCTCTCTTGTTTTTAGGGTAATGATTGTCTATTCAGTCATGATTATAAACCACAAAAGAAAATGGATGTGTGCAAATATTATGTTCAAAACAAAGGTTATTGTCAAAAAAATGATGCATGTCCTTATTTACATGGTGAATTTCCATGTAAATTTTTTCATACCGGTACAAAAGATTGTATACAAGGTGATCGATGTAAATTTTCACATGATACAATTACAAATGATGAAATTCGTTATGCATTTGAACGAGTATGTACATAGATATATTTTTTATTTAAAATCAAAAATTAATTTTATTTAGTATCTTAATGACTCGGATGAAATGAATCGACAAAATCGTGGAAATTCTAATAACAACAACAACAATAATAACAATAATAATAATAATAATATTCATCATAACAATAATTCTCCATCAGTTAATTTTGATGTTATTGGTGCTCCACCATTACCACCTCCACCACCTATTCCAGGTTCATTAACTGATCCATCGAATTTTTCAATGATACCAAATTTAATGGATTTATTTCTTTTACAAAATGGTCGATTATCAACGCCAACAAATAATGATTCAACAAATACAGATACAACAACTAATATTTCACAATCAAGTCCACCTATGAGACCTAGTCTATTTAATGACACACTTTCGACTGAAAAAACTGATAATGAAGAATCAAAAACAACTTCTTCAACGAACAGTACTAGTCCATCATCATCTAATCAAAATACGACATCAACTAATGACAGTACAACAGCAACTACAAATACATCTTCGAATGCAACTCCTTCGATAACAACAACAACAACAACAACCACAACAAATTCCAATTGTCCATTACCATTACCACCAACAAATGCTAATAATATTAATCTATCATCACCATTTGGTCGTTTACCACCACCAAATTTAACTCGACCACCAAATTCACTTTTGCCACCACCACCACCACCGCCTGGTTTATTTCCAATGAATACACTTGGAACAGGACGTGTACCTATTCTATTTCCAACAAATAATGGTTTACCTATGCCACCTCCACCAGGTTCATTACTTGATATGAAATTATTAGGTAAGACAAAAAAAATAAAGATTTGTTTTTTTCTTATTTCCTTAATTGAAAATTTTATTTAGCTCAAGCTGCTGCATTAGCTGCTGTTAATGCTGCTGTAGCAAATAAATTTACAACAACATCACATCATCAATCTCAATCATCAAGTCCTCAATTAGGTCGTGATATTGATGAACGTGATCGTCAATCATCGACAACAATGCGTGGAGATATTGATGAACGTCCATCCGATGCTTATAATCGTCCACCAAGCAATCTTGGCCTTCTACAAACATCAACAACAGCAACAATACCGACATCAAATATAAATTCACCCACATCATCATCATCACCAACAATGTCCATTAATGATGAACATTCAAAAACAAAAACAATAACAATTCAAGATATGTTTCGTTCAACAAGACCAACATCTATTGATACATTACCAATGCCAACAACAACAACTAATCCACAAGTTGGCCCATCCTTTGATTTTATATCTATGCTTGAACAACTTAAACAACCACGACAAACACAAATAAAGTATATATATAAAAATTTGTTTTTTTTTCAATATAATTATTTCTTTACTATTCTTTATTTTAGTGATAATTCTCATGATTCACTTGAAATTCGTAGTTCATCAAATCCAACATCAGTTTATAATTTACGACGAGTACTTGTTTCATTTAAACCATATATGTTACCTGATACAGCAACTGATCCACGTATTAGCAAATATCAAGACAAAATGTCTCAATGGTCTGAACAAGCAAGATTAGAACGTTTTAAAACTCCATCATCATTATTATCATCATCATCACATAACTATTCTGTACCATTAAGAACACAACAACAACAACATCAATATCAACAACAACAACACCAACAATCATTAATAAGTGACACAATTTCTTCACGTGATCCACGTTTACTACGAAACAGTGTACCAAGTAGTAAAATAGGTGTACCATTACTTTCTACATCATCTCCGTTTGTTCGACCAAACGATAATATGCTATAGCGATATATTTTGTTTTCTTTCGTTGATCCTATGTAAATGATTTTCTCTTCTTTTTTTTTTTTGCTCTCTATCTTTTCTTTCTCTCCGAGTGTATAATCAGTGAGAACTGAGATAGATACGTTATTGTTGACGCGCATAACAATCTTTATGTGTGTGTGTTTCTTTGTTTGTTTGTTTGATTTTTTTTTAAAAAAAACAAGGAAGATATGTGTCTTTTATTTGGATATGTTTATCATATTGAATAATTGAAATCATACTATTTCTTCTATCAAGAACTTTGCCTTTGATTATCAGTATCACCTCCTTCACGACTCGTGAAGGAAGTGTCCGATTGGACTGAATTTTCAGTATTACGAAGATCTAGGTTAAAATTTCAGTAAATTAACTATAAGTCGAAAAGAAAGCGTTATTAACCGCTATCCTTTTAAGCTGTTACTAGGCACACTAGTATCTACTTTTATACACAAAATATCAGCTCAAAAGCAATTTTCAAGTTGGTGACCCTTCCTCGTAAGTACCTTCTCAATCAACGATATTTATCCTTAAATGATCTGGATGATTTAATATATCATGAAAAATTGTTTGACATTTTTTAGTTGTTTTATAGATAAGTAGAAGTGATGATAGTAACTAAATGTTAACTTAGATGTTGTTGATGATGATGATCGAAGAATAGATTAAGATAAAATAATATATCGTTAACATATTTGTCTATTTTATGTTGTTCATTGAATTAAGAAAGAAAAGAAGAATTTTTTTTTATTGTTATATGGTGACATCTGATCTGTAAATTGTTTGATTCGACCATTGGACATCTATGACAAGAGCATGTGAATCATATTCTTTTGCTTTCGGACACTCTCGAAAAGCTGATTGTCCAAGGGAAAGAGGCCAAAAAAAACAGACAATTAGCTGTACACTCTCTTTCCTCGATCGCCATTGCTTATTTTTGTTTATTTATCTTGTTAGAAGGGCTTTTCTTTCTTCTTTTTTTTATACTCACTTATATGAAGATTCTTTATTTATACCAAACCTAATGTTGAACAATTCCTTTTACTTAAATGGGCAATCAAAGTATAAAAGATTCAAGTACACGTGCATCGCCTAATTTAAAAAGTCGTCGTTCAATATCAAAACCATTTCTTAATTTATCTGGTTCACATACAGAATCACCATTAATATCAACATCATCACTTGCAACGACACATACAAATGTAGATGATATATCTATTCATAGTCAAGGTAGTGTACATATATATATATATATATATTTGATAATGTTTATCAGAACATTCCAGCATGAAAAGAGAAAAAAAATATTTTCTTTTTTTCTTCTCATATATACTATTCATTTTCATTTTCGACAGATGTCACGAAAAAAACGTTCTGTTAGTAATAAATGTAAATTTCTTCTAGGCTCATTTCGTTCAACACCTTGTGGTACACTTGCACATATTCAATCTCAACAGAATAATAATGGTTGTTTAACATTAGAAAAACGTTGGTTGTCCCGTGAATTATTATTAACACAATGTGATACGACATCAACATCATTTCTTGGAAATAATAATAATAGTATCACATCAACGAATTGTCCTTTACATCATCATCATCATCGTCCAAATACACCAAATGATGGAATATATATTGCTTGTTTACCATTTAATGCAAGTGATCATCAACAATTATCCTTGGCAGTTGGTGAACATTTAACTATTGTTAAATATCATGATGGAAATGAGGATTGGGTTGAAGTACGTAATAGTCAAGGTCAAATTGGTTGGGTACCACAAGTATTTATCAAACCATTATCATCATTAGATAGACATTCATGGTTTCATGGAAAAGTATCGCGATGTGAAGCGGAATATTTATTAACACAAGGAATTAATGGAAGTACGTTATTGATAATATTTGTATAGTAAAAAGGAAAATTTAGTAATTAAAGGGCAAAAGAAAAATATTAGTAGACCAATAATGATAATGACTTGTACTTCTAATAGATAATAATGATAAGTGTGTAACTTTTGAACATGAACAAGGTTAAGGTTTTCATTTGTATCTTGATGATGAGTCAAGAAAAAAAAAATTTCGATCAAGGTTGACTTTCTTTTCTTTACACATCAGTTCATTAACATTTTTCATAATTTCTTCTTTTGCGAATGTTACGAAAAAGTAATAATAATCATATTCAAAATGTTTTAATATTCATATAAATTTTTTAAATTTATTTCAAGGTTTTCTCGTGCGAGACAGTGAAACTGTTCCAGGTCAATTATCAATTAGTCTACGATACGATGGTCGAATATATCATTATCGTATAAATACAGATGAAAATGGTCAATATTATGTTTCAACTGATTTACGTTTTGCTACATTACAACAATTAATACTTCATCATTCAGCACAAACTGATGGTCTTGTTCATCTTTTACTTTATCCAATAAATAAACATAAAACTCAACCGGCATTATTTAAAATCGATGATAAATGGGAAATTCCACGTTCCGAAATAGCTATGAAACAAAAATTAGGTGGTGGACAATATGGAGAAGTTTATCAAGCATTATGGAAACGTTATAATAAAGTTGTTGCTGTTAAAACATTAAAAGAAACAATGAGTTTACAAGATTTCTTAGAAGAAGCAGATGTTATGAAAGATTTAAAACATCCAAATCTTGTTCAATTACTTGGTATATGTACACTTGAACCACCTTATTATATTATTACGGAATTTATGCCACATGGGTGTTTACTTGATTATTTAAAAATACGACCACGTACTGAATTAACATCAACGGTATTAATGTATATGGCTGGACAAGTTGCTTCAGCAATGACATATTTAGAAGCAAAAAATTTTATTCATAGAGATTTAGCGGCAAGAAATTGTCTTGTTGGTGATAATCATGTTGTTAAAGTGGGGGATTTTGGTTTAGCTCGTCTTGTTAGATGTGAAGATCATTATACAGCTAAACATGGTGCAAAATTTCCAATAAAATGGACAGGTAAATAGACAACTTTACTTGTTTCATTTGTCTTCAGACTCTTTGTTTTTGTCTTTAGCACCTGAAGGTTTAGAACGAAATCAATTTTCAACAAAATCTGACGTATGGAGTTTTTCGATTCTTCTTTGGGAAATTGCTACGTATGGTGCTAGTCCATATCCAAAAATAGAACTTTGTCAAGTATTTGATCATCTTCGAGTTGGAAATAGAATGGAACGTCCAACTGGTTGTCCAACAGATGTATATAATCTAATGCAAAAATGTATATGACTATAAACATTTTTATAATATTCTTATATTATTGTTAATGTTTATTTAGGTTGGAGATGGAATCCAGATGAAAGACCAACATTTAAAGAAATTCATACAGAACTTGAAAGTATGACAACGGTGGGATTTCATATTCAAGAAAATGGTATTCATCATTAATATATATTAAAAGTTTTATAAAAAAATATTTTTCATTTAGGTACAGCGAAGATCTTAACAGCTAGTGAGTTTGCTGCTAATGCAAATCGAGCTCGAACTGGCCCATCACTTCCACCACCTCGACCACCAGCGCGTACATGTTCATTTACAAGTGTTCCATCTGCAACTCCACCACCACCTCCGCCTGCTGCTGCTCATCAATCAATTCTAGCACGTTTTCTTTCATCACCTCGTCCAAAAATTCCACTAGATCAGCAACAACAACAGCCAGTTACGATTATTGAAGATCCAAATGAACAAATTTTACCCACTATTATTCATCAACAACCATTACGTGATCGACCAAGAAATCTTAATCCTGAAGCTCGTCTCTCAACATTTAGTAAAAAACAAACCACTTTACCAATAACAACAGCAGCACTTCCAAATTCGATATCAACCACAACATTTGTTGCACATAATCATTCAACAACAAATGGTATTGAGCCATTACATAATGTAGTTTGTGATAGCGTTCAACGACCTATACCACCATCAAAACCTAATCGAGATGGATCAATAAAAATCAAATCACATAGAAAATCTGCGAAGTGATTAAATTCTATATTCATTTTTTTTGAAATAAAATTAATTTTTATGTTTAGAGCAAAATCTAATATATCTATTGATAGTTTAACATCTTCATCAAGTACAAATCTGACTGAATCAAAAACTCCCGAACATCAACATTCATCTTCCAATTCTTCCACAACAACACCCGAATTTTGTCGTATTCATCTTCGACAAACAGGAACTACATCTAATTCAAAAACATCTGCTGAATCAGAAACTCCTCCAAGTGAATCAGTACCATCATCTGTTGGCATGGCTATACGTTTATTTTCTGAATATGCATCAAGTCGTTGTCAAGATCCAAAATCCAGTACAACAACAACAACAACAACGACATCATCAGATAATGATCAATCATCAGATACAATTCGTTCATTACTTGAAACAGTTCAATTATTAATAAAATATATTCGACAAGTACAAAAAAATCGACAAAGTAAATTAATTATGACAAATTCAACAATAAATATTGATGATAATGATATAATTAATGGTAAAAATTTATCCGCTATGCCAACAACAATAAGTTTAGTTAATGATTTGAATCTATTTGGTGATCGTTGTTTAGAATTATCAAAAATAATCTCGCCACAAATCGCATTTAAATTACGTGAACATATACAAAATATCAAAGATACATCAAAACCATTATTTGATAATGATGATAATCGTGATGAAACATTTGTCTTTTCACAAATGACAAGAATTTTACAGGATATTAAAATAATTCTCGACAAATTATAATCACTCTTCTTTTCGTATTTATATGAATGACAATTTTTTTTTTGTTGTATATTTATTCTAAGTCATTTATTATTGCTTTATAATGCAATCATTTCTTATTGTATCTCTCTTTTCTCTCTTCTGTCAGATGATCTCATCTTTCTCGTCTTGTGCATTATCGTATTTGTTGTTATTCAGGGACATTTCAATAATTAGCCTTTAGAGATCTTCTTCTTCTTCTTTTTTTAGCATGGATTCATGTATGTGTGTATAAATGTTATTAAATTGCGTCTCTTTTTTGATGTGCTTTCAATATTCACTACTGTGTTTTTTCCATGCGTGTTGCGCAATCATCATTGTCAAATCAAATAAAAACATTGTTTTCTTTTTTTTTTTTTGAATTAAAAAAAACAAACGAGAAATTTTGTCTCTATATATTATTCTCAATTTCTTTTTTTCTGATGTCGAATTATCGATATTTATCAACAGCAGCAGCAAAATCAACAAATAAAAACAATCAAGGACCCGTTCTTTCAGAAGTTGCTAAACGATTATTAAAATTTGCTCCGGATGATAAACTTAATCAATATTTTCAACGTCCTATTGCGTATTGTTATGGAAATCGTATGATAGAAGCATGTTCACCACAGAATCCTACACCGGTTAGTCTAATAAAAACAGCATCAGAGCTTCATGATCAATTATTAGTACGTGTCGCTCATTGTATATATCATTTTCAATCATTACCATTCCTACCAGCGACGAATCCAATTTTATTATCGATACATGATCGTTATAGAAAATTATTTAAACTATTATCACAATTTCCAAGTATAAAAACCGATAAAGATGAAGAAGAATTTTTTCATACAATACGTATGTTTAAAGGACAAAATCAAGATATTATTGGACAATTATCAAATGGTTGTTGTGAAGCAAGAAAACATTTTAAATCATATAGAATAATGAAAATATTTCTTGATAATATTTTACATGATCGTTTATCAATGCGTTTACTTTGTGAACATTACCTTGAATTACATAAACGAGAAAAGAAAAATATTCCGAATGATAACTGGCGTGGAGCTATTTGTATGAATTTTTCACCAGCAAAAACTGTTCAACAATGTATTGATGATGTTTCATCAGTTTGTTTTGAAACATATGGTGTTGTACCACATGTTCATATGGAGAATCATATGCATGAAACGATACCATTCTTTCCTGATATTGTAGAATATATTTTACGTGAATTATTAAAAAATTCTGTACGTGCTATTGTTGAATATAATAAAGCAAAATTACAAAATTTACAAGATGTAAAAAGATTCTTTGAAGAAAGCCATCAGGAACCATTATGTAAAGTTTTAATTACAACAGATCCTGATGATGAACATTTTACTATTGCCATTCAAGATCTTGGTGGTGGAACTGATCAAACAAATGAAAAAATATTTCAATATTTATTTACTAGTATATTAAAATGAAAGATTAATTATTATTAGTTTAATTTATTTTCTAAGGTGTTCCAATTCCAACACAAGAAGAGGAAAATGAGGAGATGAATATTGGTAGTTATCCGGTTTCGTAAGTGAAGATTTTGTTTTCGTAAATAATTAAAAATTTTGTGTAGAAAACCACGAATGTTTGGCTATGGATTTGGTTTGCCTATTTGTTTATTATATGCTCAATTCTTTGGTGGTTCATTAACATTTCGACAAGTAGCACGCATTGGCAGTGATGTTTATCTTCGTCTTGGTTTTATACATACAAATTCTGAACGTATTAAGATCTGATACATTCATTGTTTTCCGAGTGATAAAATAAGTATTCGCGCTATTTTATTTTCAATATTTCAATTATAAATAAATAATAAAAAAATGACTACTATACAGAGAAAACTTGGTCGTCGCTATCAAAGATATATATCTGCACGACAACAATTTGAAGATAAAGAAGATGATCCAAAAGATATTTGGGAACGTATCATAAAAATGTCTGATGTTTTATCAGCAATGGCAATTGATCTACAAACAAATGATATATTTCCATTGTATGGTTTGAATAATGTTGCACGAAATGATTTGAATATATATTGTCGAGAATATATTGAAATGGCTATAGATTTTTCTTTAAATATCAATCCAAGTGATGAAGTAAAAATTTTACGTATAAGAAGTCAAGAACGTGAAATTATTATTGCTTCTGATGATGGAACAATTTTTGTTATTATACAATCATTATCGAAAGAAAAAGGTAGCACAATACCAACATTTTCACTTGATCCATGAAATATGTTAATTTTTTGAACCAATACTAAATACAAAATCAGAAAATATTCGTTTAAACGTGAACTGAATATATCAAGATCGAAATGATGTCATTCGTTTTTTCACATTTCGAGATAATTAAAATGCCATTAGCATGAAAATTTAGCTGTAAAATTTTATGAATGAATCACTTTAATCATTTAACTTTCTATATACAAAACTAGATGTTATTTGAGTTTCACTCGACTACGAAATGCGATGCGATGCGAGGCTGAGTGTGGGTGGTTGTGTGTGTGCGTGTGGTTCAAGACTTTACTGTTCATCAACCGATCCACACACATACACACTTTCTTTTTCAATCAAAACTTTTTCTACTATAAACAAATATTTGATTCACTTACTGATCTTGAAATTGATAATATCGAATGAATGACATATCATGAGAGAAAAAATATTTACTGAAGTTAAAATCATAACGTTACATATTACCAATAAAATACCATTCAGAATAAGCAACTCGTCAAATGGAACTTATAAGACATTATCAGAAATAAATTCTCTTGGATAGCTCTAGTGCTGATACACGTTCATTTTAATTATCATGAAACTCAATTAATACAGTCTAACTAAATTTTTTCTCTTATTTATTTCAACATTTTAAAAATCTTCTAAGAGTATTTCATAAATCATGTTATTTCTTTGAATCATTTAGCTAAAGTCTAATTAATTTAAGCATTAATTGCATCGCACAAAAAACCTTATAGATTTCAAGATCATGAAAAGAAAAAAAAGAAATCTTCTTATTTAATTTGATTATAATGTTAATAATTCACAAGAACAATGTAGCTTATTATATAAGTGACGACTGATGATGCAGCCTGTGGAATTAATTATATCATATAACTAAGCAAATATTTAATACAACTTTTAAATTGCATATAATTTTTAATTTGTACTTCTGATTAAATTATTATTTAATACGGAGTATTCACGATGTAATTTAGTTGTCTTTCAGGAAACAATATACATGTTTTTTCATTTATACATGTGATTTGATATGTAAAACTGGAACAAAATAAATTGTATTGTAACATCATCATTTCTTATGATGAATATTGATTATTTATAAGAAAAGTATAAAATACGAATGACTTTGATCACTCTTAAATCTATCCTAAGAAACAGAAGATAACGTTTATTGATTATAATAAATATATCAGTAATTACTTTTGAATTTCAATGTTTATGTTAAATCGAATAAACGTTGACATAATGTATTAAATGAGTTTATTTTAATCATTTAGGTGATAAAAGAAAATAGTTAACTCGATGAACTCCACTAATTGTATAAACTTTATCAGAATCGGAATAATCATTGAAACTACAACTCAATCAGTTAATTCAATACTCACCTTCATGGTTGTGATCTAAATAACAAAGTTTAGTATTTTAAATTAATTTAGATCATCTAGTACAAGACTTATCTCGTTAGTAAGACTAATCTAATCTTGATTCCGATTTTTTCTTATTTTCGGAGTTATCCACTGTACGCGTAGGCAACTCCCTACAAATTAGAACTAATTCCAAAATAAGTTAACAAAACTTTTTATTTATTTTATGTATCAAATATTCTTTATAATTTCTTTTTTACAAAATTCAATACTATCTTTCACAGTTTTTATATGAGGATGAGTTGGAGGTAATGCCCGTTCTCTGATGTCCAGAGCATGTTCATAATATGATAGTGCTTTCGAGTAATCTTTCATATTTCTATAAACACAACCAATGTTGTTGTATGAAGTAGCCAGATCAGGATGACTGGGCGAAAGAGCTTTTTCGCGAATTTCAAGTGCTTTCTCGTGTGATGAAAGTGCTTTCGAGTACTCTCCCATATTGTTATATACCAAGCCGATGCAGTTATATGAATGCGCAAAATCAGGATGATTCGAAGGAAGACTTTTTTCTTGAATTTTAAATCCTTTTTCGCAAAATGAAAGTGCTTTTGAGTATTCTCCCATCTTGTCATACACCATACCAATGCTGTTGTACGACTGTGCAGAATCAGGTTGATTTGAAGAAAGAGCCTTTTCTTGAATATCAAGTGCCTTTTCAAGAAATGCAAGTGCTTTTGAGTACTCTCCAATGTTCTGATACGCACCACCAATATTGTTGTACGATTGAACAAAACTAGGATGATTTGAAGGGAGAGTTTCTTCTCGAATTTCAAGAGCTTTTTCATGAAATGAAAGTGCTTTCGAGTACTCTCCCATTTTCTCACACGCAACACCGATATTGTTGTATGAAGTAGCCAAATGAGGACGATTTGTAGGAAGTATGTTTTGTTCAATTTCAAGCGCTTTTTCATGAAATGAGAGTGCTTTCGAGTATTCTCCCATGTTCTCATATACACCGCCAATATTGTTGTACAACTGTGCCAAACCAAGATGATTTGAAGGAAGAATTTTTTCTTGAATTCCAAGTGCAGCTTCGTAAAATGAAAGTGCTTTCGAGTACTCTCCCATGTTCTGATACACCAAACCGATATTGTTGTATGAAATAGACAATAAAGGATGATTGGAAGGAAGAGTTTTTTCTCGAATTTCAAGTGCTTTCTCAAGCGATGAAAGTGCTTTTGCGTACTGTCCTAAGTTGTAATGCACTAAACCAATGTCATTGTATAAATGTGCAAAAACAGGATGATTTAAAGGAAGATTTTTTTCTACAATGTCAAGTGCTTTTTCATGAAATGAAAGTGCTTTTGAGTACTCTCCTATGTTCTGATAAACCAAACCGATGCGGTTGTATAACTGCGCAAAATCAGGATGATTTGAAGCAAGAGTTGTTTTTCCAATTGCGAGTCCTTTTTCGTAAAATGAAAGTGCTTTCGAGTACTCTCCTGTGCTAGCATACATCATACCGATGTGGGTGTATGATCGCACAAAATCAGGATGATTTGAAGGAACAGTTTTCTCTCGAATTTCAAGTGCTTTTTCGAGAAGAGAAAGTGCTTTCGAGTACTCTCCCATGATCCAATGCACGCAACCGATGCTGCCGTATGCAGAAGCCAAATCAGGATGATTTGAAGGAAGAGTTGTTTGAGCGATTGCAAGTGCTTTTTCGAAAAACGGAAGTGCTTCAGAGTACTCTTCCTTGTGGCCATATAGCGAGCCGATATGATAGTATGACAGCGCAATATCGTAGTGATTTGAAGAAAGAGTTTTTTCTCGAATATCAAGTGCTTTTTCGTAGTATGAAAGTGCTTTCGAGTACTCTCTTTTGTTAGCATACATGAGACCAATGTTGTCGTATGAAGTAGCCAAATCGGGGTGATTTGAAGGAAGAGTTTTTTCTCGAGTTTCCAGTTCTTTTTCGAAATACAAAATAGCCTCTTCATAGACACCCGGGTCATTTTTGACATATGCCAGTGAATCAAAGTAATGTGCTTTTTCACCCGCATCAGATGTCTGTTCGAGTAGTACTTTATACAGTTCTTCAGCTTTATTAAATTGACCAATGTGAAGTAATAATATACCCAATCTTTGCCATCCAGTACCGCCACCAGCTTCTTCTCGTATTCGATCAGTAAGTAATCGTAGTTGTTGATCATCATCCGATGTTAATTCTAATTCAACTTCATAAAGTTGATTGTTATTGTCCATTGGTTGAATTGTATTAATTCGGAAGACGGTGTGCATTGAGAAGAGAATTTCGTCTTCTCCGTTAAAGTAACTCATCTGTTTGATGGAGGCAAATGGTGTCGATTTAATACAAGGATCAATGGACATTATAAAGAGAATGCCCATCGTATCTGCTTTTGTTGAAGCACATTGAGCAAAATCGAGGGAGACTTCTTGATCTTTACTGGTGGACAAAAAATTGTTAAATGAGATTAGTCCACCTTTTGTTTTTTGAAGTTTTTCAAAGTCTGATTTCATAAGACCTTGTCCCCGATAAACTATAAAAGATTTTCTTTCATAGCTATTGACTTGTTGTTCGTACAGCTCTTGAATTTGTTGATGCAGATGAGATATAAAAAAACCCATAGTAATAATTGCATCAGCGTCCAGTATTCGAAGAGCAGAATTGAGCATAGAATAGATATTGGATGGAAAAGTATACCACCAAATAGCTAGTTCAGCATTGTATTCTTTCTCAAAACGGTTAATGTTAATTGAGGACACATAATCATGACGTCGACAGTAAGTTATGAAGTCTTTGATAGCCTGTTCATCATGTTGCATATCAAGAAGGATTTCCTTGAAAATCTGAGTGTACATAAAATTTGGCTCCAACTGATTCAAATTATCAGTTGATCCTATTTCTTCCACTGTGATGAAACTCATGGCTATCGAATCTTGATTGTATTGTTTAATATCCAGTTGTAATCCTTGACATATGTCATCAATGTTGGTATGAACTCTCTTGACTTTTTGCCATTTTTTTGTCCATTCTTCATGTAGGGTTTTAATATCATTGAAGATATAAACACCATCCAGCTGAGGAATATCATTGATGAGGGGCATTATTTGTTGAGCAATAGTGTTCTCGACAACAAGAAAAGACGTGATGTCTCCACTATCGGAAATAAAGTCGACGCATTCATCTCTCTGTGTAAAGATGGTGACATTGTCGGCAAAGGTTTGTATTTGTGTTAAAATATGTTTATAATCTTTCTTTGTTTCGTTCATATGCTCATCTAACCAAATGAGTAAATGATCTTGTACGATACGTCTTCGCCGTTCGATAATATCAGGTATTGTGCCCATTCCGTGTATTATATGGATTTTTTTATTGAATTGATAATAGTGAAGGAGATGAATAAGCTTGATTGTTTATATGAGAATCGAATCTCTTTATCTAAAAAGTTGTATAACGCCATTAACTATCTTTATAGGTTTATGTAGATAAATCATAATAAAACTTTGTCCTCCGTATCATTTTATGTACGTTATAGAGCCAGGTGACGACAAAGAACGAAAAAAAAAGAATTTATTTTTTTCAACTTTCTTCATAGATAAGAGATAATATCGAGGCTAACAGAAGAAAACACATTTTCTTTGTAAATAAAACACATTAAAAGTCTCGCAGCATTTTCTCTTGTGTTGAAACCGCATATCGAAATTACACAAGAAGAAAAGTCAAATGATCGTTTTCTTTTTTGTGAACGATCAATAAAATATACTCAGTTTTGTACACATATTATCAGCAACAAGAGTAAATAATAACAAATATTAAACTCATTGTTCGACAAATTAACAATTTATTCATTATTACAATCATAATTAAAACTAGCAGAAGTACTTGCTGTTACAGGAAAATTGAGGATATCAATGTTGGTGAGATATATTAATGGCACCCACATCGTCAAAACGTCTGGTCATTATCTCATTTCGTTCTCGAGTGAATGTAAAAACAATTGCACACTCAAACTTTCTAAATGGGACACTAACTGCAGCGCTACAACACGGCGGTTATTAAGCAGAGTCTTGAACGGGTCTGTCTTTTGTAGCCTGTGTAATATTTTTTACACAGTAACATCATTAGAATAATTTAGTAGAAAAAGTATTACCATTCAGAAACCACTCTGATTTGAGAGGAGAATATTTTTATTATCGCTCCTTTTTGTTCTTCATTCCTCTTCTTTTATGGAACCAAAAATCATCCTTCTCTTCACAATATTCACTCCTAAAATACTTAGCGATATCAGCTGTACGTGAGGAAATGAAAGAGAATCAACATTCTGTATGGAAGAGATATATCATGCCATAACATCGTGTATGTTAGATATTTTTTAAGATTTATTTTCAGAGTTGCTTGAGCAATTTTCAAAAACAAAACATAATATAATGTAAACATCGATCAGTTGTACAAGAATTTCGTTATAATCTTTAGCTGATCAAAAGTTACAAGCATTTTACTGAAACTTGTTTGGTCTATTTTTATGGAAAAACTCGCATTTTTTCTTCAAGTTTTTTTGAGAAATAACTCAGTTGTGTGTACGTATAGAATCTTATAATTTGAAAGAAACTTCGTGTTGCCATTTTTAAACGGTGGTTATGTGATTAAAATCAGTATTTTATTGCATTTACTGTAGTGATTAGTTGAGAGATTTAATCATCTAAAATGGTGATTATTGAGGTTATGGTTGAGAATGTCTATGTGAGTAGCATATACTAGAAGTGTGTTTAGAAACGGCTGTGATCATCATCATCTTCATGCTGTATCGATAATCATGCAGACATATTGACCAATTCTATGTCCAATCACATGCCCACCATGATTCAATAGTTTTCTTTTGAGCGTCTTTACGTAGTAGACCGCTCTCCGTGTTGGTAGCTCTTTTCATTAGAACATATTCTTAGTGATATCATTCTATATTAAGCGTGTTTTCATGATAAAAGTAAATAAAAATTTCGAAACAGTCGACGGATCATAATAAGAGACTGTTGAAGTAGAATACAGTAAGTGATTTATTTGTAAACATCCGAATTGCATTGTAACAAATGTAGGACAACTGATTAGGAAAAATGAAATGCTGAACTTTTCTCCACTAATCATGGTGCTATCAAATTATTTAAAGTGGTGCAATTCATTTTCATTAATAAAAAAATACTCATCAAAATATGGTCGAAAAATTAGTAAAACTATCGCAACTCCTCAGAGACAGGACAAGGGTCTGTATTATTTTCAGCTTTTATCTCTCATACTGTGTTCTAACTGTAAATAATTAGTGAACTCGATCTGCATCGGACGATTGCAAAGCTTCCATTGTTTGGGGTTCAAAAACTTCATAATAAACATTTAGAATGTTATTTTATTGTAAAAATCAGTTGTTATCTATATACAATAGATGATGTTCATTTTTTCATACATTTAATTTAGCTGATATAATTCTATATCTCCATATATACAATACTTGAAATTTGACTTCAATTATTAAATTAGACCATGCGTTGACGACATATCGGTAAATGAACTGCAGTTTTTAAAATTTTTCTGTATCACACGTGTCCTCGTTCACGACTATTACAATGCAAATCTATATAGTTATTCTTCTTTCATTTACTGATCGCTTATTCTTTATAATTTCTTTTTTACAATTTCAATACTCTCTTTCAGATCTTTAACATCAGGATGACTTGGAGGCAATGCATGTTGCTTGATGTCCAGAGCATGTTCTAAATTTGAAAATGCTTTCGAATAGTTTTTCATATTGTAATACAGACTGCCGATGTTGTTGTATGATGTAGCTAGATGAGGATGATTTGAAGGAAGAGTTTTTTGACAAATTTCAAGGTCTTTTTCATAAAATGAAAGTGCTTTCGAATACTCTTTCATCTTGTTATACACATTGCCGATATTGTTGTATGAAGTAGCCACTGAAGGATGATTTGGAGGAAGAGCTTTTTGTAAAATTTCAAGTGCTTTTTCGTAAAATGAAAGTGCTTTCGAGTACTCTCTCATTTTTGTATACACATTACCGATGTTGTTGTATGAAGTGGCTAATGAGGGGTCATTTGACGGCAGAGTTTTTTGACGAATTTCAAGAGCTTTTTCATGAGACGAAAGTGCTTTCGAGTACTGTCCCGTCTTTGTATGCACCAAACCGATATTGCTGTATGAAGTAGCCAAATCAAGATGATTTGAAGGAAAAGTGTTTTGTTGAATTACAAGTGCTTTTTCGTAATACCAAATAGCTTTTTCATAATCGCCTTGGTTCCAGTGGACAAATCCCAGCTGATGATAATAAATCGCTTTTTCACTTTCATCAGTTGTCTGACGAAGTAAAACATTATAAAGTTCTTCAGCTTTATTAAATTGACCAATTTTAAGCAATAGTTTACCTAATCTTTTCCATCCAGTACTGTCAACAGCTTCTTCTCGTATCCGATCAGTAAGTAACCGTAGTTGCTGGTCATCATCGGATGTTAATTGTAATTCAACTTGATAAAGTTGATTGTTATTATCCATTGGTTTAATTGCACACACTCGAAAGACGGTGTGCATTGAGAAGAGAATTTCTTCTTCACTTTTAATGGCACTCACTTCTTTGATGGAGGCAAATGGTGTTGATTTAATACAAGGGTCAATGGACATTATAAAAAGAATGCCAACCTTGTCCGGTTCTGTTATGGCAGTGTGAGCATAACTGATGGATACTTCTTTAACTATACTGGTGGACAAGAAATTGTTAAATGACATTAGCCCACCTTCTGCTTTCTGAAGTTTTTCGAAATCTGACTTCATAAGACCTTGCCCTCGATAAACTACAAAAGACTTTCCATCATAACTGCTGATCTGTTGTTCATATAACTGTTGAATTTGTTGATGTACATCACGTAGAAAGAACCCCATATTAATGATTATATCGGCGTCCAATATTCGAAGTGCTTGATTGAGCATACAAAAGATATTGGATGGAAAAGTATACCACCAAATAGCGAGTTCAGCATGATATTCTGTCTCAAAACGGTTGATATTAATTGAGGACACATAATCATGACGTCGGCAGTAAGTAATAAAGTCTTTGATAGTCTGTTCATCATGTTGCATATCAAGAAGAATTTCCTTGAATATCTGTGTATACATAAAATTTGGTTCCAGCTGATTTAAATTATCAGTTGATGCCATTTCTTCCACTGTGATAAAACTCATGGCTATCGAGTCTTGATGGTATTGTTTAATGTCGAATTGTAATCGTTGACATATGTCATGAATGTTGGTATGAACGCTCTTGATTTTGTGCCATTTTTTTGTCCATCTCTCATGTCTGGATTTGTTGCCACAAAAGATATAAATACCATCTAACTGTGGCATGCCATGGATTTTAGAAACTAGATCTTGACCTAAGGAGCCTGAGGTTATGACAAAGGCTCTTTCATTGTTAATCTGGGTAAGTATTTCGATGCACTGATTCGACTGAGTGCATAAGTTGACGTCGGTGACCACGTTTTTCAACTGATCTAGCGTGTTTTGGCAGTCTTTGTTTGTTTGATCGATGTTGGCATCTACCCAAATGATAAGGTAGTTTTGTGCCGTACGGTGTCGTTGTTGATAAATATTAGGTGATGCCGTTGATTTTAATGTTGTTGTAGGACTTTCTTTCGATTCTATTGATGTTGCTGTAGGATTTTCTGTAGATTTCTTTGATCTTATTGTAAGTTTTATTTTCGATATTTGTGCACCCATATCGCCTTAAAATGTGAACTAAGTTTTTATGTGGAATTAAATTGATTATGATTGATTTAATGGACAGCTAAAATTCATGTCACCTATTTACAAAGGCAGTGACTTAATTTTTCTCGGTTTTTTGATGGCTTCGAATGTTTGTGTTTTTTTTGTTGTCGCTCGAAGACAAACACCACCTAGTTTCTATTGAAAATGGCACTGTGAAGAGCAAAAAAAAGATCAAAACAAACAAATTTGTTGGTAAGATTATCGAAGGAACGAACAAAACAGAAGCCAACAATTGAATTCATTTTGTTGTTATTCTTTCCAAATTTCTCTTGCCTCTGCTTACATTGTTACTGCCGTTTGCCAATATGTACATGACACTTTTCTCATCGACCCTATTGACGGTGTGGGTGGAGTGAATCACTTGGTAATTGTGAGGGAGAGGCTGGGTGTGATTGTTGTCACTAAGAGATCATTATATTCACACCCACCCAAACACACCCTGATCTTTGCATTATTTAGCTCCTCATTTCAGTTATTTTATTAGAATGCTTTTTACAGATTTTTATTAACTCATTTTATTATATTATCAATGACCAAAAATATAATAGTCAATCAAAATTCATTACAATAACTCGATCATAGTAATACATAACAATCATCCTACTTTTATAACAAATCATCGAAAAAAAAATATTATCGTGATACTATTATTTATTATTTTTGAAACGAAACTACGGATTTATACATAAGTAAAATTCTACAAATTCCCTTTTTTAAAGATCTCAAGATTGTAGATCAAAATAGAGCAAAATAATTTTAGGGTGCATTTATTTTTTTTAATGATACAAAAAATAAATAAATCACACTCATTTTAACACATGTTATCCATGCTTCTTTCAAACAAAACGAAAGAAAACAAGTTTCAATGACAATTCGATTATCGAATCTTTTAAAATCTTGATTTCGTAGTCTTATGATTAATTCAATTTGCACTCAAAGTTAATCTTACCTAAATAGTATAAATCAATAGAGTAAGACATGGCTTATTAAAAAGATATCAGATTTCATTTTTGTTTCTTCAGAAAATGAAACTAAATTTATATAAATAGTGATATTAAGAATGTCAATATATCGTAGCTCTAAGATAAAGGCAAATAAAAGAAAAAAAAGAATAAAGAGCATTACTTTTTTTTGAAAGCGATACATATTCTATGATGTATTTTATTGGTCTATCTTGTATTGTTGTTTTTATTATTATTTCAAATAATTGTCTTGCTACACCTCTTGATGATTATGTTAATACCCCGGATCCAATGTTCAGTTGGAAACGTCTTCAGACCTATCCTTTTCCAACTTATACGCTTTTTATCTTGAATATGACATCACAACGATGGTTTGATGGTAAAAATCATATTTTTATAAAATATTCGCTGATTGCTCTTTATATATATATATATACATAGATTCATTTTCTTCACAACCAATATGGTGGCACTATATAGCTATTACAGTTCCAAAAAATATTCGTCGTTATAAAACAGCATTTCTAATGGTTAGTAGTGGTGATAATACTGATTCGTGAGTATATACATGTAAAATAGTTTGATATATTTATTTATGAATTCCAGAGTACCTACTAGCAATCCAATGACATATCTGGCAATAAATTCATCTAGTATTACAGCGACAATATGGCAAATACCAAATCAACCATTTCAATTTTGGGTAACTTATTTCATTACATTATATGATAACTGATTTATTATAGGCTGATCCATTGAAAAAACTTCGTGACGAAGATGCACTTATTGCATGGACATGGAAACAATATCTTGATACGAATGGTATGGATCCTCGAGTACTGCTCCGTTTTCCAATGACTAAGGTAAAGATAAACAAAAACTAAATAGATTATTTATTGCTAACAGGCAGTTGTACGAGCTATGGATACTATTGAACAATTCTTACTACAAGAACGTATTACTGTACCACAAGAATTTGTTGTTGGTGGTGCTTCCAAAGTAAATACTACTATGTTTGAATAAATTTCATATACATATATTATAATTGTTTATGTTTTAGCGTGGATGGACAAGTAAATCTAGAACAAATTTTTCTATTTTATTCTACATCGAGTTTTAGCATGGACAACTGCTGCTGTCGATAATACAAGAGTAGTAGCTGCAGTTCCTATTGTTATGGATTTACTTAATATCCGTTCAGTAAGAAAAAGATTCTTCATATAAATAAATTAATTAATTCTTTGTAGAACATGATGTCACATTATCGGGTATGTGCCTAATTTAATTGGCAAAGATAATATATTGATTTTAATAGTCTCTTGGAGGATGGACATTTGTATTTGATGATTATTATGAGATGAATATAACTCGCTATATGGATAACCCTCTTATGGATAAACTATCTGAAATGGTTGATCCCTATTGTAAGACATTGAATAAAATTTATTTAACTATGATAAAAATATGTTTATTTTGAAGCATATTTTGATCGATATAGCAAAACTAAAATCTTTCAACTTCAAGGTGCTGGTGATGAATTTTTTTTTCCTGATAGCGAAGTAAAACTCTATTTATTATCTATTTAAAATTTTACTCATTATTAGGATTTCTTCTGGAATGAATTACAAGTAGCTACTGGAGGATCTCACTTGAGGTAAGATAGTTGAGGAATAAAATAAATCATAAACTATATTTTATACACAGAAGAATACCAAATACTGGTCATAGTATACGAGGATATGAAGAGAGTTTATCGAGCTTTTATCTTAGTGTCGCGGATGTAAGTAGATATTATTTTTATTTTATCTAATAATTGATAAATATAGCGAATACCATTACCATCAATGAAATGGACTCGAACTATGAATGGAACACATGGTTTTATTCATGTTACCATTGATTTTAGTTCTGGAAAACCAAAACCAACAACTGTTAGTGGTTATCAAGCTCGTACTAGTGATACATTAAGGTAAGATTAGAAAAGTATTAGATGAAGATTATTAATATTTTGTAGACGTGATTTTCGACAAGCAAAAGTTGATCAAACTACAGGTAATATTGTCGCTAATCCTATAGTATGGGCAAATACAGGTGTTCAATTCCAGGTTATATTTAAAATTATTATTTATCTATACATTATTATTATTATTATGTATCTAGGGACAAAGTGGTACAACAGCTTCCTATTTATTAACAGTTTCTATTCCAACTGATGGTTATTGGCTAGCAACATTCATTCAAGCGACATTTGATGGGCGTCAAGGTACAATATTGACTCTAACAACAGAAACTCTTATTCTACCAAATACATATCCAGTACCAGAATGCAATGATCAAGAATGTTATGGGACACTTGTTTAAAACTCTTTAGAAAAAAGAACGCAAGAATTTTTTTTTGAAACTGCATAAGAAAATAAAACACGAGACATTTTTTTTGTCATTTTTAACTTTCTTCTGCCTCCTGTAAAAGAATATTTCTTTCTTCTATGATGAATATTAATTTTAAAAATGTATTTGGTATTCCCTTGATAATCTTTATAGTATCTTGGTTATTATTTTTGACATGGTCATGTCAGAATAATCAAAAACTGAGAATATTAACAAGAAACACATCGAATACACAATCAATATTTAAAACAGGTCCAGGCATTCATTCATCTTGGTTAAGACAAATTCATCAACATGAACAAAAAATTTATTCACAGAATGGTGAAGATGGAATACTCTTATGGATATTTGCAAATATTGGTACAGTTAATTATCCACCACGTTTTGTTGAATTTGGTACTGAAAATGGAGATGAATGTAATACACGTTTTCTTCGTGAACAATTAGGTTGGCAAGGATTAATGATGGATGGAAATTATGAAATTCCAGGTATAAATCTTTATAAAGAAAATGTTACATCAAAAAATATCAATGAACTATTAGCAAAATATCAAACACCATCTTTACTTGATCTTCTTTCAATTGATCTTGAGTAAAATCTACATAAATATTTCGTTTTTATATTAATTTAATTTTTTATAAAATTAGTTTTGACGATTATTTTGTATGGAAATCAATTTTACAAGCAAATCGATTTCATGCACGTGTCGTTATAATTGAATATAATTATGCAATTCCACCAAATGAAAATCGTGTTGTTGACCCGAATCAAGATTCTCGTCGATGGACAGGTACAATGCATTTTGGTGCCGGTATTTTAGCAATGGCAGCACTTGGTCGTGCTTATAATTATACATTAATTTATGCAGATAAAATGGGTGTTAATTTATTTTTTATTCAAACTTCTATACTTATTGATCAAAATATTCTTCATAAAGTACGATCAGTTGAACAAATACATGTACCAAAACCTATTGTCTATTGGAATCATCCTCAAGAACGAGATGAAACAAGACGATGGATATGGAATGATACTGTATGGAAATAATACATCTATTAATTTTGTTTTTTATTTTTTTTATATGTAATATAGCGGCATCTAACCTATTGTTGTCAGTTTGTTATTAATAAAAGTCATAGTTACCTGACAAAACATGGCAGACTTTAAGTAGGAGTGTAAAAAAAGTTTTCTTTTCCTTCTATAGTCATGGTGTGAAGATAGAAAGAAAACACAGAAGAAGACGTCGAGCAATTAGATCCATAACTATAGAAAAATATACATCTACGTCGTTATTTTATGACAGTCTGATGTTATAAAGAGAAGAAAAAAAAATATCTACTTTCCTTTTCTAACAGATCATGCAAACTATCTTTAGCCGGCAGGTGCACTATTTTAACGAATCGTTATGACATTAAGAAACCATACATTTCAACATAAATAACAGATTTATTGTTCACAAAATAAAATGGCTTCCTAAAATTTTTTTTTTGTTTTTGTTTATAGATTAAACAAATCTTCTCTTTTATATGGATGGCAGTAATAAGTTTTGCTACAACAGATGTACCCGATGTTGGTCAACGTCGTAAAAATGCATTATCATTACCACTATATTATGTACAAATATTAGCGATTATTCTTATTTTATTTATTGTTTTAATGAATTATTTAACATTATGTGTGAATATTCCAACACATCCATGGCAATGGTTAAGTATTGTTATATCATCAGTGTTTATTCTTCCATTTTTAATTCTTTTTATTATAATCACACTTGTTGATCCAGCTGAAGATTCAGTAATCAATCAAAATCATGGACCACGAACTGATTTTGATCGAAATTTACATCAACATGTTATAACAAATTATTATTGTAATATATGTGATGCACATGTTACAGCGAAAGCAAAACATTGTTCATCATGTAATAAATGTGTCTATTCATTTGATCATCATTGCATATGGCTAAATACCTGTGTTGGAGGCAAAAATTATCGTCTTTTTTTCTCCATGTTAATTTTAATTGTTATTGGAACATTATTTATTTTTATCAATAGTTTACTTCAATTTATTGGTTCGTTTCAAAATTCATCTTCAATGATAAGTTTAAAACCATATTATGGCTTAGATCAATATGCTATATTAATGATTCCATCATCACAAGCTGCATTTCAAGTTATATCAATGATTGTAGCAGTTATTTCTATTGTTGCATTTGGAATGACAGGATATCTTCTTGCTTTTCATATCTTTCTATGTAAGTTTCGAGGCTAAAAAAAGAAATATATGAGAATTTTTGTTTATATAAGATTATCAAAAAATGTCAACATATGATTATGTTGTTCATCGACGACATAATCGTACAATCGATCAAACATTAACACAATTTAATCAACTGACTCAAAATCCAAATGCAGAACAAAAAAATTTACAACAAAAAGTTGATTTTTTTATTGAAAATTTATTTAATCTTAATTTTGTTTTTTTTTGTATCTTTAGAAATTGAAAAATAATCGAGTAGGGCTGGCAAAAGAAAATGGTACAACAAATCAACCTCAAAATGGACGAATTTTTACAGTGGAAGAAAATCATGTATGAAAAAACAACATTTTCACTTCTCAATTATTTTCTATATGTGTAGAGAGAAAATCCACGATCTTTATCAAGCTGTGGAAATACAAATCAACAATCTTACATCGTTAATAAATCCTATCAAGATGAAGACGAACAGTATTAATAGTAATTATTTTATTAGGTGATCAAATATATCGTAACTGTAATTCTTAAGAGTTTCTTTATTTTTAATTTTCAATGTTATCATAAACTTGTTATTTATAAAAGAAAATAAAAAAAACGAATTGTGCTATTCAATATTATTCTTTCGATTTTTGCAGATGACAGAACATCAACTAGTTCTTTTGAATGCAATTGAAAAAGGACATACTTCAATTGTACTTAAACTTCTACGAAATCATATTAATTTAGATGTGACAGATATTTATGGTAGAACACCACTCATGATTGTTTGTTGATAAATTTTATTTTATACAAAAAAAAAAAATATTATTTTTTTTCTCTATAGGCAGCTAAATATGGTCGAACTGATATTGTTAAAGTTCTATTAGAACATATGGGAACAACAGGTATCAATACAGATCATGGTGGAAAGACCGCATTACATTATGCAGCTGAAAGTTCAGAATTACCAGTAAGTTGAAGATAAAAAAAAACGAATGAAATATATAAATTTTCTATTGTAGATCATTAAAATATTATGTAAACGTCAAACACCATCGATGACAATGGCAACAATACGAACGAAACTTATCCCACTTGATTATACACTTCGTAATACTGATATTCATCCAATATTGAATAAATATACTGAAGGTGGTGAGATTAGTGCTGGTGAAAGTGATGATGATGATGAAGATGCACCTATGCCTGGCGTCTACGTCAAATCGAAGAAGAAGAAAGGTAGTGGCAAGAAAAAAGGTGGCAAAAAATCAGGATCAAAGAAGAAAAAGAAGGGTGGAAAAAAGAAGAAATAAACATTGATGTTTTCTTTATAAATATTTATATTCTGTCTTCCATATTTAATATAATTTATTTAAAAAAATATATGAACAATAAATGTACAAAACCACCCTTAAGATGTCGCTTATATCTATTCCATTATTTTACAATGCATCTGTATGGTTACATACAAAAGAAACAGAAAAATATCTGATGAATCATTTTACCCTTTTCTCTCTCTCTTTAATAGTAGTCCCATCATAATCGCTTACTCGTTTATTGTTAAGTAAACTGTAAGCAAGTGATAAGATAATAAAACCATAGTTTTTCTGTTATACTGAAACAAAAAAATTCTTATATCATTTAAATTTCTTTTCTATTTACTACAGATAATTATTATTAATTATGACGGGGCGTCTTCCAGCCTGCGTCATTGACAATGGTACAGGTTATACTAAATTAGGTTATGCTGGTAATAATGAACCACATTTTATCATTCCATCAGGTAATTAAATTAAACATTATTTGATGATAATAATAAATATTTTTTTTCTTCGAAAATTATTCTAGCTATTGCTGTTCGAGAACGTCCAGGTGGTAGTCGAATTGGACAATCAGGAGAAGATTTAGATTTTTTTATTGGTGATGAAGCATTCAATGCAAAAGGTTATTCCGTAAAATATCCAATTCGTCATGGTATTGTCGAAGATTGGGATCTTATGGAAAAATATTGGGAACATTGTTTATTTAAATATCTTCGATGTGATCCTGGTTAGTAAAAATTTTCTCTATTATTTCTTTTATCTTCTAATTCTCTTTATTTATTGTAGAAGATCATCATTTTCTTCTGGTAAATTAATTTATTTTTATTGAATCTTCTGTATTTTTATTTTTTCTGAAGACTGAACCACCATTGAATACACCAGAAAATCGTGAATATACAGCTGAAATTATGTTCGAATTATTCAATGTACCTGGTTTATATATCGCTTTACAAGTAAATTTAATTATTTAATGATTTTATATGCATGAAGAGATATTTTAGGCGACACTTGCATTATATGCATCATGGATTGCCAGTGATGTAAAAAATATGCTTACTGGTCTTGTTGTTGATTCAGGAGATGGTGTTACTCACGTAGTTCCTGTTGCTGATGGTTATCTTATAGGTAGTAGTATCAAACATATTCCAATATCTGGTCGTGATATAACCTATTTCGTCCAATCGTTATTACGTGAAAGAGAACCAAATATTCCACCTGAACAATCACTTGAAACAGCTAAAGCTATTAAAGTATATTTTCCTATAATTTTATTTATTTGAATGAATTCAACTGTTTCTTCTTTTCATAGGAACGTTATTGTTATGTATGTCCTGATATTGCTAAAGAATTTTCGAAATATGATGAAGACCCGCGTAAGAATTATTTACAATATACAGGCATTAATTCAGTTACTAAAAAACCATTCAATGTCGATGTTGGACATGAACGTTTTCTTGGACCGGAGATATTTTTTAATCCTGAAGTATGCATACTCTTTTGTTTTCATATAAATCAGTTCATATTTTTATATATTAGTTTTCTAATCCGGAATATAATACATCTTTATCAAAATTAATTGATGATATCATTCAAGATTGTCCTGTTGATGTTCGACGTAAACTTTACAGCGTATGTTAAAAAATATATATTGATTTATATTATAATCATAACATTTATTTTTAAAAGAACATTGTCTTATCCGGTGGTAGTACTATGTTTAAAGGATTTGAAAAACGTTTAAAACGTGATGTACAACGATTAGTTGATGGTCGACTTCGAGAATCTGAAGAACTTAGTAAACATAAAGTACGAATAATTTAAAAATCTCTTAAAAAATTATTCATTATCTTCTTTTTTTATTTCTAGCCTGAACCTATTGATGTAAAAGTTGTAGCTCATGCAATGCAACGTTATGCTGTTTGGTTCGGTGGTAGTTTAGCTGCAAGCACAGTAAGAAAAAACAAAAGAAAATAATTTTTCTCCTATTATTCATTTTTCTTTTAAGCCAAATTTCTACGAAGTTTGTCATACACGTCAAGAATACGAAGAAAAAGGTCCAAGCATTTGTCGTTATAATGCTGTATTTAATCTTGTGTGAACGATTCTTTTCTTTTGTTATTTGCTTTTTGTTTCTAACTTTGTACGGAATGAACTTTATTCTGTGTTTTTTTTGCGCATTACTTCGTCTCTGTCATCTTCTAGATTTTAATAAGCTGAGAGAAAGAAAATTAACATTCGTTTTTTTTTGTGTTTATTTACACATGATGATCTCGCCTATCTTCTTATCGCTTCTTTATATTTATGCAACAAAAACAAAACATTTTAAAAATAAAAATTTAAGCTAATCTGTTGATTGTGAAATATGGATTTTTCTTTGAAGTTTTTCATATGGTATAAGAAATGATCGTTGTTTGAGAATATTTTCAGCTTGATGAAAAGGGAACATATATTCAATAGCACGATTACTTGAACCAATTATTGTTGGATAATTTGTAAAAATATCTTTGGAATTATTATTAAGTGGAGAAATATTAACAGTAAAATTTGATTGAAATTCACATCCATTAAGAAGTGCACGAGTAATATGAACAATTAACATTGCTTCTGTATAATTCGAATGTAATTTTCGATTCATTGGAATCTGTATTGATTCTTGTTGTTCTGATTGTATAGTAGATGTTGGTAAAAGATATTTCATAGCAATCTTTTGCCGTTCAATTAGATTTGTACACAATGGTAATCGCCGTTGAACATTTGAATAAACTGTTTCTTTATTTTTCAACATCGTTATTAAATCCCATTCTTTAAGTTTTTGTTTCGGTGTTTCTGATTGATTTTGAATAGATTTATTGATTATGGATTTTGAATAAATATCTGAACATAATATTCCATCAATAGTTAAATGATGAGTAAGTATTGTTGAACATGAATTATCCATTGATCCATTTCCTACTATAAAAAAACCATTAACACGACCATGTATATTCTCAGTTTGATCTAATATAGTTCTATGCGCATAGGTAGTATCAACACTTGCACCAAGACCAAATATTCGTTCATTTGGAAATTTACTAACACGCGATGCAACATAAGTCATTAATTCATTTGGTTGTGTACAAATAATTAATGTAGCATGAGGTGAATAGATACATACTTGTGAAACAACATTTTCAACAAGTGATGCATTCGTTTGAATCCATGTTGATATACTTTCAGTTTCTAAAATAGAACTAAACGATTCTATCTAGATTTTAAATCACAAACCTAATTGATTATGTTGTACATTAATAATGATAATTGTTGAATTTTTTGTTTCCCAATAAGATTGAACCCATTCAAGATGTGTATTACTTCGATTAAATAAAGCAAGTAATTGAAGATCATTAAGTATAGGACGAACTTCTAGTTTTTGATAGATATCAAAAAGTTTGATACATTCAATTGAAGTTGATAATTTATAAGAAAGAAGAGCAGCAATCGACGAATATGTCGTTGCATTAATACCAATAAATGTAACACGAGGACAATGATAGTGAGTCGTTTGTAGAGAAGCATTACGAATAAAAAGACGATTTTGAATATTCGGTATTGATGGATTAGGAGGAAAACAAGATGATGGATGTAATTTAGGTCGATGTTTCATTATTCATTTTTGGCGCTTTCTGTATACTTAAAATAGATGAACATATTATAGCGACCTCTCATATGAATTTTTCTATTGGTTGAATATTGCCAATTGATTTACAATGAACAACGCACTAACACAAAGCTACAAAGGAAGAAAGATGAAATAAAAGCAAGACATTAATAATTTCATAACACATATTATTTGGATGTCATTGCATGAATATGTTGCAATAAACTGATATTTAAATCGTGGTTTTTCATCGTTCTAGATTTTCAAACTTCAAATTATTTTTTATTTTCAAATTCAATAATATGTTCGAGGTATAGAAATAATTTATATATTCTTATAATACGAATTAAATTTAGGCACGTCTTTTACATGGTTCTATTTTTGCTAAAGTTATTGAAGGTCTTCGAGAATTAGTTAATGAAGCAACATGGGAATGTAGTGGTAATGGAATTACACTTCAAGCTATGGATAGTTCACATGTTGCATTAGTTTCACTTGTCATGCGATCAGAAGGTTTCGAATCTTATCGATGTGATCGAAATATGAGTCTTGGCATTAGTCTTGTTAGTATGTCAAAAGTACTTAAAACTATGGGTAAAGATGATTCATTAACAATTCGTGTTAATGATGATTCAGATTCAATTATAATTGCAATGGAATCACAAAGTAAGGCTTTTGATTTGAATTTAGAATTCATTTATTTTATTTTTATTAGATCAAGATAAATTCGCTGATTATGAATTACGTTTAATGGATTTAGATAGTGAACATTTAGGTATTCCAGATACAGATTATTCATGTACAATTAAAATGCCTAGTAGTGAATTTTCACGTATCTGTCGAGATATGAGTATTATGGGTGATTCAGTACTTGTTTGTACAACAAAAGAAGGTGTAAAATTTTCTGCTAAAGGTGATCTTGGTCAAGGAAGTATTCGTCTTGTTCAAACAACGAATATTGAAAAAGAAGAAGAAGCAGTTGTTATTGAAATGAAAGAAGCTGTTGCACTTACATTTGCTGTTCGTTATTTGAGCATGTTTTGTAAGGCAGCACCACTTTCACCTCAAGTTGGTTTAAGTTTATCGGAAGATACACCATTGAGTAAGTATTTATCATTCTATATGTATACAAAGTTTCCAATATGTTTTCTTTCTTTTTAAATTAGTGTGCGAATTCAAAATAGCTGAAATGGGTCATGTTCGTTTCTATTTGGCACCAAAGATTGAAGATGCTGAAAATTAAGAACAAAATTTGGACAAACTTCGATAACGTTAATATAAACTTGTCAGATGAATATTATTTTTCTGGTCTTCTATATTTTTTTTGTTGTTGTGTAATTGTATAAAAAAAAAAAAAGAAAATGAAACCTATTTTTGTTGTCTATATTTTGATGAGATTTAAATGTAATAGAACAATTTTCTTTTCTTATGATATCATGCACTTAATATATCTATATATACATATAACCAATTGTCTCTTTCTCTCTCATGTTTTTAGATACAAAGAAAATGAGTGATAGTGTAAGTTCATAAAATTGTTGTTGTTGTCATAGAGTTAAAAACAATAAATTATATATTTCGATTTCAGACAGCAACAAATGATATTTCTGATAAACCAATAAAGGTAAACAAATGGGAAACAAATGCAGTCAAAAATGCACTAGATGATGCATGCAAAAAAGTATAATTAATCTTAGAAATTCAAAAATATATTTTAATGAGAATTTCTCATGTTGTAGTTTTTCAAAGAGACTCTCAATTATACTGAAGATTATACATTAATGGATCGTCGTCTTTATATCTCATTTATTGCATGTTTATTTTCACTATTTGCTCTCATTTATGATTGGTTTAATCCATTTCCAAAATCTCGTTCCGTACTCATTCTTTGTGTTATCTCGTATGAAGACATTCTCATTCTTCTTTTTCTCTCTCTATAAAATTTTTTTCATCTGCCTAGTTATTTTATTCTCATGGGTATTCTTACAATATATATGCAATTTATTGAACGTGGCATATTTTTTAGTGGTAAACTTGGTAAATATTCTCTAATATTGATGTATAAATCTACATTATATTATCTATGAATTTAGTTGATAAAACTGGTATTGATCCCGTATCACGATGTACAATAAGTTCTAAATTGAAAAAGTAAATCCTTTATCAATGAAATAAAACTTATGATTTTCTCTTTGAACATTTCAGATATGATGATAACTATTTTTTAACCTGGGAACATAATGATAAAAGAGGTAAAGCAGCAGGTTCATTCATTAGTTCTGTAGGCAATTATTTTGATGAAAATGGTGTTTTATGTTATGATCGATTTACTAGTGCTTTAAAAAAGACTTATGATCCAGCACGTGTGTATGCTCATAAAGTTCAATAATCAAACGAAAAAAAACGAAAGAAACTCATGTTATTCATTGTTTTTTGTCATGTTTTATGTTTTTGAAATAAACGTTTTCGAACATCTAGTTTTTGTTTTTTTCTTACAATTATTTTAGATAAGTATATCAAGTAAGAGGGTAACAGTATATGATTAGAATAGATAAACTCTACTTCATTGAACTATAGAATATATAGTCAGGTTTAGTAAACTTTATGTTAAACGTAAAACAATTAATGAGTCATATTCCCGCCACTTTATTTTTCATAAATCGAAGATATTTGTAAGATTAAATTATGTTGAAAAAATATGTATTTAAAAAAAAGGCACTGAAAATAAAATTAAAAGAGAGAGACAAAAAAACGCATTAATTCGTTAGTGTTTATCGAATAGATAAGTTTCGTTTATCGATAGTTGTAGTAACAAGTCCAATTTTTCCATTAGATGTTTCGAATAATTTTGATTGTTGAACAATTCCATCTCCTTTCGGCATCGATGAAATTAAATTTGATTCTTTCATCGCAGCATTACGTGCTCGAAGTAGAATTGGAACTGTTTTTAAACTTGATATAAGTTTAAATGTAAGACCAATTAAACAAAATGTTTTAATAAGAATAAATGTTGAACGTGGATCTGTATGAATTTCAAATGTTTCACAAACAATAGGAACGATTGGTTTATCTTTAGTTGTTGTAAATATATTCCAAAACCAATTGAAAATTGATTCGGTTTTTGTAGAATTATTTTCTTGTTGTTGAATTTGTAATTGTGTTCGAACAGGTTTTGGACATTTCGATGCAACAAATGCAAGTGTTCGATAACCATTTCGCATCCAATAATATTCACAATATGCACAAATAAGACCAGTGAGAAGACAAATCATAAAAAGTTTATTTGTCATTTGGTGGAGTAAAATAGGAAATAGATGAATAGAATAAAGAGTTTATCTACTTAACAACCAAAAGATAATAAATAATGGCGCGAAAAATAATCAACTATTCTTTTTTTTTTCTCTTATAGATTATTATTAGAAAAATATGGCAACACTTAAAAAAAGAATTTTACAGAATATAAGTCAAACAGAAACAATAGCAAATGAGGTAATTTAGAAAAAAAATACATTTGATTTTGATCTTTTTTATTCAGTCTCAAGAACCACCACCAGCAACAACAACCACAGCGACTTTAATTCTTGATAGTAAAAATCAATCGATATCTCCATTTATTAGCAAAGTTCGTCTTGTTGAATTACCCACATCTTCTTATCCTCGTTTAACTGAGTTTGTAAAACGTTTGAAAACATTGAAAACTCTTCGAGAATATAATGAAATTCTCGTTGAATTCATTGATCGACTTATTCTTTTTCAAAATTATATTGATGATTGTATTACGTAAATAAAATCTTTTCATTTAATAAAATTCCCCCCAATATATTTTATATAGAATATTAGTACAACATATTTTGAATGCAACTGATCCATTGATTCAAATTGCTTTTATTAATACATTAATTACTGTAGAACAACAATATCCGAAAAGTTCAGTAATACATACGAATCAATTACTCGAGCTTGGTGAACAGACAAGTAAATAAAACAATTTTTCATTTAACAAAATATACATATATTATTCTTTTTCTAATTAATAGAATCTATTAAAGTAGCAAGTGCTTTATTAAGTTATTTTTCTATATTACCAGCATCATTATTTCTCGATAAAAATGCTTTTGTTCGTTTTGCTATTCAAGTAAATTTTACTAATTCTTTTACTTTTATTCTTCTATTTTATTTTATTAGTATTCATCGAATATTCATGTTCGAGTACAATTATGTGCCTTTAAATTATTAGGTACACTCGCTCGTGCAATAGATCTTGAATTATCACTTAAATCATCGATTGTTAATAAATTACTTCAAGCTATTGATCATGATGATGCAAGAGTTCGAGCAGAATCTTTACGTACAATTGTATGAAAAAAACTTATTCTTTTTTAATTTGATCTAATATTTATAATTTTTAGGTAGATTTATTTAAATGTAAAATTGGCTTGGATTCAAATCATTATAGTTCATTTGTTGAATGTTTACAAGATTATTATGCTGAAGTACGATTAGCTGCATGTGAAGCATTATTTCTTCTTGCTATTAATGCTCCGGATAGGTATTTTATTTACGAAAAAAGAAGAATTCATATTTTTTTATAATTGAAATTTTTAATATTTAGTATTGTACCATCAGGAATATCAAATGATGAATCATCAAAATTAATTAATGAAATATTTCGACTTATTTGTGATTTAACAAATGATGAAGCAAAAATTGTACGAGTACAAGCTATGAAAATGATTGTAAATAGAAACAAATAAAATTAATCACATAAATCTACTTTTTTTTCTACAGGGACAATTATGTCGAAATGGTGTTGATATTAATTTAGTTCATCAAACATTAGATAAAAAACTTTTACGAGTATTTAAATCCTTATATTATTAGAAATTTTGTTTTTTAAACGATAAAACTTTGTATTAGATAACAAAAAAGAAAGCATTTATTGCAAAAGTTGAACAATTAGATAGTGAAATGGATGATATAACTGTTCATGATGTTACAGTTGATGCTCAATCAGCATCAATTACAGCTATAGGTCCATATGGTGCTTTAATTAGTGGACTTGAAGATGAATATTCCGGTAAATAGAAATCCTAAATATTTTAGTATAATTATCTTTAACGTCTATATGTAGATGTTCGTGCTGCAGCTATTGATTCTTGTTATGATATATCATGTTGTCATGATGTATTTCAATCGAAACTTGTTGAATATATTGTATCAATGTTTGATGATGATATAGAACATGTTCGATTACAAGCAATGCGTGTATTAGGTAAAATTGCTCAAGGACGTGTATTACGTGGTGAACAAGTACTATCGATATTAACAGAATTACTTGTATGTACAAAAAAAAGAATTTTTGAAAAAGATATATATATTTATTTTGTTCTATCTGTGTTAAGAGTCGTTCGTATGATATTCGTTCAGCACTTCATGATGTTTTACGAGTTGTACGTATTGGTGATCCGGATACATTATTTAAATTATTTCATCGTCTTGTGGAAAATATTCAACGATTTAAAACTGATAGTCATTCGGTTCTTAGGTTTGAAAAATGAATTTTATATATCCGAATACTAATTCAATTAAAATATTTATTTAGATGTTTACGAGAATTAGGACAGAATAATAGTGCATTTATTGCTCTTATTTTACCAAAATTATTACCAATGCATAGTTATTTAGATGTTCAAGAGCCTCAATTTTCTAAAATAGATCGTGTGTATTTACTAAAAATAGTTGAAAAAGATTATTATTTATTTTTCGTTATAGATACTTGTGCTTTAATCTTAGTACTAAATGCAGCTTTACATCATCCATCGATTATTTCTGTTCTACCTGATTATGTTTTTCGACATTATCGATATTTAAGAACAAAAGAACCTGATCTTACACCTAATCTTCAAACAGTAAGTAATATCCCTGGTGACTCGTTTTGAATTTGTTCGTTTAGAATTTCTCTCATGGTCAATTAACAAAAACATTTGATGTTGATATTTTACTTCCTACAACTGTTTCATCATCACATGATGTATTTGAACGTATTCTAAAACTTTTTGAACAAGGCCAAGATTTACAGGCAATTGATAGACAAAAATTCTATCGAAATCTTGCTGCGTATGTATGAAAGTTTTTTCGTTTCATATTTATCTTCTTTCTTTTTATTCAGAGAATTACATAAAGTAGCTGAAATGGACATTGGTCTATTAGCTATCTCAGAATGTTTATCACTCTATTGTGAAGTCTTAGCTATTATGACTTATCAATGTAATACTCGAAGTTGTTTGAAGGTTAGTTGATTTCAACGAAAACAAAATTTAGATTTATCAGTTTTGTATTTTAGGCATTATCAATATGTAAACGTCTGTTAACGGTTTTTCACGGTTATTCAAAAAAGCAATTATTAATCTTTCAACAATTACATTTATATTGTCATTTATTTCTTATATCAATTCAAACAAAATTATCAACAAATGTTCGTCAACGATGTTATAAACATATTCAATGGCAACGAATGCATCAAAACGATGCTGAAATTAATATTGATGAAAAAATTTTACATACAAATTTAATATCTTATGCTCAACAATATATTTCCATAATGTCAAAACAGATTTTATTAAATAAAACAAATTTTCTTAAATTAAACGATCCAATTCGTATGGTATCTGTTAAATTTCTTGAACCAGAAACAGATATTGAACAAGTATTAGAATTTCTACCAGGTCTATCTGTATCAATACCTTGTTTAATGAATGCAAAAAATCTTGATCAACAACAAAATATTAATATAAAAGTATTTCTTAATTTTCGAAATAGAAATTTCTATATTTATTTTTTTTCTCATTAGGTAACTTATTTAGATGGACAATATTGTTTATTGCCTATCAATGATGATAATATTCGAATATTAACAGAAGATAATTCATTACGTATTGATTCGAAAGTTACATTTTCCCATCAACATTGGCTTCGTATGAATTTATTTTATTGATCAAAATTTACAAAATCTGTTTTTTTAGGTCCATGTTATGCAACATTTTCTGTTGTTTTATTTCCAGTACGATCTCAATGTTTTGTAATGGATGTTAATGATGAATTTGTTGAAATAACACAACCAATTCGTGTTTTACTTCATCCAAAATATCTTCGACATCGTTTACGTAAAAAACATAGTATCGATGAACAAAGTACAATGTCAGCAACAACAGTTGAACAATTAGATATTCCTGATGATGATAATGATGAACATGAAACGGAATGGTTAGATGAAACAGGTGTTGATGAAGAAGAAACTGGACATATAGATGATGATGAATCCGAAATGGATACAAGTCAAGATGATGAACAAATTGAATATGTTGAAACAAGAAAAACTCCTGACAGTGATGAAGATGAAGATATGTCACATTAAAATATTGTCCGCGTCTTTTTTTCTTTCGTGTTTTCCTTTTGGATTTCCTATAAAATAATAAATGTTTATATTCCAAAGTTTAAAGATAAAAGAAAACTCTTTGTTTCATTCTTTATATTGAGAAATTTCAGAGGCGTAGCGACTATAGAGGGCGCGTGGGGTGTTGCGCCTCCCCTGGTTTTAGAACTTGAAGTGCTGAGGTTTTACGCCCCCTGACTTGAAGAACTCGCTACGACCCTGTGAGAAATAGAACATATTTGATCACTTCGCATGAATGAGAAAGTGAAATTAACACGAAGGACATAAATCGTATGTGATAATTGAAATTGATTATCAAAAGAAAAATCAATTAATAATTTTCTTTAATTTGATTTGTTTTAGATTGAAATAAATGCCGTCAAATATACCTGAACTTTATCAATTCAACATTAAACGTCTGGTAATATTTATAGTTTTAGCTTTAATTCTTGTTGGTTCGTGGTGTTTATGTGGTTCACAATGTTGTACCTTTAAACATGATCATTCTCTTCAAACATCTATTTGGAATCGTATTGATTTAATTGCTTTTCGATTTTTTAATCAATGGTTATTGACACAGGAGAATCATACATTAATTGCAAGAATATTTGTTACAATTAATTCAATTGTTATTGGAGAACTTATTGTCAATTCAATTCTTCTTGCAGTCACATATTTTATATTCTCATCGAAATATGTACTTCAAAATCGAACACGTGCATTTAAATTATCTGTTCTATTAGCTATAATTATTTATGGTATGGCTGGACAAATGTTATTATCAAAATTATCAAGAGATTATTTATGTCCAAAACGACCATCACCATCTGTCGTATTTCGTTTCTCAACAGTTAGTCTTGAAAATCAAGCTATATCATCATCATCAAATACATTTACTATGGATAGATTATTTGAAGAAGCAAAAAAACGTGATCTTGTTAAAGAAATTGCTCATGATAGGTAATCTATTATTTTAAGGATCTTCATTTTATTTAAAAGTAACTCATATGCATATTTACATAAAACGAAATCAGTTCTTTTTATTCTACCCTATTGAATAGATTAGAAAATTATCTATGACCTATGAGATGACGTTGTATTTTCATTTGATATTTCATAGAAAATCTTTTTTACTGGAAGTCGAATTTCTGTTCGCAACAATTAAATACATTATCTTGTATCCATATTTGCATTCATGATAGAAGTTCCTTGAAGCAATTAATTGTTCTTTTTGAAGAAAAGAAGTTTTTGATTATATTTCTACGTGAATAAATCAAACGGATATCATCTATGTTCTTTTTATTTTAGTTGGCCAGGTGAACATGCTGCAACTAATCTTATTTGGTCTTTATTCATGTCAACGATCATTAGTCGATCATCAAAATCATTATCACAAGTCAAATGTTTTTTTATGCATACAATTGTATGGTTTTTTGCTATTTTATTTTCAATAGCACGTTTAGTTAGTGGTGCACATTGGTTGTCAGATTGTCTTGCTGGTGGATTTAGCGAAGCATTAATCGTTGTAGCTATTGGTATTTATACACCAGTATTTCAAATTATTACAAAAGTCATTCATAAACTAATCAATAGATCTGATTCGGATGGAAAGAAACTTCCTTAATTTTTTTGTTTTAAAATATAGTCAATCAAGCAATAAGTATATATATCTTTTTTTGTTCTCGACCAATAATTATCTAAATAAATAACGAAGCATTTTTTTATATCATCTAATTACATCTATATAAAGAAAATGCTTATAGAATTTCATTAATTTTTTCTATAAAATATGCAATATTCATAATCAGTAATGCCTGTTAGCCATATCAGATGTAATCTATATTATATTATAGAAACAAAAAATTGATGAATAAACATAATGAAGATATAATCTCGGTTATTTTATTAAATATGAGATAAATATAGTTATTTCATAAAAGAATATTTTAATAGGTCAAATTGCGTACAGATTTAATGAGAAATATGGAACGATCCTTTCTTTGTTTTATATCAAATGATAAATACTTTGATCAAATGTGCGGTATCAACCACTTAATCAATAGGAGGTCTAATATATAAAACGACAGTTTTTCTTTTTCTTGTTTGAGATACATATCGAACAAACAAATAAGTCTTGTTTTTTCTATGAATAGAATATAAATATGCTCTTTTGCAATTCCGATTAGTTGATTCAAAGATGTACAATCTGTTAGAATCATTAGAGTATCGATTGATGATCCTTCGTTTCATGTGTCATTGTAGAGAAAAAAAAGAAGACAATTGTTCTATTGATTGGCGGAACACAGCAAATCAATATCATTAGATAGCGAAGAGAAAAAAGCTAGAGTAGCATCCCATTTCACACATATTCGTTAACTAAAAATATTTTTTTATATCATGAATAACGAGAATAATAATCGTCGAAAACGTCGAATGTCTTCAACAATGACAATTACAAGTAATAAATTAACATCAAATGTAAAATGGACTAAACCCCGTTATTTAGCCAACCAACGTGAACGTGATCGGACACATTCAGTGAATTCAGCATTTGTTGAACTACGACATCTTATTCCAACTGAACCAGCTGATAGAAAATTATCAAAAATTGAAACACTTCGACTTGCTGTTAGTTATATCAATCATCTTCATTCTGTACTTACATTACCTAATATAACACAAAATCATTGTGCTTTTATTAAAATGAAAAATCATGACAATAATCATAATGATGATGATGATGAAGATGGCGAACAACATTTATGCACTTTTTGTGTTAATCATTCATCATTATCAGCTTAAGAACATTTGTTTTGTATTTCTTTTCTTTTAAAAAGGACTATATGACATTGTTTTACATATGAAAAACTTGATGAACTTGATATAGAAATCGAGTTAGCAACATTTTCTTTTCTTTCTATATTACTGAACCCAGGAGGTGAAAATAAGGAAACAAGATCATTCTTTTCACATGTAAAACAAGTGATGTGTTTGATATTAATAATTAAACAATTCTCTGTTCATGATGAAATTATTAAAAAAAAATCAAGGCATTATAAATATTATTTATTAAAATTTTTATAATTCTTTTTTTTAATTATAATAAACTTTATATATCATCAATTTTATGAAGCATCATACTTGTTGATTGTTCAGGATTTGATAAAGAAATTGTTCTTCGACATCTTAGTGCTATCATAAATTCTGCACGAAATATTCGACTTGTTAAACAATATAAATAAAAATTGCAACCAAAATGAATATTCATAAGAGTACGAACTATACGGAATATAAATATAAAAAGAGCATTATCTCTTCCAAAATATGGATTTTTCATAATAGTTCTTTCCAATAATAGAAGACATATTGTAACAGGAACTGTTGTACAAAGAAATACAATAACGCATGCTGCCATCATTAAAGACATTTGTCTTTCAAGAGCTTTACGATGCGTATTTGCTGGTGGTTTTTTAATAGATGAACTACCACTTAATGTTTGATAAATAGGTACTGGTGTTTTAATTATATCTTGGCTATCATTATTTGTATGTTCTAAAGTATGTCGTTGTCGTTTCACAAGATAAATAATATTAACATTACATAAAATCATAATACAAGCAGGTAGAAAACAAAAAATAGCCATATCAATTTTAGGCCAAATTATTTTATAAAAATAATAATAACGAGGATATTCTAAACGATTTTCTAAACAATGTGCTTGGGTTCGATTTCCTCCACGTTCTTGTCCAATACCTGGAGAAAAATAATGTCCATTTATTCCACATAAAGCAAAAAAAAATATTAAGATTGTAATTGATGCATTACGTGGTGTACAAAGAGTTTTTGAGCCTAATGGTAATCTCGTACGTAAATAACGATCAAATGCTAAACCAGCTATACACCATGATGATAAATCCATAAAAACATACGCAAAAAACATACGACAACGACATGCAAGTGCTGAATAATTTTGTAAATAAATTTGAAATGCATCAGCTAAAAAATGCCACAATGATGTTACAAGTGCAAGACTATCACTTATTGAAAGAGCAAGAAGAAATATACTGCTTGAAATTTGACACATACGTCGACTGGAAAATGTGATAAGTGCAAGTGTATTACCAACAAAACCCAATAGATAAATTATTGAATAAATTAATGTTCCTATACGATTAGCTAATAGACCATAATCAACGGACGTCATTGATGGAATAATTTTTGTAGAATTTGTGTCATTATTTGTACTTGCCATTTACTTGATGATGAAATGAGATTTGTATATAAGTGAGATAACTTTGTTTTTTTCTTTTTAGTAATATTTAATGACAAAAGCAGGCAGGTTCTCTCTTTTTTCTAAGGATGTGAATTTGTTCTTTATTTAACTTGCCTGTAAAGAAGAAAAAAAGAATAAATGAATACGTGACAGAAACTATTGACATTAGAAAAAAGAAAAGTTCTTCAGTTATGATCGGATAATCATTCTTTTTTTTTTGCTTAGTTGACATTATCTGATGTAAATGGCATTTCTTATTACTGAACTACACATCTTAAATATAGTAGATTTGTACTTACTATCATTCTTTATTGAAATAATTGCGATTACTCTTCTATATCACTGTTTCGACATATAAATAAAATAAGAAAATAAAAAAAAGATGAAAGTTTGTTTGTAATAAATAATATATTTGTTGAGTGTTTATCAAATAAGGTTCCGATAAGAAAAACTAAATTATTCTACATATAGAATATATAGGTCGGCATCATCAAATAAAAATACTGTTTCCAATAGATTTTTAATGAAAATAATGGATTGATTCTATCTTTTTTATTGATGTTTAAGAAGATCGAATTGTTGATGCACGCTTTTGCGGTAGTGGTATATGTATATATTCACCATTCGGTAACATGACATTAATAATACATGCTGATGATGAATTTGTTGTATTTTGTGATGATGGAGAATCTATTTCACTTGGAGGATCTTGTTCTTGTGATATAATAGGAACAGGGGATGAGGAAGGAAATATTGTAGATATCTGATGGCAACTAGCTGCAAGACCACAAGGTCTTAATATATGACGTTTTTCATATTGAGTAAAATATGGTCGAATCCAGGCTGTACTTTCCGATGTAATAAATCGTTGAAAATCGTCTTTATTAATATATGTTGGTGAGAATTTCTTTGATACTGATTTACTAGCCTATATAAAACAAAAGAAAAAAAGAAGTAAACTCAGGTAAAGAAAATCGATGAGATCAAAAACCGGAAATGAAGTTTGCATGTTTTGTGAAAAATATATGCATGCTTTTCCTTATTATAAATTACAAAAGAGAGAAAGAGATGGAGAAAAATTGAAGAACAATTTATTCTAGACTTGACGTAAATACCTAATGACAGTTCTAGAGATTTTTTTTCACAGTACAACGAACCTCATTTTTAAGTACCATTATAACTAAAAGGAAGAAGACATTTGCCCTAGGCATATAGAATGAACACTTGCTGTTTACATAGAATTAAATAATTAATGTCATTTTCCTTTTCATAATTTAAAAAAAAGAAAACAAGAAAGGAAACGAACGATGATATGAAAAATTGCTCTAATAACTTGTCTGAAAATTATGCAAATATGTCATAATTCAAATAAAACATTTGCTGTCAATCTATAAATTTATATAGTGTCCTATTAATGTTAGAAAAAGAACGAATATTCTTATTGCTTTGTATACGGATTAATATTATATTAATCCCTCTGGCTCTCTGTCATTGTAAATGTCTTCTCTTGATGTTAACGCATCTCTATTGATAATAAAAACTGTGATAGTTTATAATAAAAACGTATTATTATTATTCATTGTGTTTTTCTTTTTGCTATAAATATATCGAATTAAATTATTCTAAGAAAGAATATGAGGGATAAAATACTAGAAAATAAAAACAGTATTTTGACTAATACATTCATCATGCGACTCAATCATAGAAAAATATCTAGCTAATTCCAAAAGAAAATATTAATTAGATTTATTAATAAAACTTACCAATATTTTAGTTAAATAAGAATCATTTCTATGATGACGATGACGTTTTTTATAACTTCTTCTTTTTGAAAAATTTTGCCAATCATTTGTTGTTGAATTATAAAATTCGGTTGTATGACGATCTTCATATTTATTTTCAATCAAAAAACATACAACACTTTTGGCATGTCGTCGAAAACGTCGACTTATTAATATACATACAAAAAATTTATATCCATATGATAATGATATAATAGATGATGCTTCATGATTAAATTTAATTAAATGTGTAAAAAATGGTGCATATGGTGATAAAGACAATAATAAAATATCACTAAAACGTGCTGGTAAAATAAATAACGAATGTAAAATTCCAATTGTTCCAGCTATATAATAAAATGAAGTACTCTCTTTATCGGAATGATTCGAATTTCGACATGTTCGAAAAATAATTATCATTGATATAACAAATATTATTACACAAGGAATAGCAACACCCAATATGTTATAACCATAATTTGATGCATTTAACAACCTTCTACTTATTCCTTCTAACGCAGTAGAACATACACCAGAAAGATCCTCTATATATATATAATCATTATTTTACTAATCGAAAAATTCAATGAATGTCTTACCTTGCTGATAATCTTGTAAATCTTCTTTTTTTTGATACTTGAGTACTTCAATTGGATAAATATTATAAACACTGAAAATAAATATAAGAAAAACAGTTGAATATTTTGCATTAACATAATATAAACCACGATCCCAACATGAATTTTGATTATTATTATGTTCTAATGAAAGTATAAGTTGATTAATAAGTAAAAATAATAATAACCATGTTGTTAAAAGAACACTCATTTTTGCAATATAAGTAAAAAATTTACAACAAAAATCAGATACATGTATAAGATAATGTTGACCAGCTGATCGTTCACCATGTATATAACTTAGAAAATTATCAATAAAATGATAAATTATTAAAAGTGTATCAATAAAAACAACTTCAAATAAGAATCTTTCAAATGAACCTGTCGGTTTCATTATTACATATTGAGGACGTGATGAACTATGTTGACGTTTACTAAATAGGCCAATTCGCATTAAAATAACTAATAAAAGTATATTCGACGGTAGACCAAGTAATGCTGAACATACAGCAAAAAATACATATTTATGATAGTTTGTTTGCTCTAGTGAACCATAAGGAAAACCACCTGTATCATTAAAACCCCAGATATATTCTGATTCATTAGGAGTGCCAGAGTCTGGAAACATCTAGACAAAATAAACATATAAAAAAAGATCAGACAACAAAGTATATTATATTTATTTAAATTGAGCTAAATGAGATACGACTATCTTATATAAAAAGAAAAGCTTGTCACGCAAGGACATTACTCATACACTCAAAACATCATCAGTAGGTGTAAATATGATCTTGACATATTCACCTCAAATAATTATTTTTCTTTCCTTCTTAATTCAATTATTGTTTTGATACCTACGGATGTAATTGTTAATATTAGTGTTAAAGTGTGAATGCAAGATTGAGTTCCACCAAGTAATACAACATCATCATCATTTATTAATTGAATGAGTGTATTCACATTTTTTCCTTCCGTTTTTCATATTACTAAAGTGTTCTTCAACACTCATAAAAAAACACGTAGAAGCTATTTGAGAAGATTGCGTGTTAAAGAAGATAAAAATTCTATTTTTTTTTGATGAAAAGAAAGATGAAAAAGATTTTCATGAAGAGGAGGAAGATAGGTTCATAAACTGAAGATTTCATTAAGTCTATGGCACTTTTTCCTTACTTATGATAACGATAATGATAGTAATTAGATATGAAACTGATTCCTTTGTCTTATTATTTTTTGTTTTGAACCTGATTACAACTTTTTAATTTATTTTAGAAAAAAAAAATATAATTACAAAGTAAATCAAGATAATATGTCAAAATGACGATAGATAAAAGACTGTTTTTTTTTCTTTACATCATCATTCGACTCATCGACTGTAAGAAGAAAAAAAGTCCTCTTCCTTTTCTCCTATAAACCACTTTTCTATGACGTATACTACTTTTAAACACACATTCCTTCTTCCGTTGCTATACTTGGAATAAATATAACACAACGCTTCATGATCTAATAAATGTAAATTCTTTTTTCTTATAACTACTTCTGGCAGTTGTCAGTCTTTTCCTAGTAAAAGTCGAAGTCTAACAGTCATCAAAACGTAATTTTCAATTATGTTATTGTTATTCTATTCTTTATCAACATCCGACTTAATAAAAAGCAAAGACATGATGTTTTCCTTGTCTAAAACATAATTTTTCTCTTCTTTAGATTTTTTTTTTCTTCTTCATTATTATTGAAAAATTGTGTATGCTTTGTATTATTGACATACACACATATGCCGTTATTATTTTTTTCCTCTAGTTGACATTGTCCATTCCGGGTGTGTTAATATTTATGAAATCGTGTAAAATAAAAAAAAAAATTAATGTATGGAGATAAATCAAAAGGAACAGTGATAGTGCTCATAGAATATAACATATTATTTTCAATCAAATTTATTGAGCTGAAACTAATTTAGAGTGTCTGGTTAATATATATTTATGTTCATTTAGATTAGACTGAAATTACCTTTTAGATATTTCTTATCTATAAAAACAGGAAATGGATATGTCAACTGATTAAATCTCGTTTGTACTCACGAAATAAGATTGTTAGCTTGTTAAAAATAATGAAGACTAGATTCTTCTTTTTTTTGTATCCAATAAAAAGTCTGCACAAATTAACATATGACTACGGATATGAGTCCTCGCATTATAGAAAAAGAATAATTAATAGTATGAAACTTTGTCATTCTCATAGTAAAATCCTATGTTATTATTGCTAAAGAATATAAAATAACTTTCATTGGTGTATTTTGATTTATTATTTATATTTCACGAACAAAAACAATCTATCTTTATATGCATATATAAGGAATTTGAAGAAAATGAACATCTCATTAATAAAACAATTTCATTAGAAAAATCTCGGAAAGAAAAGATAAATATAATATAGTTGATTTTTATTTCTTTTTCAAAGGAATCTCCTGTTTGTATTCATAATAATTAATCTTCCAGAAAAAAATACTAATGGATATTTGTTCCGTAAACAGAATTAGTCAATATAAATTTGAAGGACTTACATTTTATAGTGTGAAATAAAAATATCTTTCAAAAAAAAATCTATTTGAATTAGAACAGGATTGATGTCAGTTCCGATGTTACAAGAATAGAATAAATGTATGTCTCTATATATATATAAATTATTTTACAAGTTCTTGCTCAAAACTAATGAAAATATATTCGAAAGATTTATTAACAATTCAAAGTATACTTGAATAGTCTGTATTGGATAAGAATGACTAACAATGATTTATAAGACATACTCAGACATAAAGAATGTCTTAGCATAATTAATGTATTTTTGAGATATATTATTATTAAATTTATCGTATTATATTGAGTTTGGATATGTCAAGTCTATAAAAATGTACTATCTAAATATTGCAACATCAATAATACAAAAAATAGATCGAAAATCAAATTATTCTTCTAAGTATTTTCCTTCCGTTCATCGAACGAAGATTGGAGTATAAAGAAAACATTTTTCGTTAGTAGTTTTGCTTTTTTAATAATACATAATTGAATAAATGTGGAGATACTACATGAATTTATAATAATAAAATTATTCAAACAATTCAATGATATTAATAAAGATTGAAGGATACCTCATCTAGTTTTTTTTTGCTTAATAATCTATTCATTTTTATAGATCTAGTATTAGAAAAACAAATATTAGATTAAGATTAGTCTATTCTATTCTTAGAGAAAGAGAATCCTTCATCAATATCTAATTCTTCTTAGCTTTGTGAATCTTGTCAAAGGTTATACGAATGTAGTTTAAAAAAAAGAGATAAATTATTAATATTAATTAAAGTACAAGAGAATATTTTAGGTTAATCTTTTTAGATAGAAATACATTATTTATAATGAAAGTCCTCACTTAATGGGTACTATTCATATGATAAAAAGTCAACATACACTCTTCCTATAAATCAGTAATATCTGTAGAATAAAGAAATTTTTGAATGGTTAATCATTAATTAAAACTATATCTGTCTATTTACAATCTAATGTTAATATTATTCTATGACTTATTTAATAATCATTTTTATTACTTAAATCATTATTACAAAATAGAAATTTTGACATTTCTACGCAATAGATATATACATACTTTTATGATTATCATTGCTCTAAATTAGACATAGAACAAGAATAAAGCCATATTTTTTTATTATATATAAGTATAGCTAAAAATACTAACAGATGTGCCTGGTAATTTCTATACATTATTACTAAATATCTGTCATACTATTTATTATTACGCAGCTTATAAAAATTTCTCTTTTTTGTTTAATACTATCGATTGTAAAATTATTTCTATGATGGTTTATCTAAACTCTATGATGCAAGATAAGATATATAATTAAGATCAATAAAAAAAACAATGGTGAGAAATATCCTTGACTATAATCTTCTACAAACGTGCTAATAAAAAGAATAAATTACATTGATTAAATGCTCTTTCACTTGGAAAAATTAGAAATATCAGATAATACAATAATTTGAAGAGAGGATTCCGGATTTATAATTTCTAAAGACAAAAGAAAAAACTATTCATTTGCAAGATGATAATTTGATAGTCGAACTGATAGGTTACAAAGAACATTTTTTATTCTGAGTTGTTCATGTTCGCTCAGCGTGAAGAAAATTTTTATACTTTTCCGGATGTGGAGCGTTTCAAGGTTGTCAAGTTCTATAAATGTCTTTTTTCTAATGATATTTTCATATATTATTGAAAAAAAGGTACAAAAATATCATGATTTGTTTTTATAGATTTAACAATTTACGATTTTTATAAAGAAAATCTTCACACATTTGAATCATTGTACTTTGATTTGATTTTTTATTAGTTTTAGATTTATGTGAATGACGGTTCTGTTTATGATGAACGTGTTTTGTTCGAATACCTGGATTATATGTTGGAACGAGTGAACGTGAATATGGTTTTAATGCTGAATTACATTGAGCACCGTTATTTAACCATTTTTTAATGATTGTTTCAAGATAATTTATTTGTTCTTCAGACATTCACGTTTTTTTATATCAAAGTTTTTAACAAAAAATACAATCGATTAAGATATAATCGAACAAAAATCTCGTTTTAAGTAAATAGCGCCGAATAAAAAAAAAAATTATATTCAAAACTAAATTTCAAATGGTGTTAACAATATTTTTCTTACTTCAAACATTATATAATTGCTCCTATTTTCAAAAAAATCCAATCCTTTTTCTCAGATAATTATAATATAAAAATAACAATGTTATTTGATCTATTTTAAATATTAACGAAATCTCTGTACTTTTTCGAATAAAGGTTAAATTTCATCATTCAATTGACAATATATACATCATAAAAAATTTTTCTTTAAATAAGTAAAATAGGAATAATAATAATAATTATAATACTTACATGACGATTGTTAGTTAAATATAATTTTAACATTGAATATCTATTCATTTTTGTGATATTGCTATGGTAATATCTTCTAATTATAAACAAAACACGCTGATAAATAACCACTAATCTATTGTTGGTTTATCAAAATCTTTACAAATTGTATGATATGCGTTAATAACTGTGCGTGCTTTTTTTTTATTTTTAAAAAAGAATACTGAAATTATATTTTAAAATTTTGTTTATAACAATTCTATCAAGTAGAGTTCTATTTTCTATATTGCGGACACTTTTAAAAAGTGAAAGTATTCTTCTACTTCATGCACATCACTTATAGAAAAAAAAAACCTTCTTCTAAAAGTAATATGAATATACACTCAATGGTAGACAATTTAGTAAATGGTAAGTTGTTTATATGTAGGAGATAATTAATAGAAAGTGCTATATAAATATCTCGTAAAGAATAGTTTTATTTGTATTGTACATTTTCTCATTCGAATAATGTAATTACATCTATTTTTAGTATTAATTACGAATATTTATGCAGCTGATTTGACACTAGATTTTATTAATCCGAATCAACGTTGCTAGGAGATGATCATAATCCTTCTGTTATGTTAAATAAGTTTTATCAAAACTTCTGTGTTAATTTATTTGAATAGAATATCAAGGACAATATATGTATATTATTACTTCATATAGTAATTCGATCTGTAAATAAATTCAAATATCGATGATTTGTTTCGTCTTCTAATTCTTTTTTTAAAGATTTTTATATGTTAAGAATATAACGATAAATTTGATTTTCTTTTGATACACTGTAATATATCTTATAAAAAAAATAATTTATTGTCAAGTTAATCTGTGCATAAAAGTGACAAGACAATTTTTTTTGTCAAAATATGATAAAAAGTTCTTGTTAACTAGAAAGGTGATATAAAGAAATAAAAAAAGAAGCAGAAGCAGAAGAAGAAGAAAGAAAAAACAGAAAGGATGGAAGTCGACTATGCTTTATAACCTAACCGTAAGTCGTCAGACGTGAAGACAAAAAAAGGATTTTCTTCTTTTTTCTTACTACGTGATTCTCAGAAATTATTATTACATAAGCGATGTCTTGTTGTTTTGGTAATAATACGAATGGTACCGAACCTCAAAAATCAATATGTGGGTTTAGAAAAAAAGCGAATTTTTATGAGATTTTATTTATCTATTTAATTTTAATTTTTTTCTAGTAGAACAATCAGATCTACCATTAGATCAACCAATTATACCAGTGACTAAACCATCAGATCCTAGTTGAGTGTTAAAATTTCTCTAGTTTAAATATAAAATTTTTTTTTAACATAGAAATTGAATATTCAATTACAGTAAAAACTGGTGATTTTCGAAATTCTGGTACAAATGGACCTGTTTATATAAACATATTTAGTCGAGATAATAAACAAACGGAAGATTTGTTATTAACAGCACCTGACAAACCATTTACACAGAGTAGTACAAGAAAATTTCAAGTTTATGCAACAGATATTGGTAAACCTCAACGTATTATTATTCGACATGAAGATAAATCAACTGGATGGTATGTGGATTATATTGAAATATCAGTGCATAATTTTTTAATCAGGTAATCGTTTCGCTTAAATACAGAAATGATTTACAAAAAAAAATAATTTAGATTTGTAGCTAATCGATGGTTAAATCAATTGAAAAATGATCGAAAATTAGATATTGAATTGTTTGGTTCAGAACAACCAGGTTAAATTAAAAGAAAAAAAGGAAAACTCTTACTTTTTCTTTCTTCATCTTTTAGCGGTTCTCTATAATATAGAAATTCAAACAGGTGATGAACAAATTGAAATATTAGATTCTCCGGTTTATATGCAAATATATGGAACTACAACAACAACACCGAAATTTTTTTTAGAATCGAAAAATCCTTCATTTAAAAAAGATACTCTATCAAAATTTAGTATATCAAGTAATAATGTTGGAGAAGTAAAGTTTATTTATATTCAGCAACAAAACAAATTGATCTTTTTTTTGATAATGTTTTCTAAAGATTGAACGAATTGTAATTGGTCATGAAGGACTAGGTAAAGTTAATGATTGGTATTTAAAGACTCTTAAAGTTCAAATGCTTGGGCAACAACAAGAGTTTGTATTAATAATTAAGATAAATTTTCATTTTGAATTATTTTTATCTAATCAGATATGTTGTTGATAAATGGTTAAGTCCGACACAAGGTGAGCAACGATTATTCGTAGAATTATCAAAAGAAAAACCTCCATCTCCACTGCCAGCACCACCACCGCGTAATGATAACAATGATTACATAAAATATCATATTCTCAAAAGTTTTTAGCTTCTCCGAAATATATCATAACGATACAGACTGGTGATGTACCGCAGCAAGAAACAACAGAAAATATTGAAATAACTATTCGTGGATCGGATGAACAAATCGATAAGATATTATTGAAAGATTATGCAAAATTTAACAACGAACAACTTTTTCAAAAAGGAAATGTAGATGAATTTGAAATCGATCATACAGATATTGGAAATGTAAGATTAAATTAATAAATATTGAAAAAGTTTGATTAAATTATTCTAGATTGAAAGTATAACAATTGGTTTCAGTGATAGTCAACAAAATATAGCTTGGTTATTAGAATCTATCAATATACAATACAAAGAGAACACTTATCAGTTAGTAATTCAATTCCATTATAAAAATTTTATTTCTTTTTTTGCGAATATAGTTTTCAATCTCAATGTTGGTTATCAAATCGTTTAGGATCTAATTTCAGTTGGGTGACAATTAAGCCTGATGAAAGCAATGATGGTAATGTATTATTATATTTTCTGATTATCAGAAACCTATTTATTCAAGGTTTTAATCCGTTACTTTCTATTTTTAATTCCACATAGAATTCAAAAAAAAACGCATATCTATTTTGACATTTGAAGGTGCAACTGTCAAAAACATTTTTAAACTCTTGTTTTATATTTGTATACGCATGCAGAAAAATATATATATATCGATTTTGCATGTCTAGTTTTTATTCTAAACACGCATTACTTAGTCGTCATACAAACATATACTCAGTTTTCTATAGAAAAAATTTATTCACGTCAGCATTAGTATAGAAAAACTATAAAAATAAAATAGGGTTGCACACTATATTGATTGACTTTAGAGAATTTATTTAAGAAGAAAAAACGTTTTCTAATGGCTCCTAAAGGTTTGTTGGAAGATTGATTCATCATGCAAAATTTCTTTTTTTTATACTTATCTGACAGATATTAATTATAAAGTTACTGTTGTAACCGGTGAATCTGGTATCGATGCAAACGTGATATTATGTATCTATGGTGATGATGAAACAACAACAACTAATCTAGCTTTAAAAACAACAAAAGATGGTTCGGATGCGAAATTCGATAGAGAAAGTACTGTTGAATTTGATTTAAAAGCAGTCGATGTTGGAAAAGTAAGTATTTAGTTTTTCTGTCTGAAAATATATTTGAAAATTTTTTTAATTAGATTAAAAAAATAAATATTGGTCATGATGGTAAAGGTAGTGAACAACAATGGTTTTTAAAATCTATTAAAATTGAAAAAAATGATGAATTATACACGTAAGTCTATATATCCTCAATAATCCTCATGGGGAAAAAATATATTTATTTAGATTTACAGCTAATCGTTGGTTAAGCGAAGAAAAAGATGATCAAAAAACTTTTATTGATCTTTTACCAGATGAACAAAAGCCACCCACACCTGTACCTATAAAAGGTAGATAGACTTATTATTATTTTTTTGCCTTTACTTTTATGTTTATTAGATCAAGCAAATTATATAATTACGATTATAACAAGTTCGGAAAAAGATGCTGGTACAGATTCAAATGTATTAATGACGATATTTGGTGATAAAGATCAAACTAAACAATTTCAATTAATAAATACTAAACAAGGTGAAAAAGCATTATTTGAATCTGGAACAACAAATGAATTTGAAATGGAATTAGATGATGTTGGAAATGTATGATTAAATAAATTAATTAATGAATTAATTTCCTAAGAATTTCCTTCTAGGTTAATAAAATTAGTATAGGACATGATGGAATAGGTTTTCAACCTAATTGGAATTTAGAATCAGTGCAAATTCAAAAAGGATCCGATATATACAAGTATTAAAAAGTAGTTTTTAATTTTCTTCGTACTTTATTTTTCTTCTAGTTTTGTTGCTAAAAAAGTTCTTGATGATTCTGCAACATTTATTGATTTAACACCAACATCATCTAGTATTAAAAGACAGTCAATATTTTTCTTTTCCTCATCTATTGTTATTTTTACAGGAGCAACACCAAGTTCAGAATCTATCAATATAAAAACACCGCGTAGCATTACACCTGAACAAAAATCTATAACAATAAAAGGTTTTGTTTATTTTATTCTATATTTTCTCTAATAATATTCTATTATAGAAATAACATATAAAATTTCAATTCAAACTGATTCATATCAAAAAGATATCATGGAAGACAATGCAAGTTTTTATATGATCATTCATGGAGAAAATAATCAAACGCAAAAACTCTATCTTAAAGATGGATTAACATCCGACAAGAAAATTTTATTTGCAAAAGATGAAAAAACTGAATTTGAATTTCAAACAATCGATGTCGGAAAAGTTAGTTATATAAAAAAAAATAATTAAATATTATTTTAAATATAAATTAGATTATTAAAATTATTATCGGTCGAGATGATTCACAAACTACAGATACATGGCATGTTGATAATATTACAATTAAACAAAATGATGAAATAATAACGTAAATTTAATTTTTTCGTTTAATATAGCATAATATTTTTTTCAGATTTAATGCGGAACAAACAATTGAACCTAATTCTCAAATTGAATTATATCCATCAACTATACCAAAAAAAACAGGTAGATTGTATTGCACATAAATATTGCTTTTTAAATATTTCATATTTAGAAATAACTTATAAAATAATTCTAAAAACTGGTCCATATCAAGAAGAAGGAAATGATAGTAATATTTATTTAACTATATTTGGGCAAAATAGTCAAACAAAAAAAATTCCACTTAATAAAACAACGAAAATCAATAAGAAAATTATTTTTAAAAAAGATGATACAATTGAATTTGAATTTAAAACAAATGATGTGGGAAAAGTTTGTTTTATTAAAATTTTCTATTTTCTTCAATTTAGAAAAAAATATATTTAGATTTCAAAAGTAATTCTTAGTCAAAATTTGAACGAACATGGAATTCGTTGGCATATTGATAATCTTACAATCAAACAAAACAATGAGACAACAACGTAATACATTCTTTGTTTTTCTTTCTTTTCTTTCAAATCAACTTTTAGATTTAATGTTAAACGTAAAATAGAAAAATATACTGAAATTGTATTAGTACCTTCATCTTTACGAAAAAAATCAGGTAATTATTTATTTCGAAAAAAATTCATTATAGAAAAAAATTTATTGATTTAGAAACATCACAGAAATTAATCAAAACATCAGATAGTGTATCAAAAGTAGTTGTTAAAATAAAAGGTAAGTAATGAAAAAATAAATCTTTTCAACAAAAAAAATTTCTAACATCTTAATATCAAAATGCCCTAAGAAAAAAAAGAGAGAAAAAAAAAGAAAAATAAAGTCAATAGTTACGTTTAGAAACATTAACAAACGAAAGTAAACTGACAGTTTTTCAATTTTCAATACCTGTGTCTGTATAAAAATATAGAAATAAATTCATAATTCATTTCTTTCAAAAATGGGTAAAAGTCAGTCTGAAAAATCAGCTAGTAAAAAACGATCTGGTAAAATACATGAATTCATATATATAAATATATATCTATTCTTATTTCATCGATAGATGCTGATTATGCCATTACCATATCAACAGGTGAAGAAGGAATTGAAGCACCTGTATCCATGAAAGTTCGTGGTGATAATGGTACTGTTAGTATTCCATTAACACAAACAAAAGGTGGTGAAAAATCTTTTCAATCGAAATCAAAAAGTGAATTTACATGTCAAACAACAGATGTTGGAAAAATTCAATGTATTACAATTGAACATAATGAAAAAGAGAAAGATGTTCTTTGGCATATAAAAACAGTTCAAATAACAAAAGGAAGCGAGACATATAAGTAAGAAAAACAAACATTTCTTTTTTTCCTTTCAATTGTTTATTTGTATATTTTAGTTTTAATGCTGATGTACGTCTTGATCAAAAGGAAAATAAAGTTAATCTTTATCCTGTTGGTACTTTATTCGGTCATCAAAGAGATGATTATGTACAAAGTGAATTACGTCGTTTACGAGAAAGTCTTCGCTCCGAATCATCAAAATTACGTCGACCTCCACAGTTCGTTATTTTTGTTTTTTTCGATTTATATTTTATAAAAAAATTTTGTTTTTTAGTAAACCTCATGAACCATTTGTTTATAATGATTTAAGACCTTATTTTGATACAAGTTCGGTAGAAAGAGCGATTTATTCCGTAAGTAAAAATAATTTTTGTTTTTCTTGAATTCATTTTAGTTTTCTTGTTGTAGCCTGTAACTTATCCAACAGGTTACTATACACGTGTAACAGCACTTCGTATCGTTGAACCATGGGAAGCATACGGAATGGATTATGGTGTTAATTATGAGTTATTAAAACATCGTAAAACTCGTAGTTTAAGTAGTAAACCACCGTAAGTTAGTCACTAATTGAATTTTTTTATTAATGCTTATCTAGTTTTTGTAAAGTAAAATTTTTCACATTAATATGCACAAAATAGTTGTTTTTTGTTTGTCGTTATCCTTTTTAATAGAATGATTGCACAACGTGGTATGATGATGATTCCACCATTTACACTACCGTTGGGTGGTCAGATTAGATATATTAATACAGCTAATCTTGAATATCTTGTACGAGAACGATCACGTTCATTGAAACATCGATCTTTATCAAGATATAATAATAATAATCATTAACTTAATTAAATTCTTATAATTTCACTTATGCACTTTATGCTTCTTCTACTTTGCTTAATATGAATGTTTGCTATTGTTTATAGTAAATAAATATTTTCTTATTTGATTTCATTCGTTTCATATATCGACTGTAGACCTTCAAAACCAACAGATGAATCAATTGATCGTAAACAAGGTTCAACACATTTACCACCCTATCCTGCTGTTAATATGCATAAACCTCCTGAATATTCACAAGCATTAACAGTCGATGATATTCCAAAAATACGGTTAGTAAAAATTAATAATTTTCATTAATTAATCTTTGAAAATCTAGATCATTAATAAAAAGTCGTTATTCCGGTGCTGCTGATGCTCAAAAAGAAAAAGATTATAAGCGAACACATAATGATGTATATCGAATGCAATTAGATCATATAGATGGTTATCATGAAAAGAGTCGTGGAAATATGTTAAGAGTTTATCATTCATATTTACAAAATACACCTGGTTCGAAACAAGCTCTACGTGAATTATGTGATCAAATAGCTCCTAAAAACACAAAAACAACCGTCAAATCTGCGAAATAGCACATATCATTTTTTTTTATTTAATACATCAAAAAAAGACAAAGAAAAGAAAAACTTCATGTGTGTTATACACAAATTTGTACGAAAAAAAAAACAGAGCATTGTCGCCATCATTATACACATTATATAGACCAAAAAAAACTTGACCATAAACAGCAAGAATAAAGTATTAAAGAAAGAACAGATTGCTGATATAAAAAAAATCAGGAAATTGAAATACCGGACGGACGACAAAGTGATGATGATGAAGATAATAGAAAAATGAATTAACAAAAAAAAAAAACTCGAGATGAATAAATTCAATTAGAGTATAGAATACTAATACTGAACACACAAAATTGATAATAAAACCTGAGAGAAGAAGTCACCGTTGACAAGAAATATATACAACTAAATTATTTGACATGTGTGCAATATAGACATTATCTGATAATCAAGACAAAAGAAAAAAAAAGAATTGAGCTGAAGTAGAGCACAATGGCACAGCACCGGCAAATTATCTGGCATTTTAATTAGTATTAACAACTATTTGTTGTGATGGTAATGAAAGAGTTGTTGTTTGTTGTTGTTGTTGTTCACTAGGTGAATAATCAAGCCAACTATAATCCGGTTTCGTATCAACACCATCAAGAAAATCGATTTCCATATCCTAGAAAAAGAAAAAGAAAGATTTTTATTTGAAATAAATTCCAATGATAAATTACATACGACCACAACATTTGTGGCTTCACGATGAAGAACTTCAAAAATACATTTTTGTACTTGTCCATCTGTATTCATTTGTAAACATAGAAGACGTTCAGCAACTAAATTATTTATAAAATTAAGAAATTTCTTTTTTTTATATGTATTCATACTTAATGCATCAAGTGCTCGTAATTTTGATAATAAAAGAAGTAATTTTGTAAAATGCATCGGATCATTAGCACGATTTCTTCCAATATATAATCTTTCAATTTCACAATAACGTGTTTGTAGTTCTTCAACTTTAACTCTTGTTGCTTGTCCTTCAATACGATCTAGATAATTTAAAAAATAAATCTCATATTGAAATTATTCATTAATAAAATCTATACCATAACTGAAAAAAACAATACAACAAAGTAAAACAAATTCTTCAATGGTTAATTCTAATCGACTAAATATTCGACAGAATTGTAAAAATGTATGTCCATAACAACCAAAACCTTGCGTCATAAGTGTATGTTCATCAACACAACCACCATTTGATAAATATAATTTATCTTCTTCAGGTTCATATCGATATGCTAAACGAAGTAATGCAACTTCATGTGCACCTAATTTAAGTAAATGTGCACGTTCTTGAATTGATAATTCATTATTTCCAGGCATTTGCATACAAAATTGAATACATTGCATGATACCTTTTTGACTAAATTCATCAGCTGTTTGCCAACGAATATCTGGTTTTTCCTAAACAACAACAATATATATTATCTTTTACTATAAACAAAATCTTGTACAAAAACATTTCCTACTTACGATATCAAAATCTTAAAACAAGAGAAAACTATATACAAGGTTAACAGTTGGGGACATTACAAACATGTATTGATTCTATATGAGAAAGTCAAATTTAGCTTACATATCCAGATAAACAATCCCTGACAGTTCGAGAGTAATAGAAACCAACAGAAATGATATCTAATGATGATGAAATTTTATATACCGAACTACGCAATCATGAATTGTTTTTGTTGTAACTCGAACTAAACGAAATTTGCTCTAAGTATTCTAATTAATATAAAATTCATAACATACATCTTGAGAAAAACTATAATTCAGTCATTAAAATTTATATTAGAAATCTACTTACATCAATTTCTTGTGATGGTTTAAAATTAAATGTCGATTTATGTAAATTTACACAGATTTTAATTAGTTTTTCATCATCTGAATTATTTTCAACCGCAAGACGTGTTGTTGGTAATTTCGGTGCTAGTACTGGTAAATATTCCGTTGTTGGTATATGATGTATTTCTTCTATTGAACGTTTCATAATTGCAGCAGGACGTTTTTTAGTTGGACGTTCAATACGTGTATTTGCTGCTTTTGGATCAGCTTCATTCAATAATTTTTTTGCTTGATTAGATAAACGTAATTCTTCTTTACTCATTCCAACAGAGAAACATTTTTGAAAACGCTGTACAAAAAGAAAATATTCAAAATACAAAAACAATGATATTGATCAATTTTTGCATTACACAATATTGACAACGATTTCTGGTCATTTTATTGATTTCACAATTTTGATCTTTATGACATTGATATGTCATATTTTTCTGTACACTACGTCGAAAAAAGCCCTAATGAATTTATAAATATAAATATATTTTTATCATAAATTTCATGGAAAGACTCACTTTACAACCTAAAAAAACAAAAATTTTTATAATAATTAAACTAATTTATATTTTACCTTCACAACTTGAAACACCATAATGATATCCTGAACTTTTATCCCCACAAACAACACAAGGCTTATACACTCTGGGTGGTGGAGGTGGTGATGCACTAGCTGGTGTTGTTGCTGGTTTATTTATTGATTGTAAATTAATTTGTTGAATATTATACATTGGTTGATTAGGAACAACTAAATATGAAGCATGAAAGATATTATTTCTTAAAAATCGAAATTTACTTGTTGTATTATATACAATATTATCAAATGTGAATGTTTGTTGTTGATTGCTGTTAAATTGATTAGCATTTCCATTGAAGTATTGTGTTGTTGTGGGTATAGTTCCTTCTGTTTTAATTACTTGTCCATTTGTTACATTAAGCCCTGAGCGAAAATATTCATCCGTTGTTGTAGCCATTAAAACATTTCCTAAAGGATAATATTTTTGTTTCTTTGATTCAGTATAAAGAAAATTCTATATACCTGTTGGACGATTCTTAATTGGTGTATTACCATGATTCGTATTTAAATGTCCGAGATTTTCATTTGTTGAAACATTTATTGTTTCAGCACATGTCAATGTATGATAATCATCTGTATTTTCAACAAAAAAATCATGATAATCAAATGATTCATGAAGAAGTTCGTTATCATCCATGTTCATTTTTTCGTTAATTAATCATTCTAGAAAAACATAGTTAAATTTGATGAATACTTTTATTTTTTTCAATTGCAATGTTAAGACATACTTGATTGAAAAAAAAGAAAAGAAAGCTCAATGAGAGACGGACTAATGCTCAGTTGAGCTAAGCAACAAACAATATATATATATATGGTGTGAGCGTCTATATATACGTATGTATATGTTCCACGCGAAAGCGAATGAACGAGAATTCTCTTTTTTTTCTATTTTTTTTTTTGTTTCTTTCTCTTCCTCTTTTTTCTATTATGACCATAGGACTGTATTGGTCAATGTTTGTCGTCCTCGGTGTGGTGTCGGCGGCGGCGATGGCGGGCGTTTTTTTCCTCGTCGACGAATGATGTACAGACAATGATAAGATGTTGGCACAATGCCATGTTTGACCAAGAACAGAAAAGAAGGAAAGAAAGAAAGAAAAAGAGAAAAAAAAGAAGAATTCAATTTCTTATACTATGTGAACAGTGGTAGCAATGACTAGAAGTTATTTTTGTTGAACTTTATATGACCCCTAGGTTATTAAAAGGAAAAAAAAACTTTTTTTTGTTCTGTTCTTTTCGTTTGTCATTTTAATAAAGTTATTTGAAAATTGATGATTATTGAATTAGAAGCAATTTAATAGAATGAACAAACTAGGAGAAGTGTATCATCATAATTTGTAATAGTAATATAGTTATTTCTTTTTTCGTATTTGGGTAAGATCCATAAGTAAATATACCGGATAATTTGTTCATGTAATTCTACTCTTACTTATCTTCGTAGTGATTAAAAAGAGAAATTTATCTCTTTAAGAAATTTTAAGTTTTCATGAATTCAAAAGAGAAATAGATATCTTGATAAAGATTTGTTACGTGAAAATGAAATTGATTTTCTTGACATAGAATTCTATGATTTGTTAGAAAATGAAGTAAAAATTAAAGAATATCTATTTATTTAAAACAAAAAAAAAGATAAGATATGTGTGTGTATATATAATACATGTTTATCTTTTGATATTTGACAATGATATAAATTTTTTCGTTAAACTGACAGCATATTTCATTCAAAATCGAGAATTTTGTGCTAAAACATATCTAAGAGGAATAATACAAGATCCATTCGTCGACGAATTTTTGTTAAAAATTTTCAATATTTTCATAAAAAGTAGCCTAGAATATAGAAATACTTTTCATTCAAATGATATATTAATTTAATCTACATACAGGCGTAGGTAAATATTGTGCATTGTTTTCTTCTCCATCACTATCACTACTATCACGTTGACTGGAACGAGAATCTATTGACGAAAAAAACGAACGAAAATAAATAAATTATAAATTGAATTCTTATATATTTACTATTAGTAGAAGATTTACTAAATTTTAAAAAACAAGAATCACAAACACGAACTGGTTTAGCATCTAAATGTGATAGAAGAAAACGTTTCTTTGAGCATCCTGCACAAACAATAGAACCACAATTTCGACAATGCTAATAACAACAAATAAAATCAATTTTTGCAAACTTTACATACAACGAATAGCATACATGTTTACGATTATATGTTGAGAATTTTGTTGTATGACAATGCATACATGTATCAGATTGATCATCTGGTACCCAATGAGCTGCGACAGTATTATGTTGCGTATGATTACCTTCTGAATAAATACATAGAAATGAAATATTGATTTAAAAAAACCTATTTTCTATATACCACTAGCAAAACGAATACAACGATCAAGATGAGTTAACCATTCTTGTCGTTCTCGATCAGAATTAGCTCGAACAACAAAAGATTTTTTTGGACTTTTAATTAACCAAGAATATGGATTTTCTAATTGAAAATTAAATTTAATCGAGGAGAAATGGCTTTTTTTTGAACTATTTTACCTTCGGAATTCATTACATTACTAATTTGAATATCATTTAATGGAATAATTTTTTGTTGTGAATACTAAATAAGAAAGGTAAATGAAATTTTTTATATAAAAAATGATAATTTTATACTTTACGTCCATTGATAACTACACGTCCGTAGACAAGAATATCATTGAATAGAAAAAATGCTCGTTGTTTTGGTTTTTTACGACAAACTTTCATTAGAATTCCTTCACCAACAAGTGCTCGACCTTCTTTTGATAAAGACTAGATCATAATCATAAATTTAGTAAAAATATTAATCAAGAATAAAAGAAACTAACTTGACTATTAACAAATTTATCTTGAACATTTTTAATTCTCTTTGCATTTTCTATTGATCGACCTTTAAATACAAATGAGATTAACTATGATTTTTATAATTCGTATAGTTACTAAGTTGTGATAGACCATCTTCTTTTACCGATAATGATGATGATGATGATGATTGAATCGAACTATTTGAATTGATCGAATTCATTTCTAAAACGAAATTGTTTTTTTTTGTGAAGGATTTTTTAAAAAACAAATCATCATGTTTCTCTCAACGCTTTGTGAATGAATGAATGAATAAAAAAAAAGAAATGTAAATATCATTTTATATGAGGTCGTGTTCATTCCCAAAAAGAAGCACATTTATAGGAATGGAGAAACTTTCTAACCAATCGAATTCATGCACGAAGCTTTATAATATTATAAAATCAGAAATTCACAATAACAAATCATGCCTTATATATATATATGCTTGTCAAAAAAATTTGAATCATTTGATGAGTCATTACATAGAAGAAATAGTCAGTCGATGAGAATTCATGTCAAATGCTTCTCTTACATAGTAAAATAAATAAAATAAAAGAAGCATTATAATAGATTATTTAATTTGTTAATAACTGTATTTCGTTTATTTTTATATAGTGCATTTAGTAAAAAATGAGTAATCGAAACTGAATGTATTTTTCATAGTATGTACCGGCATGACACAAAGGATATTTATTTTTTTTCCTCTCCTTTCATCGAAATATACAGTTTGTCCTTTAATTTATTTGTAATCGACTCCAATCTCTGATGCATATATGTATATGTGTAGGTGTTCTTTCTTTTTTTCTTTTCATATTTCGTTCTTTTCTTTCTTTTGCACACACTGATACTCTTTTGCCAAGAAAGAAAAGGATTGTGTTTGTAGATATTTCATTCATCCTTGTCGCTTGTAACCATAAAGACATAGTTATTAGACATGGCGCAAACAATATCGGACGTTCGTGATTTTGTCACAGCTAAGGCTACTGAAGCCATTGAATCAGTTTCAAATGCTTTAAATCCACGTAAAGTTGCTTTAATTACTGGTATTACAGGACAAGTAATAATTATAAATAATAATAAATTAAATCTATTCTATTTATTTTTTCTTAAGGATGGAAGTTATCTTGCTGAATTTTTACTCGATAAAGGATATCAGGTATAAAGATATATCATTATAAAACAATTATTACATTTATATTATTGTACAGGTTCATGGTATTATTCGACGTTCAAGTAGTTTTAATACTGGTCGCATTAATCATCTTTATGCAAATCCAGAATCACATACAGAAGGAGGTTTGTTTTTTATTTATATCTATATATTAACAAATTATTCTTATTGTATATTATTAAAAATAGCTATGAAATTACATTATGGTGATTTAAATGATAGTTCATCACTTGTTAAAATCATTTATACTGTTAAACCAAGTGAAATTTATAATTTAGGAGCTATGAGTCATGTGAAAGTAATTATTATATTTAATTTTTGATAGAAAAAGAAATATTATTTTTTCTCTTATTATATTTAGATTTCATTTGAATTAAGTGAATATACAGCTGATGTTGATGCTCTTGGTACACTACGCATATTAGATGCTATTCGAATATGTGGTCTTACAAATGATGTACGTTTTTATCAAGCATCGACATCTGAACTTTATGGAAAAGTTCAAGAAATACCACAAAGTGAAACAACACCATTCTATCCTCGATCACCTTATGGTTTGAATTTGTGTTTTTTTGTAAAATAAATTAATATAGAATTTGTTCTTTAATAGCTGCTGCTAAATTATATGCATTTTGGATAACAGTTAATTATCGTGAAGCATATAATATGTTTGCTGTTAATGGAATCCTTTTTAATCATGAATCACCTCGACGTGGTGATAATTTTGTTACAAGAAAAATTACTCGAGGTGTTGCCAAAATTCATCTTCATCAACAAGAAATACTTGAACTTGGTGCATTAGATTCCAAACGTGATTGGGGACATGCACGCGATTATATCGAAGCTATGTGGTTAATGTTACAACAAGATGTACCTGAAGATTTTGTTATTGCTACCGGTAAAAACATTCAAATTTCTATTGAATGAATTCAAATTTTTCTATAGGTGAAACGCATAGTGTACGAGAATTTGTCGAAGCTGCATTTAAAGAAATTGGAAAAGATATTGTGTAAGAATAGTATTACTTTTTCGTTTTTAAAAACTAAATCAAATTTTTAATAGATGGGAAGGTGAAGGTATAAAAGAAATCGGAAAAGAAAAAGATACTGATATTCTTCGTGTTAAAATCAATGAAAAATATTTTCGACCAACGGAAGTCGTAAGTTTGAAAAAAAAGGATGAAAAATTTCAAAATAGAATTTTCTTCTTTTATACTAGGAACTTTTAATTGGAAATCCTAAAAAAGCTGAAGAAAAACTTAAATGGAAACCAAAAATTACTTTTACCGTATGTTTATATAAAATTTTGAATTAATTTTCTAAAATATTTTTTTGTTGAAAATAGAATTTAGTTAAAGAAATGGTCGCTGCTGACATCGAACTTATGAAAAGAAATCCAATTGCCTAAAATATCTATTACATTCCAATTATGTGATATTGACTTCGACATTTATATTTTTTTTCTTCTTCTTCGTATAACTTTTGTTCTAGGAAATATACTGTGATTTATAATGACACATTCGTATTTTTTCTTTGTCTTTTGAATTACTTTGTGTATTCGTAATCTCATTTAATTATTTTAATCAATTCATTATTCTTACTGTTAACGTAATAAATAAATAAATAAATAACATTTATTTTCTCCTTATATAGAAACAGTTTGTCAAATAAAATTGAGTTAATTAGTAAATATCATGCAATTATTTATTTTTATAATTATTAAAGGTGAAACGTATACACAATCCTTTCTAAAACGAGAACTTTTTGAAATATGATAAGTATAAATGAATTAAAACGAGAAGTAATACAAGTATATATTTATTGTTCCGTTATCACTTTATCGCGCTGTTTAGTTTGTGATATAGTAATTACTTTCTCATAACCATTTCGACGTGATGCTCTTTTTGAGTTTACGAATTGATGACGATGCGATCTATTAGTATGTGCAGATTGTGCTTTACGAAGTGTATTATTCGCGCGTGCTTGTTGTCCACGATGAAATGTACTATCTCGATTGACGGATCGATGATGACGAGATGAAGAATTCGAGCTTGTATCGTGGTAATTATAGGATGCTTTGTATTTGTTTGTATCTCGATCAGAAGATGTTGTAGATCCTTCATTTGACTTTCGTTCATTCCATTGTAAATTATTTATATTAGCCTGATAATATTGTTGTTCATCTCCATCTAACCAAGCTGATTTATATTGTCCATTATTAAATTGTTTTCCTTTGATATATAAACCCTTTGCTATAGTCATAATAAATTGATCTTCGAACAATTGTCTAACCCAACGATCAGGAATAGATTCAATACCATACATAGCACCAGCAAGTTGTCCATAAATGGCTGCTGTTGTATCTGTATCATCGCCTAGATTAACAGCATCAAGAACACCTTTTTCAAATGAATTTTCATCATTATAAAATGCCCATAAAGCAGCTTCAAGTGAATGTATTACATAACCTGTACCACGAATACCATTTTCATATCCTTTCTTTTTCTTATATGAACCTCGAGCAATTCTTAGAACATCTTTATGTAATGATAAATTTAAATAATCTCGATAAAAATCTGGATCTAAAAGTTTTTTCTTCGACATACCATTTAAAGCATACCAAATAAGACCAGCATAAAACTGACAAGCATCAATTGCTCGTTGATCACCATGTGTAAGTTTTGTAGTATCATCAAGATATTGTTTAACGTTCTCATATGATTGAAAGAAAAATGATGGTATTGGTGTTAAACGCATAAGAGATCCATTACCAGCAGCATCAGATAATCCACATTTAGCATCAACACCAAACTGATCAAAATAAAATGCTATCATATCATCAGTAGGAGGAAAAATATTGTTGTTGTTAGATATATTTCGTTCCATCATTTTACCACTAATTAGACGTTGTCGATTTTCAAAATCTGTAATTGCTTGACGTGTAGAATTTCCAATATCAAAACATTTGCCTGTTGAAGACATATAACCATTTCTATACCAACGTTTATAGCGTGTAAATTGATCGTAAACATCAGATTTGCCTTTAATTATAAGACTAGCTGCTAAACAAAGCGCCATCGATGTGTCATCCGTCCATTGCCCTGCTTGTAATCCCCATGTACCACCGTATTGCATATCTCTTACAGGATGTTGTTGCAAATATTCATATGAACGAAATTCTACTGATGCTCCAAGAGCATCACCTACGGCTAAACCAACGAGAGAGCCTTGAATTTTTCGAATCATTTCATTTTCAACTACATCCAGATCAGGATCATATAAATTTCGAAATTCTTTATATGGTTGTTTTGTATTCAATAACTGAGGTAATGTATAAAGTTGATTTTCTTGTTGAACACTGTTATATTGTGATGTCTTGAAATTTTCCATAGTTAACTCTTGAAAACGAGCAAAAAAAGTGATGTTACCCTATTAGTATATCGACGAATGTTAGTATTTTTTTCCGTAATAAATATTGACTCGTAAATATACGGTTAATAAAGCAGCGTATAGAAAAAAATAATCAACTGAGAAAGTGGTATTGCTTACCTGATGTATATTTATATAAATATTATTGCGGAAAATATTTAGAAAGGAAAGGAAGAAAAAGTATATGCATATTGAAATTTTCGATTGATTGAATAAATTATTTAGTTTTAATAATAATAATAATTATAAAATTAAATAAAAAGACAAATTATGAAAGATTATCGTATAATAATGTTATTTTTCTCTTTTGCCCAAATTTCAAATAACACACTAACATGATAACTAGAAAAACAGGAACAAAGAAAAAAGGCTGTTTGTTTGTTTGTTTTTAGAACTAAATATATAAAAATATATTTGTGAACAACAATTATAACAACAACAAAAAAAAGAGAGAATACAAGCAATACTTAGTAAAAATAATTGTGAGATTACTGAATAGATGATTGGTGATAATAAATTTTGTTCTTCGTTTTACTGTGCTGACTGTAATTGAAGCACCGAGTTTCGTTTTAGATATTACATAAATATGTCAAAGGAAAACCGACACTATTGAAAATTGGTATTGACTAATAGGTATCTGAATATCTTTTTTTTTAAAAATACTATCGAGGATTGAAATGAATTTGTAAAAAGCTCTAGGAATTATATCTGTTTTGTAACATTATGATCTGGTGATGAATGAGTAGATACGTCGGATATTAAAATTTGTTCTGTTTCTTCAATATTTTGAATAGCTAAAAAAGAAGAAATCAATTGAATAAGTTTTCTTTTTCTTATAATAAAAATTCTTACTTGTTGTAAGTAAATTTTGTCCATTATCTTCTTGATTAATATCATAACGTGATACACGTGTACTATTATATGTTGTACGTCCATTTGTATCAACCCAATCCATAGTTGATAATGTTTCATCATCATCTGTTGTATCACATTTATCACGTTGTTGATGATTTGGTAGCGTTCTTTCGATATCTTCAACAAATTCTGATAATTTACGAAAACGTTCTTTAATTAATTTTCCATATATATTAGTTTCTGTTTGTTCAGCTTGATATAAATGACTACTATCCTCAAGAGCACTGACTGATGATGATGCACTAAGTGCTGTGGGTCCAGTACCTGAACGTTCATCACTTGTTGCTGATGTACCGGAATATCCACCAACGATGATTTGTGGTGGTGCAGAACTTGGTATTGGTAATGAATTTGTTACTTTTCGACCTGTAAAACTTGCTGAACGCATTGGCCGAGCTCCAGACGATGATAATAGAGATGATACAGGTCGTGTAATATCATCTGTTGATGATAAAGCTGCAAAATTGAATAGTTCATCATCATCGACTTCTTTGATTCCTTTCTCAGATAATTTCCATGAATCCGATTGTTCTAATGTCTGTTGTTCAGTTGCGGATGCTCGTGTATTTTGAACAAGAACATTAAGTAATTGTAATGTTGTTGCTTGCATGTCTTCAAGACGTTGTAAACGTTCATCAAAATTTTGAAAATTGTTTGCTTGTTGAGTACTATTTCGTTTTAATGTTTCAACACGTGTTAACATATGTGAAACTCTATTTAAAGAAGAAATAATTAATTCTTATTTAATTGAGAAAAAAATGTGTTATGTACCTTTCAGATGTAGTTGACATACGTTCTTCAACTGTACTTTTTTCTTTATCTTCTTTAGCTAGAATATATTCATGCACACATTCTTCTTCAAAATCACGTAATTTTTCTATTTCTTTTGCACTTAAAAATAATTTTAAACCGCGATTAAATGTACGTTTACGATGAAGACATATACGATAAATTGTTTTAAATAGAAGAAATATATGAGAAAATATGATTAATGGCGGTGCTAATAATGGTTTTTGTTCGTATTGAAGAATTGTATGATATCGTTGAAATTTCCATACCTAAAAAAAATATGTTATTAAGTAAAAATAACTAAAAGAATCTAACCTGATCAGATAAACGACTTAATCTCATAAATGTCGATGTAAATTGAGCCATTAACATTGAAAGTAAAAGTATATTACAAACAAGAAGAAATGCTGTCATTGTAATAGGAGTTATAAAATGACCAAATTGACAAGATGGATTCGTTGGATCTTCTGTTCGATTACAAGGCGCATCAATTTTATCAGCATATACTTCACCATATATCTATTATTAGACATAAGTAAAAAAAGTGATTTATTACATTGGAAAAATAGCATACCATAAAATAAGGTTCAAGAAATATTTCTTTAACAGAATGCCAACTCCATTCAGCATCAGGATATTTAATTGCTTGTCTGGATACACCAAAGCTCATTAAAACAATTAATACAATAACAATTAGACGGAATAAATCGATAATCTAAACAAATATGATATAATTAACAAATGCTGTCTAATACAGATTTAAGGATGTCAATTTACGAGAAAATCTTTCTAAATAAAACTGATTATATCTCTAAGATGAACTAAGTCGACACTTTTAGTTATGAATGATTTAATGAGTCAAGATCGAAATATCCTCTTCAAAAAAAAACTAATTATATTTTTGTGAGCAAATCCATAGACACCTTTTAATTCACTCAATCTTGTTCTACTGACAATAGTATTTTTAATTATCTATAATTAATTCAAGAAATTTCATTTGACATGTCTTCATATATATCAGGCAAGATTTGATTGACAATGTTTAAAATTAGTCACAAAAAAAGAATGAATGGACTTGATGATCGTCTGTTATTGTTTTGTAATACTTACATTTCTTGCTGCTATATGAATATATGGTCCGACTTCTTTTGATACAACCAAAAAATGAAACATTCGAAGGTACCATAAACTTAAATTAATACATAATAATAATCTTCCAACAATCAGAAATGCACTAGTTAATCTTAATCCAAAAGCTAATGCAAACATTAGACAACAAAATGTATCATATATATGTAAAACATCATGAAAATAAACAGATAACCAAGTTTTCCATCTTGTTACCCTCAAGATTAATAATTCCCTGATTAAATCCATAGCGACTGTTGTTAAATAAACCATCAAAATCCATTCCCATACAGATGGTTTAGGTGGTGTACGTATAAGTACAACATAAGTAAAAATAGCCAAGAAAAGTATAAAAAAAATTAAATCTTGAAAAAATTTTGTTACAGGTGCATTATAAAATTCATAGATTTTTTTTGGTAAGGATATTTGTTCAGCATTATCATTTAAATAATGATCATGATCAGTTTTTTTTCCACATCCATAACGACGTAGAAACCTCTGTATTCGATGTAATATTATATCAAAAACACGATAAATAAATGAATGATGAATTCGTTCTTGTGCATTTGTTATACAATGTCGAATTGATCGTCGTTCATTAACAATATCATGAGAATTATTATCTATTTCATCTTGTTCATTTATTGGTATTGTTGTTATACCTGTTATTGATGATGATAATGGACGATGATTTGGTGTTAAATCACCCATAGCAAATAAATTCGGGTCATCTGATCGATTTAGATTATTATTATTATTATTACTATTATTAATAAGTATAGGTGATGATGGTTGATCATCTGCATGTGCTGCCGTACTACTATTTAGTTTCTTTCGTTTTTTCTTTCGACTTTTTCTTCGACGTTTTCGTAATGCATTTGTTTCATGTTGCATTTCATCATTTGTTTGTTCATCATCGCGATCTGTATTATTAACGGAAATAACTAATTCTGGTGACTCATCGGAAGATGATGAACGTGAATCTCCTGAACTATTGTCAGTTGAATCGTCATCATTAGCCTCACCATCATCAGAATCATCCTCATCTAGAAAATTAAAGGCGATAAAGATAAATAAAACATAAACACATAATATATATATATTTGTTACTTTGAAAATATTCTTCTTCTGTTTGAGGCATCAGTTGTAATTCTTTTGATGATTTGAAATCAATTAAGAAAAGTGCGGGTGGAAAAAAAAGTGCAAGTAAAACCATCCATTTAAGATATTTTCGTACATTCATTCCACCAATCCATAAATCAGATAATAGCTGTTGACAACATTTATGTGCAACAAAATCTCGAAGATAAGCTGTTACAGATAGATCAAGACATGTCCAATTCGACCAATTTTCAAGTTCAAACGTTAGAATTTGTGTAGCATTGACATCATCCTCTTGATAACACTGATCAAGAAGAGCAAGTGCTCCTAAATAAAATAAAAATTTTAACTTTTACATTAAATGTAAAGATCAAAATTACTTTGTTGAAAATCTTCTGCATTTGACAAAAATTCATCGGCAATTTCTGTATCAAGTTCATCATCTTGTGCTTCTCTTGCTAAACTTTTATTTAATCGACATCCAATAAGTGCTTTCGCTAATGCTTCTTCTCCATGTGCCCAAAAAAATAATGCCATTTCATGTCGTTTTGTTAGAACAGCAAAAACAAGTAGTTCATTATAAGGAAAATCAAATGTTGGATCATCATTTAATGAATTTCTTTTTACATCTTCATTTACTGTTGTATTATTTATTTGTAAATGTTGTTCTTTTTGTTCAGCATCTGTATAAACATTAAAATTTTGTCGTTGAATAAGTGGTTGTCGTGCACATAAATGACGTATTGTACGACGTGTATATGATGAACGATAACCTTGTCCAATAAGTTTTTCAACAATTAAACCAATATCATATAATGAATAGATTCTTGGTTGTGCATGATAATTAACACCACGTATAACATCTTTAGCAATTAAATGTAATGTACTATTTGCTCCACAAGCATTATACAACGCTTGTAAACGATTAAATGTAAGAAAATTTTTAATTGATACACCATTTTCAATAAGTAATTTAACATATTCAACGCGATTATCAACAAGAGCTTCGAACATACATACATCTAATTGAGCTTGAGTTAATTCTGGACGTTTTGTTAACAAACATGTTTGAGCAATATCAGGTCGATTCCATGAGAGTGTCAAACGAAATTGTTCAAGTGCACTTGCTTTATGATTTCTTTAAAAAACAAACAAAAAAAAAGATTTTAGAATGATTATTCTCCTTAAATAATATCGCATGAAATTTATCTTTTAATAGATCTTATCATCTTTGTTATGTAATGATAAAAGAATAATTACAGTATTTAATCTTAATAAATTATGGTTTCTTTTATTGTTATTTTTCAGTATTCAAAAAACGAAACCATTGAAAAGCATAATTTATATGTGCATGACATGTTTTTATAATTGACTACTTAGTATACAATCAATTTTTGTATATTATTAATATTCTATATTGGTTGAATGATACAAAAGAAAGGATGTTTACGGTACGAGTAACGGAAATATATTGAAATTATTTTTAATGAGAGCTTAAAAGGCATACTTTCTATCATATTAACTAACATTAAATCTATATAAAAAGCTTCTCAAGATGATACCTCAGTAGAGTTCTTAAAATAGCTTGATCAACGTCTTCTTGTTCTGCAGAATCATCATCATCCATTCTATAAATTGTTATATATTGTCGTTTTCTCATACAGACAATTAATTCAACATAAACACTTTCTGCTTTTTGTCGAGTATAATTAAATACTTTTTCAATAGAATGTAATAACTGTTCTTGTAAATCAGGAGCCATTGTTCTGGAACAAAAGAAGAAGAAAAAAAATTCTTTTTTTTTTAATATTTTATTGTAATTAAAACATACCCATCATTTGTTGTATGTTTATATGCAAATGCAATAAGATCAGCAGCACGACCACTTCCATCAATGACTACAACGGAAACCTAAAGACAAATATATATATATATGTGTATAAATGAAAATAATTCTATATACGGGTGGTTCTTCTGTAACATATTCAAGTACTGTTCGAATTGTATTTGTTCCACCTTCAACAACAACACATACAACAGGAATATTTTGTTTACCAACATGACCTTCAATATGAATAATAAAGCAAGAAAGTTAAACAAAAAAGATTTTTTGTTTACCATGAAATGATATTTTTTGTTGTGAAAGATATTTTTCAAAACGTTTTCGTAATATAACTTCTCCTCCATATTTTCCAATTGTTCCATTATCAACAAGTAAAAAACAACTATGTGAACTATTTAATGTTGCACAATTATCTTCTGTAACAACAGCTGCTGAATGATAAGAAACTGTTTGCTTGAAAAATAGAAAAGAAATAATTCAATGAAAATTTTATTAGATAAAATAGTAAAAGAAAAGATCATAATTACATTTTCTCCTTTCAGCTGTTCACGTCCTTGAATAATTCCCCATGGTGCAATACCAATAACAACAATATTTGACCTTATTTTTGATCTCATATAGAGTGCATCACCAACATGTTTAACAGCACCTGTATTTATACCGGATGTAAATATCCATGCACCAGCAGTTTTAGCTGCTTTTAATAAGCCACGTTTAAGTACTTGACGAAGGCGAGGTTGTAAATCAAAATTTTGAATACCACCATGAATACTAACAATCTAAAAATAAAATTATTCTTTTTTGAATTTTATAAATAGTTTTCCTTTCTTACAAGATTCGGTAATTGTAAACGCCATTGTTTTGTGAAAAGATGAACTATTTGACCTGGATTGGTATCATAAGCCAAGCGTAAATAATGTGCTTTAGCTGGATGAAGCATATTTTCAAATTCAATAATACCATATGCATTTGTTGGATACAGTGTTGTATGTTTCGCAACATTCCATCGTTCATAATCATGTTCAGATTGATCATGTGATGGATTAGTATAAAGAAGTTTTGATGATACTGATTTAAGTGCACGATTAGGTAGTTTTATACGAGATGGCGGACGATGTTCATTCTTATTATCATGTTCTGATTCGAGTCGACCACAAAAACAACGAGATGGATCATTGGTTGTTGGAATAAATTTTTTACATCGCCGTCGAAAGAAAACCATACATAAATTAGGATCATTGTTAGTAGCCTTAAATTTAGAAAAAGTGTTTATTGTTTAATTAATTAATTAATTTTAATTAAATAATCAAAATTTCTTACACAATGTCCATACAGTCTGTTCAACATACCGTGGTCTTTCATGGGATTTTGCATAAATATGAACTATTTACTCAAGGGAAAATTTTCGTCTTCTCTATTATCATTCAAGTCACGCAAACATCTCTTATTTCCTTCGATGATTAACTCAAACGAGCGTAACACCCATTTGTTTGTATATAGTCAACAAGATTTTTCTCAGAACATAAGAAAATATATCGTAAAAAAAAAAAGAACTAGCTTTCTCTTACTTCTTTATTAGCCATTATCATAACAAGCACCAATAGAAAATACGTAAGACGACTGATTTTTGTGTGCAATTAACTGTTGTATCATCAATACCGAAACATAGGTTGTGTCAATGAAATCTTATATGTTTGGTCGATGTGTAATCAAACGTCTGAAAATAAAAAAGAAAGTAAGGTAAGAAATGTTTAGAAAAAAAATCATTCATATGGTTTCTTATCAAGTGTGATAGAAAAATAAAGCAACATATTAAAAAAATGTAAATAGATAAGCCTCTTATGAATGAATAACTTTAACCTGTAATACCTTATAAAATATTTTCATCATGTTTATAACTTTAATAGCAAAACAACAAAACTTACTCAATGACGTATTTCAATTTTTTCTTTCCTCGAGTAAAAACATTAAAAACCATAGAAAAATTAATAGTAAAGAAATGACTATTTAATCATAATTTATATACTTGAAATAAAACTTGATGTCTCTACCTATTAACGGGAAACATATACATCCTAAACCTATTAATATATATTAATAGCTCAATATTTTTTAAACTATCTTCTCATCTGTTTTTGCCTGTAGGCTATCATCATCGTATAAATGAATGGATAAAGTATTTAAGAAAAATAAGGGGATTTTGCACTTCGAACATACCAAAAACAGATTCTTTTTTATTCAGTATGCCGTACTTGATTGAGTCAAGCTTGTAACGGTTTGCACGTAGAAATACATATATCCAATTATTTTGTTTACTTGATTTACATGATGTAAAGGAAGAAAAAAACCGTTTGTATATTATTCATATTCAATCCTGCAGTGCAGTTATCTTGACACAGCCATACAAAATATAAAATGGACGCCATGATTGGTGTCATTCCTAGATCACAGGTGGCGCTACAGTTGATATATTCATCATTGAACAAATTCTTGTCTTTGTCTAATCAGCTGTTGTAGTCTCTAAAGGATCAACACAATACATACGATAATTTAACGCAACAATAATTTTCATATAAAAATTTACTTATGAAAAAAATTATCTCATCTAATTTTATATTCTAGATATGTTAAATTCAAATAATGAACGACAAAGAGAATTACTTGATAATAATTCAAATACTGAACAAATTTCACCATTATCAAATCGTTTTTTAGTTGCACATTCATCGCCAGTACTTGATACAACAACAACAGATGTGATAACTCGTGTACAAGATGATTCATTTCAATCATCATCATCAACATCAAATTCGAAAAGTAGTTCAAGTACAGCAAGTCGTTCATCTCGTCTTCAATTCTTAATAATGCAACAACAACATTCAACTATGAACTCACCACTTATGTATTCTCGTTGTACTTCACTTGGTTCATTATCAAGTTATGATATTCGATCATCTTGTAATGATTCATATACATCAGAATGTAGTTCAGTGAAACCATCTGGTTTAATATCACCAAGTGATATGCCTGATTCACCACCGTGTGAACCAGAAATACTCGAAGAAGAAGAAGAAGAACAACGGCAACCACAAACAAGACCAAATAATCGTACATTAACAATGAATACAACATCAAGTCAAAATCGAACAACAATGATGAGTGAAACAGTTATTGAAAAAACTTTTATATTCAATCAACAAGAGTTTATTTCAAATCGAAATAATAATATTAATCATAATAATGATGATGATTATGATGATGATGACGAACGACTTGATGAAGTTATTGTTTATTCATATGATACATCGGATATAAATCAAAATCATATTAATAAATCTTCATATGATAATGAAATATTATTTGATGATGATAGTTATCGAGTATTTAATAGTGAAACAGATGAAAATGATTCTCTTATAGAAGATAATATCGTCAATAATGAATCATTTACTGTTCCATCACATGAAAATTTAAGTGTAATTACAGAAGAATCTTCATTTACTGATGATATTAATTCAACTGATGAAACAAATAGTATAAAAATTCTATATGATCTGATAAAAAAACCACATTGGACAAATAAAAATAATTTAATAGAACATCAATCATCACATTATTCAATAAAACAATCAAATCATCTGGAAGAAAATACGAATACATCACTTAGTAGTAATCCTAGTAGTCTTAGTCTTGATAGTAATAATGGAAATGAAACTGATGATGAAGATGAATATGATCAAGAAAAAGGTCGACAATTAATACAACGTCTTATTGAAGAAACTCTTGCTAGAAGGTGAAATAAATTTTCATAAAATTATTATTTTGTAAATATTTATTTCAATCTAGATCTGTTCCAACTGATTATCTTCATTCAACTTCATGCGTACATTGTCCATCAAATACACCAATGACTATTGCAACACGTAGTGTATCATCATCATCTTCAAGCTCAATATCGACGTCGACAAAATCATGTACATGTATCACAAATCGATCATCAAATTCAATTCAACAACCACAACGGAGTCAAAGTTCACCAGCTAGACCTTCTTCAACTACAACAGATGATTCAAAGCGACAAACTAATAAACAAAAGGTAGATCTTGGAGATAAAACATTATTTTTTTCTAATATATTAATTATTTTCTAGGAAAATACAGTACATCATACTCGTACTTCATATTTACGTCTTCGCCAAGCTCAAGAAAATAAACGACTATATCAACAAGATAAAAAATTCTAGTCAGATATATAATTATATGAATTTTACGTCTGCATATAGTCATTTTCTTTTGTATCACGTTTGTAAATTATGTATAGATTGTTAACGTAGATAATTTTTTTGCTTCTATTTAATAATAACAATATGACTTTAGTGAAAAATAAAACAAGGTCAAATATATTCTTCTGTCTTTTTTTTTGTAAGTCATTTAAAATGATGAATGATTAAATACTAGAAGAATGTGAAATATTTCTTGTAATCTTATCTTATGAAAATCGTACTAGAATATCTTGTTTTCGTTACATGATAAAAGACTATTTATGTTTGTGTAGTTTATAGATTTCATCTAAGATTTCAAAATATATATATTCTATTGATCAGAATTATTTATTTAGCAATGCAATAATACAACATGAATAAACAAAACATAATGGTACATGTTAAACCAATATTTTAAGATAAACGTTTTATAAGCTAAGAAAATAAATTCAAATTGTGATACTATTGTAACCATAGTTTTACTACGAATGATATCATTATCTTCAATTCTATCTATACGTAGATAACCATGATCAAAATATTCTCTGTCGTTGAAAACAGAATCTATTTCCTATAGTTTATTAATTTTATAATCATAATCATTGGTTAAGCGTTCGTATGAGATATTTTTAGAACTTATAGTAAATTGTATTGTAATATTTGTACAAATACAGGGTGTTTTATAAATCTTCAGGCATCATAAAATTAGTTTCTATACAGACAGAGAATAATAAATGCTAGCCAAATGTATTAATATGAAAGTAATCTAGATGCCAAAGTATATGAATTGTACAATCAGTAGGGGTGGCGCGAGTCAACCAACATTGGGGGGGGGGAGGGTTTAACGAAAATTTTTTGAATTTTTTGGGGGTGTAGCATGATCTCTGTTCAACAACTTAAGAAAACTTGCCGATTTTGTTGAGTAAAAAATAGAAATTTTCAAAGATTAGGGGGGTGTTACACCCTCGACACCTCCCCCTCAGTCGTGCCACCCCTGACAATCAGATGTTTTGAAGAAGATTAGGAGAAATTCAAAGAAAACTGAAGACGTACAAACGATTTATATTCACCAGATATCTTATATGCTTTCATGTAAAATGATTTTTGTGAGACTAATCATACTAATTTTCATATTTATATTATTTTATATGAGAAAATATTGTTTGAAAGATTAACATCAGCACTAGAATATGGTTTAGACTGTGTCTGCAGACAAACAATTTTTACTATGCCTCAAGATTTATAAAACACGCTGTAAAGATCAGTTAATGTATGAAAATATTGATTTGATTGCCAGATGTCATGCAAAAGATTTTTACCAAAGACAATAAGAGTAACAAATTGAATATTATAATTAATCAGTATATAATCTAATAAAGAATTGTAAGGATCAACTATTATGATGAACAACAGGCAAATCTTTTCTTTATTAATAAAACTGAAAACTAATTTTTCGAATTGTATTGATTAATTTAACAAAACTAACTGATCATGTTCAATTTAGCGTCAACATGTGTCGGATGTGTAATTTATTTTGTACTAAAAAATGTCGCCAGTGGTCATATGAAAACTATTCTTTATCTTTCGTAATAGAAAACAGTAGAAAATAAACGGAAAATAATTTTACAAACAATTTATAATTTCGAAAATTATTTATAAATAAATCAAAAATAGTATTTGTTCAATATATATTCTTATATGTGAGACTATGAAACTATTGGTTCAATATGGCTTTAGGTGCATAAACATTATATTTTTTTTTGTTGTTCCTGCGTCCGAGTGAACGAACAATCGGTCGTCCGTCTATTTGGTCTGTCCGTCCGTTCGTTCTGTTAGTCCATATGATTTTTTTTCTTACTGTATCGATGTCGATTGCCTGGTTGGCACTTTTCTCGTTAAATTCTTTTCTCTTCTTCTTCTTCTTCTTCTCATTTTTTTTTCTTTCTTTCTCTAACATTTTTCTATTTGCTTTCTTCTTCGTCTCTCATAGAGTAACTACAACAGCGACATTGGCAGATATGTCGTGCGGACTTGATTCAATCTTGGTCAGATATTTATCACCAACATTTTAATTAATTAAATAAAAATAATAACAAAAGATTTAGCAAAAATGGTTCGTTTAAAAATAGTATTTATTTCGATATATATTTTGTTTGTAAATTAGATTGCAATGTCTCATAGCACGGCTAAAACAAATGCTGGATCAACAAGTAAACAACAACAGCAACAATCTTTACATCATCCATATTATACAAATAACTCAGGAACACCATCTTATTCATCATCAAGTACATCATCATCAAATTCCTCAGCTGCAGTCGCTTCGTCAACAAATGAAAATGAACCAGGAGGTAAATTATCGATCAATTTATTTATTTAAATAATCATTTCTATTTAGATTTTCTTATTGGTTATGGTGCATTTGGTGTTATTTGGTATATTGATATATTAATTAAATGAATTTTATTTATTGAAATATTTCTAGGGCGGTTACTGATCCACGAACAAGTCGACGTGTTGCTTTAAAAAAGATGCCTAATGTCTTCCAATCAGTTGTTGCTGCTCGACGAGCTTTTCGTGAAATAAAAATGCTTTGCACATTTCGACATGACAATGTAATTTAGTTTTGAAAAAATAATTTTATTTGTCTAATTTAAATTTATTTGTAAAGATTTTACAAGCAGTTGATATTCTTCAACCACCTAGTCAAATAGATTTATTCAATGAAGTGTATGTATGAAATTATTAAGGATATTATTTTTCTATTTTTTGATTATTTAGGTATATTCTAACGGAATTAATGCAGATTGATTTACATAAAATAATTGTTTCACAACAAGCTTTATCAATTGATCATTGTAAAGTTTTTCTATATCAAATACTTCGAGGTAAATAATTATAATTTAGTTTGTTTTTTTATTATTATTATTTTCTAGGGCTTAAATTTCTTCATTCAGCTGGAGTTATTCATCGAGATTTGAAACCTGGAAATCTTTTAGTTAATAGCGATTGTTTACTGAAGGTATATTATTAAAACAAAGAAATTCATCATATAACTTTTATTACTTTAGATTTGTGATTTTGGCTTAGCTCGCACTGAAGAACTCGATAAAACAAAATGTATGACACAAGAAGTTGTTACACAATATTATCGTGCCCCTGAATTACTTCTTGGTGCTCATCATTATTCATATGCCATTGATGTATGGAGTGTTGGTTGTATATTTGCTGAATTACTTGGACGACGAATTTTATTTCAGGCATCTTCACCTCTTAAACAAGTAAATTCTAATCATTTTTTTTTTAAATTTATAATCAAATTTTTATTAAAATATCTATTTAGCTTGATTTAATAGTTAATCTACTTGGTAGTCCACCGTTAGATGAAATATCTACAGCGTGTGATGGTGCTAAATCTTATATATTATCGAAAACTTGGCGTGCTGCTAAAGTTAATACATTATATTCTTTATCAAAAAATGTTACTCATGAAGCTGTACTACTCTTATTACGAATGTTAACATGGGATCCAAGAAAAAGAATAACAATAACTCAAGCTCTCGGTATAGATTTCAATGATAAAATCAAGAAAAATTTTTTTATTTGATTTTTCATTTATTGTAGAACATAATTATGTTCATGAAGGACGTATTCGTTATCATTCATGTATGTGTCGTTGTTGTTTTTCAACACCAAGCGGACGACAATATACAGTTAATCTTGAACCTGTACGAGGTTTTCGATATGATGATTCCGATGAAAATTTTTGTAGTATGCGACAAGCAAAAGGTTAAATTAAAACTCAATAGTTTTGTTAAACATAAATTTTATTATTCTTCTTTCTTTTTTTAGAATACATGCATAAATTATTAACAGAATTCAGTCAAGCTAATACTGTTCCACTTAGGCTTAATCATGATTCACCATTGTATAAAACATTTGCTACGTAATTAATTGATGAATTAGAATTGTTTTTAAGAAGATTATTTTATTGATTATTTTAGATCACAAGTGGCACAAGCTCATGAACTTCCTCCATCACCAGTTGCCTGGGATAAGCTTTGATATTTATCTATGTATCTAATAATCTCATTCTTTTTTCTTATATACATATACATATATATATATATATATCTCATGATGCGATATATCTTTTTTTCTCTCAAGTACTTAGATTTTGTTTGTGTACGTCTATTTCTCAGGGCTTAGCTCCTCTTCCGTTCTTTTTTTTTTTGTGCATGTTTTTTTTCTTGTTCCTTCTCTTAACTCAGGTGCTTAAAAATGAAAAGCAAGATGTTTATGTGCGAACTTAGCTACCGGTTTTTTTTCGTGGGTGTTTATTGCTCAAAGCCTCATCATCGTTCTGTTTTCTTGTTTTTTTTTTTTCACGTGTCAGATTTTGTTTTTCTAGATCCCTTCATATGAGCATGTACACGTCTTTTGTTTTTCTTTTGACATATTGCGAAAAGTTTTTTGTCTTTTGTGTGTCAGATATTGTCTGATTCTTGGCATTTATTTCTGTTTTTTTCTTCTTCACTTGTCCTATGTCTATGAGCATGGCAATATCGAATAATAGATTAGCATTTATGTGGCATATATACTTGTATAACTTTTTTTTTGTTGTTGTCGAACTGATAAGATTAGTTAAACGTTTTTCTTTTTTTTGTCTATCATTATTTATTCTCTTGTTGATTTAATGAATAAAACAATGAAGTCATTAATTTGACTTTTGTTGGGTTTATTATTAAATCTATCTGTACTCCTTTTTTTCTTTTTTGTTTGCTTTTTCTTTGTGCCTCGTGTACATACATAGAAGAAAAAAAGAATCAAAGACTTTTGTTATTCCTTGTTCATCTCTTATTAGATCATTTTGTTTTTTCGCTTCTTTGGTTTTTTTCCTTGTCTTTATCTCATATCTGTCTGGTAAAGAGAACGTGTGTGTGTGTGTGTAAACGAAGAGAGAAAATCCAACAATAAAAAAAAACTAATGGAAACAAATACTAACAATTTTACTAGAACTAGTTTGTTTATTTATTATTATTCAGATGTATACAAAGATAATTTTTTTAGGTGAATTTTGGTCATTGATATTGTTAAATAAATTGAATTCACACATTTTCTGCTCAGTCTGATATAATAAAGTAACTTCATATGTATTGTTGTTTGTCATAAAATTATATCTTTGAATATTTGTTGTACAATACTAATACGGTCAGAAGCTGTTTAAATATTTTGGCCAGCTATCTAAGATTCTCTTGACATATGGAGAAGATTATCACAACATTCAGCAAATTTGGGTATTTTTTAAAATATTGTTGAAAGTTCTATAGGATACGTTACGGTTTTTCTAATTAGCCTACACGTCATTTCTTTTCCAAGATCATAGAGAAATACTAATAAATGATTTTTCTCTGAAAAATGAATGAAAATTTGTCTTTTTTTAGAACTATGTTCTTAGCTAATTCACAGTCAAATTTTAATGTTATTCAACCTATACCCCGATTTTATACTACTCGATTTGGTCGTTATACGAAAATAGATGATGATGATAATGAACATGATGATAATAATCATGAATATAAAATTAATCAGGTAAATAAAGAACAATCGATTGATAAAACGTTCTTTAAAAAATTAAATTTTAGTTTAATCAAGTGCCAAATTTAGCTACAAATGAAAATAATAATTCATTAATTACAATAACTGGTATACGAAATCGTGATTGGAATTTTCATGATAATCCAAAAGATTTTAATGATAAAGATATACCTCATATTAAATATCAAGTAATTCCATCTATTAGTAATACAATTAAAAATCGTTCATCAAAGTAAATATCAATGATAAGAATATCTTTATATTGTTTAATATATTGTCTCTAGTTGTACTATAGATAATACTAAAAATCAATATGAAGAATATGATCTTGATGAACAGGATTTTCAATGGCTTATTGCATATAATCAATTTCGTACTGAAAATCGTAAGACTACCTGATTGTAAAATATATATACCAAACAGAATTTGATTTTCTATAGATTTACCTGAATTAGATGAAAATATTTTTGAATACATCATGCAATTATTTGAACAACAATGTATATTTGCTCTACGACAGAAAAACTATGCTGATACAATTCAATGTGATGCTTGTTTTCGTGTACTTAATTTATTTTCAAAAAGAATAAAAATCTGCATGTTTAATTTAGATTGATGATGTTGATGATCTTATCCAATGTACACAATGCAAAACAATTATTCATAAAGTTTTTAGAAAAAAATATGAAATATTTTAATCTAGTTTTAGTATCTTTTAGAAATGTTATGGATTGGATGTAAATCAAAATCAATGGATATGTAGTTCATGTCAATTTGATGATAATCAACAACGATGTTGTATATGTGATAAAAATCGAGGAATTTTGAAAGTGTTAAAATCATCGCCGTAAGTTTATTTATATTTTTATAAATAAATTCGTATTTTATATCAAGAGATGAACAATGGATTCACCCATTATGTGCATTTTGGTTTCCCGAAATTGTATTCGATGAACAAATGACACCGATTTTAAAAGATATTCCTCCAGTATTAAATATTTAACTATTCGATTTTTTCGATATTATTATATTTTATTTGATTAGGAAAACGATGGATTATGCTTATTATGTTATAAAGCAATTGGTGTAAAAATAAATTGTTGTTGGAAAAATTGTCAAAATCAATTTCATGCAAAATGTGCAATAGAATTTGGTCTAGATATGTTTATTGCTGAAAATGATGATAATACTTCAATTCGATTACTTGTATGAATTGCTCTTAGTTTTATTTTTGTTATTATGTTATTTTATTAGGCACTTTGTCAACGACATACAGAAAAACTTGATTCATCAGAAAAACGAATACGAATGAATAAATTTCTCGAAACTAAACAAAAACGGTAGATTGTTTAATATCGAATTTATTCCAGAAAATTTGTCAATATTTTATTTAGATTCGAACAATTTGCTTCATATATTAATTTAGATAAAATTAAAGAACAAACTACAATTCTTCCAGATATTCTTGAAAGTATTCATGCATATTGGATTCTTAAACGACAAGTTAGAGAGTTTTTTAAATTATTCATACCACACTAATATAAATATTTCAATTCTAGACGAACAATTGTCGGCCTTTGATTGATTTACCAGATGATATTTTCTATCATGAATATGATAAAAATATAAATTTAGTAGAATTTGCTCGTCAATATCATTTAGAATATCAAAATCATGATGCAGATCTTATCGAAGAAAAATCTAATATGTTACAATTTCTTGCTACAAATATGCCAACATCAATTCCATTGATTAATAATATATTTGTTAAATTTGCTCGACGTCATCGAATATATTTTAATGACTATGAAAGAAATCGATTTTGTTTATTAGATGGTGACAAAAAGAAACGAGAAAGATTCTCACAATATATACAGCATTGATTAAAAATCATTTGTAATGCAATATGACTGCAGATATCGTTTTATATTGATTGTATTTATAAAATTTAGAAATAAATTAGAATATTACTATTTAGAATTCGAATTTTATA